CCTTTGCCGCTGCCATCGCCTTTGCCGCTACCATCGCCTTTGCTGCTGCCATGGCCTTTGCCGCTACCATCGCCTTTGCTGCTGCCATCGCCTTTGCTGCTGCCATCGCCTTTAGCGCTGCCATCGCCTTTACCGCTGCCATCGCCTTTGCTGCTGCCGTCGCCTTTGCCGTTGACGTCCCCGTTGCTGCTGTCACTGCCGTTGCCACTTCCGTTCCCGTTGCCGGGGTTGCTGTTGTTGTTGCAGTGCTTCTTGAGAATCGAATCAAAGATTCCGCTACAGTCCTGGCCACCGCTATCATTCATGTTGCCGCTGCTGTCAGCTCCACCGTTACTGAAAGCCTGGCCAGGCCATATGCCGCTCCAGACAGCGGAATCATCAGGCGCAAGTGCACGCTTGTGGGCAGCGCGCACACCGCGGCGTGGCTTGCCGAGCCCTGCGCCGTTGGAGAAGCGTCGCTTCGCAGCTGCAACTGACGACGGAGCGGACGCCGCTGCTGCACCAGCACCCCACCTGGCACCCTCGCGTGCATGATCAGCTGCTGATGGTGCTGCAGGGCTGCTGCTAGCAAATGTGGTGGCGGGAACGGAAAGGGAGAGGAGGATGATGGGGAGGAGAGTCGCGTTTAGACGCATCTTGGCTGAGTCTATTGGTGGAGGGTTCGGCGGCGAGAAGAAACGACTTGAGTGGTGGTTACGTCACGGGTAGCACATCTCATGAGCACATGAACTCACGCGTTTTCGATCAACCTCCTTGCATAGATATCCTCCGTCGATAGGTTTTTCAGTAGCACGAATCAGAGTGCAATAACCTTGAGATATCTGACAGGGTCAGAAGCTGGGGCTCGTTCAACGAGCCGCGATCGCGCTTGCTGATGGACGAAGGCGACAGAGAGAAAGGGCGTGTTGACCTCTCTCTTCCGCCTGTCCCGGCTGCGGGGAAGGAGGGGGAGCGTCGATGGATGTGAAAACGAACGTGGGGTCGAGGTTGGTTTGAGGAGAACCAGGAAAGCCAGAAGAAGAGGACACCGCTGCCCTTTTTTGTCGGGTCCTTGGTGTTGGTTGTCTTGGGCGGCTAGTCGATGAGGGCTGGACGAGGCTGTGGTCAGGGTCCTGAGAGATGCGCTGGGGAGGATGCTAGGGGGCTAGGGGGAGCGGGAGAGGGTTGCGTGAGGAGCAGGAGGTGAGATGGAGGACGAAATGAAGCGAGGTATGGACTTGAAGATTCCTATAGTCATCATATGAACTCTCATCCATGCGACAAAAAAGAGGTCATGGGACAAGCACAGTCTGGTCGCGAAGTTGAGAAGGCAGATGCCGTGCGGTGTGGGTCTGCTCGGGTCGGGCTGGCAAACAGTAGCCAGGTAGACTGCCCCACCCCTGTTCCGCAGATCTTCATGACCATCAACTTATCCGATTGGCTGTGCGTCGCGATAGGGGCACCACCCCCCTCTTGCCCTGTGGCGATCGTCACTCGACAGGGGGAGGGCGACGCGCTGGAACGAGAGGCGATGCAATGAGACTAGCACATCGGGGAAACGATGCTGAACAGGCGTCTGGCCAGTGTGCTGGTGCTGAGAGCACACACATTGTCTTGCAGGTGCAACGTCTCGCCAGAAGTTCCTGAAGGAAAGAAATCGAATCGGACTGAATCCAATCGCATGCGGGCTCGAAATGTGAGCACTCATTCGCCGCGACAAGCGGCGGGCGGCGCTCGCTCGCAGCCATGCAGCAGAAGAGTGATGCGCACTTGGACAGGGGATCGCGTGAATAGTCCTTGCAGACACTGGCACGGTGCCTTGCACTGCCCGGCACCGCGTGGTGCTGGAAACACTCGCATGCGCCACACCGAGCTCCACATTGGAAACATATCAAGTGCGCTAGTGCCTGCCTCAATGAAGGGCCGCAGTAAAGAGCCGTTACACGTCCTGCAACATGTGCTAAATTGTATGTAAAAGGACGGAAACCTAAAGCCTGCCCCCCTCATACTTTGTTAGACCTTGTTAACCATGTGTAGAATATACTACAGCCCCCACCGCTAGAGACAGAAAAGTTTTAAAATAGCATAGTTACAAGATGGAAACGTGCAACAACGAATGGACTTCAACCACTTAGCCAGAAGGCCGCAGAAGCCATTCAGCTCCTTCAAAGGTGACTCTTCTCCTGTGGCCACGTGCCCTTCTTTCGTCTCGTGCGTTTTTCGCGCCATTTTGATTGACCATGGCAGTGCAAAGACGGATGCTAAGCATTGTCGATGAGGGTACATATGCTCAGTGTATGTGCAACAGGCACTTGACTGCACACGCTCACCGTGGGCGGTCGTACAATACGTAGCACACCGCCTATCAGTCAGCTCGCACGTACAGACATCGACTGGCACATAACAAGAACGTAGTGTGCAAGCGGCTCACCGGCAGTGGAATTGATGCGCATCTTGACGACCTACATCTCCATGTCGCGCAGCCCCGTGGCGAGGGAGCCATGCGCGATCGTCGCAAAGGTTGAAGTGAGCATGTACGACCCGTCGGCATGCACCAGCACCGACGCTAGGCAGTTGTGTAGGCGTTGGGCAGCGTCAGGCCCGTGAACTGGTTCTCGTCCGCACGCAGCGTCGCGTTCCAGGATCACGTTCTGCATTCGGTAGTTGATCGTGCTCGTGATCAGCACCTGACCGCGCGTCTTGGGCCACGGCTCGTGGAAGTACTGCATGAACTGCGCACGGGAGGAGTTACTTTCTGCCTCAGCCCATCCGCTCTATCTGTCTGACCCGACTCCAGACTCACCCTCGTGCACTCGGTAAAGCGAATCTAGGCGCCCGGGTAGGCCCGGTTGAACGGCTGCTGGCCGCGCAGGTTGCCCGCATAGCAGTATCATACGACAATGGCGAACGACTGGCTGTGATTGAGGAAGTCAATCGCGTAGATCTTCGAGCCCCACTTGTGGACCAGCACGAGCAGACCTGTATCGTGTAAGTCGTTCTGGTCGAACTGTGGTCGCACCAGATCGCCAATGTCCGCCTCAACCTCAGCGTTGATCATCGTGCCGGCGCACTTGGCCGGCCCGTAGTTCGGCTCCTCCTGGGTCGACAGCTGGTACGCTCTGATGCCCACCTTGCACAGCGCTATCAGCGTTTTCGCCAGGTACTTTGCATACACGGCGTAGTACACGGGCTTGACCATGCCGCCGTGCAGCGACGTCGGGCTATCGTCCGTTTGGGGTTTCATCCACGCTGGCTAGCTCCGCGACGCAAAGAAGTTCTTGACTCTTCTTTGCGACACCTTGCCGATGTCCTGCAGTATCTGCCACGCTTAGGGCGCCTTCTCGATGCTGAGTTTCGACAGGTCTGGTTCCGGCGAGCCGTCGTAGGTGTCATCGCAGGTTTATTCGCCCTCGGAGATATCCGTGCTTGACGGCAGCCTGCGCGTCAGGGTGTAGCTCGCACGGCCTTTTGCAATGTACTCCTTCGACGGGTCGAACAGCATGACCAGAACCTCAAAGTACGTGCTCGCGTTCTTGGAGCGAGGCTCTTGCAGCACGATCGACGTCGGATCCGCGTTGGCCATACCCCAGCCTTCAATTTTTTGCCAACACTGGTTGCTTGCTCCCAGGTATAAGAACGTTAGTGCTCTTCTCATTTTAAGTGCCACATTGCCGAGCTGATCGGAAGCTCATCAGGGGCGACATTGGAAGCCGGTGCGTCCGAAGGCCTGTCGGAGGAACTCTGAAAGGTCAGACTGGCGCTATCATCGTGGGTCGTGACGACTGCCACCCATGATTCCTTGTCATATCTCGAAGACCAGACCGCTTCAATCCTGGTCGACGTATGGAGCTCAGTGAGAGTAAAGAGCGTGAAATCAGCAAAAAGAAAAGATTGCATTTTCAGCAGCTTGCGAGGGAATAGTGGGGAATCAAAAAAGCGAGGTGCCTTTACGGGTGGTTGCAGACGTGACACCAGTATCGTATTTGTACGAAATATGACATCCTTAGGTCACAGCGGTGGCAACCAGTACATGACAGCCCACAGGCAAACGCAGCATGTCAGAATCCAGAAGAGTGTGGTTTCTTTGGAAACGGAGACTGAGAACGACGCTTGGCACAGACAGCTAGAACCGGCAACTGAAGAGACAGAAAGAGGGGGGCGGGTTCGCCGGGAACTGAGATGAGCTGCGACGAATGAGCTATATATATAGCACTGAAACTAGCTTTGTGTTCCCACGAGTAGCACCGGCAGAGAGTTCCGAGACGAACCAAACAAAGTATTGCAGAGGGGATTTCGGTTGACTGCACTTTAACAGCGGAAAAGTGCTAATTGGCTGAAGAGTGTTTGTGACTTTTGGACCGTCCGTGACACCAATGAACGCGTTCGAACCATCTCTTGTGAACCCTCTTCTTGCCTGTTCGAGCAAAAATGCGCCACGGTGAGGAGTCATCAGCGCCCTGCAGGGAATACCACATATACACCGTGAGAAGTAAAGCAGTTGACGGTGGCCATCGTTCGGTATACCCATAAAACTTTTCAACGAAGTAATGTTATTGGCCCTCCAGAATGGCGGGAAATAGCTTGGCAGGCGACGAAAGTATTCCCATCTCTCTGCCGCGGGTTCATGTACCGAGCAGCCATCAAGATATATAAAAAACGGCGAACGAGGGGTGCTCACCATAAAGTTTGAGCCCACCAGGTGGGTGTCCAAAAGCAGGCACTCGTAGGGCAATCTGTCCTCAAAGATTCGAGGGCGCATCTGTACGAAGAAGCGGGTTAGAATGGGGAGAGGACAGAGAAGAGATAGTGTGATGGTTGTAAATCATGTCACCGTGTCACCGTGTCCCTGCGCGTCACTGTCACCACTCACCAGCATGCCGTGCTTGGGCCACCCCATGGAAAGGATGGGTTAGACGCCGCCACAAAATATGAGTCTCAACTATTTCACGGATGGCCGCTGTCGATGCACCCGTATGTGAGACCAGCATCTGGTCTCCTCCCCCGTTAGTCTCATTATTGCACAGCCCCCCGAGCATCTTGGCATGCACAGCTCCTGCTGTAGTCCATCAAGTCTACATCACAACTCTTTCCTGGCACACGCGCTGTCGTGATCTTGCTCACCACCACGAGCACCAGCCTTGGCCAGCACACGCATCCATCATTCACCAGCTCCATCAGCATCAGCATAAGGGTGGATGCAATCACCAGTTGTTGAACAAATTGTAGCTCAGTAAAACGAACGTCAAACTCCGTTCGCCCCCGAAGCACCATCAGTTCGTCGGCTCGTTACTCGACCCGATCTCGTGAGCGCGTAGTCAGCTGTCGATTCAAGACTCTCCACCATCACTTCGACCAAGATCATCAACGCTACCCAAAACACCTCGCAAAGTCCCTACAGGCGTCGAGCATCTGTATCGCAGAGCATCGGGTATCCATCGAGGCTGAACCCAAAGCCACACGAACCAGACACTGGAAAGCGAGAACGAGCATCGCGACATTCGCTAGCTGTTCGTCAAAATGGGAAAGGGACAGTCAAAGCTATCGCCAGAACAGCTGTCGGATCTGCAGAAGAACACGTATTGTAAGTTTTAGCACGCTGCTCCCTCTTGTCACATCGCCAGCCTCGGCGCTGCCGTCAAATTCTGCATTCACCCAGCGCCTTGAGTCTTGCGGGCGTCCATCTTTGGCACACTAAGAATCACAAGTATACACGTCAGGGTTGCGCAGGCGTTCCTCGCTCTTGCTTTTTGCGCATCGACTGATCTTGCCTGCCTCTTGTTCTTCATTCGCATTTCCCAATGTACTTGCTCCTCGCCGTTCTTATGCAGTCGACCGAAAGGAGCTACAGCAATGGTACAAAGGCTTCTTGAAGGATTGCCCGTCGGGTGTGCTGGACAAGGCAGAGTTCTGCCGGATCTACAAGCAGTTCTTCCCTTTTGGTGACTCAGAGCAGTTCGCGCGTGAGTGCATTTCTTGTTCGCCCACCCTGAATGCTGCTCCCTTGAATTCCGGAGCGGAAGTGAAGAGACATCGTACTGACTGACGCGCTACTACGGTCCTGTATGCGTTCTGGTATGCACAGAATACGTGTTCAATGTGTTCGACGAGAACAAGAACGGGACAATCGACTTTAAAGAGTTCATATGCGCACTCAGCGTCACTAGCCGAGGGCGTCTGGACGAGAAGCTGCGCTGGGCGTTTCAGCTGTACGATATCGACGGAGATGGAAATATCACGTACGATGAGATGCTCAGTAAGTGCATAAGGATATTCCCGGAGGGCCTCGCCAACTGATCGTGAACCCATTTGTCATATCTTTGAATTTTTCGCGTCGCCTCACCTCAGCGATTGTACGGAGTATCTATAAGATGACAGGGCAGATGGTTAAGCTTCCTGCCGACGAAGACACGCCCGAGAAGCGTGTCGACAAGATTTTCCGCATGATGGACCGAGATAAGAACGCGCAACGTGAGTCTTCTTGGAGTCCTTTCATTTATCTATGTGGCTGTCTCTTTGCGAGGTAACCTGCGAGACACTGATCGTATCTACTCTTTTCTCCTTTCTTGTCGTTCACCTACCTCAAAATCTGCAGTGTCCTTTGAAGAATTCCAAGAAGGCTCAAAGCAAGACCCAACGATCGTCCAAGCGCTCAGCCTGTACGACGGACTTGTGTAGGAATCTCGACCCGTCCTTGGCCGCTTGCTGGTTGCGGTAACGATGATGAATGTGCGCATTTCCACGAAATCACAAATGTCCCTGGCGCAAGTTGGCGTGCGTGATGCATCTTATTTACGTTTTGGGACTCAGCCATCGATATCTGGTTTTCGCTTTTCACGCAGCCGACCGAGGCCTTCCCCCTCGCCAGTCCCTACCAGTCCTATCGCCTCGCCCTGTGTCACCCAAGACTTTTTGCAATGCCCTCTTCATCCGTTTTCACCGTCTTCCGCCTCACTGCTTATCCTGAAGATCTGGGATCGGACGAGCGTGAAGCTGAGAAGGCAGCACCGTAATGCGTCACGTCGGGCTCACGCTCTCAGCCTCACAGGTTCGCAACATATCCATAAAGTTGTCATTGTCCGATGAGCAATGAGCGAAGAATTTGTTGGGATGGGTACACGTTATACAGTGGAATCTTGAATGTTGGAACAGAAAACGGGCGACGGCCATCAATAGATTGTGCATCATGTAGTGAAGATCATGGACAGTCGTTTCGGTGTTCATTGGAAGCAAAGAAAAGTCGAGCCGAGAGACCACCACGAAGACACATTGAGAAAAGCGAAGCCAAAGAATGCGCTTAGGAAGTCACATGTAAGCAGAATTGGAACCGCTGATAGGTACAGGTCGGCATTGTTGACTAAATATACGCAAGAAGCGGCTGGAAAGATGTTTATGTAGGGCGCATTCAGAGAGAGTACACTTTCGTTGATGAAAGATCCAAATTCTTGATGTGTAAGCATGAGGGTTGAGACGGTGAGAGACCAATACTCAAGATGTTGATGGGAGTGGATCTAACGAGAAGGGATTCGCACCTTGGAATCTGGATGAAAAGCGCGGTTGCGTAGTTGCACCGTGCGAGGCGCCGCTTATATGGATGGCTAAGCTAACGTGTTGGGGTGCTCTGGGCCCTCGGGCCGTTGGAAGAATAGGAGTTAGAGGCGGCATTGGCGCCAACACTTCCATTTTTCGGCTACTCTTACGACAACCTACTGGGAAGATATTCGTGAGACTCATGCGACGCATCAGCCCGGGCTCAGGCGGCGTGTTGCCCCCAGATTCAGTCTAGCGTGGCGTTGGAGGCGTCTGCGTAGACGAGCATGTAGCTTGGGATGGTGGCATTGGCGTTGTCGACATTAACAACATTGCGGAGCTACCATGGCGATTGCTCGCATCGACTAACGTGGCATGCAGGTTCAAGGATGAGACTGGCGCGGAGATGCCCGGCGTCATGGCGGGTGTAGCCATGCGCGAGCTGTGACGGCTGTTCAGCGCGATCGTAGCAAGCGCGTTGGTAGTCAATTTGATGATGGGTGCCGAGACATCCGAGGGCACAAGGAATTGGCGCAACTCGCCATCCATGCCAGGGAGCACGTCGCTCCATCCTTCACCTTCTTCTTCCTCGATGGCAGTGTTAAGTGTGGTCTTGCGGCGCGAGGAAGCCTTCAGGACCTTGAGGCGCCCATCGAGCCGTTGGAGACGGAGATGCGCGAAATGACGTCCCACTGGTTCTAAACTGCGTGTCATCCGCGTGCAGGAGTCAACCTCAATGGCCGACACCGTTAACCACTTCCTACCTCTCCCTTCGTTAGGCTCAGAGACGATTGCAATCTTTGTCACGGATCACTGTCCTCCTTCACGGCGCTTAAGTGGGTCGCCCGGGCATTCAACAAGAGAGACGTCGACATCGTCTAGGGATGCTGCTGCATTTACAACTATGCATAAAAGAAGATCACTCCATTGATCGCTGCGGAGGTCGACACCATCTACGGTGGATTCCACCCAGGAAGAGTTGCGACGCAGAAAGTTTGGAGTGAGCCGCATTTCATTGCTGTCCCTGCAGCTCGTTCGGCAGAAACTGACGTAGCTTTGCGATCGCGCAGCTCTTCGGTGGCAGTAACGGCTACTGGAACGCCTCCCTACTGCTTGCGCTGGGTATGCAGACGCACATGCTCTCAGAAGACATCTATTCCACGTTGCGCGCCATCTCCGGAGCTCACATTTGCTACATGCCAGAACTGTGTTTGTTTGAGATGGCACAAGGCTGGACCCAAGTGCTAGTGCGGCATGCTTGGCCGAGGTTGCAGTTAAATGCGCAAGGGACCAGGCTACGTGGTGGTGCGGGCCTCGTCTTCCTGCTCATCTTTAGGGAAGTGTTATTCCACTTTCTTTCCCAGCTCACTGTGTGAGCCCATCTCATTATAGAATGTCACCATGAGGCATTTTGTATCACTTCATAATTCTGCGCAACACTCTCAATATAGGCATCGCCTGGTGTAAAAGTTCCAAACGGTGCTTGCACTTCGATTCAGCCCCATGAAGTGCCTTAGATGGCGTGATCATGTTTGAGCAGCGCCGAATTGCATGTCCCACGCTCATCAACTCGGACGTCCTCCTCTGTGAACTGTGTATCTTTAGTGCCATCTAGTCTCTATATAGATGAAAATATATTACTTCAAGTCCATCTGCATAAGAAAGTATATTTCATCAAAGACCTTGAATGAGCCCTTGGTGTCTCTCGGCAACTGTGGCGTCTCGGACGCCGCCGGGGATATCCAGGCCGCCGATGAATACGTCACCTGCGCCTGCGACGCGGAGCTCCTTGCGCAGTTCTGCGAAGCCAACCTCGAGGCGAGTGGCGTCGAGCGTCATGCGCAGTTGCAACCGGCGCCCGCGACGAAGCATGTCCTCCTGGCGCTGCTTGCCGTCGGCATCTCGGTGGTAGTACGCATGCATGAACGGATGCACGAGCGGCGCGTGCGGGAGCACCTTGGTCGTGAGCCACGCGAGACGGTCGTTGCCGGCTCCTTGCGCTGTCAGCCCGTCCTGCTGCCCTGCGCCGACTTGCTGCTCCACCTCGCGCGCGTCGCCTGCGTCTACATCTACGTCGGCGTTGGCGCTAGCGTTGTTCTCCGGGGTCATGCGGCCGTACGGCTGGGGCTTCTCATTCACCTTAACAGATGCAGCCGTGGCAGCAGCCAGCGGGTCGTCCCACTTCTGGATCGCATCGATGGGGAGCAAATCGACGTTGACGTCCTTGGTGACGACGCGGCCGGGCTGGCTGTAGGCGTGCTTGCGCTTGCCGCCAAGATGGTCGAACTCGTGCGCTTCGAGGACCATGCGCAGGTACTCGCAGATCGGCCCGCTGATCCACCTGCGCGGGCGCCAGCCGGCCCACCAGCCGAGGTGGCCTCCCAGCATGGTGGTCGCAAGGACAATGTTGGGGTTCCCCGCGCCAACCAAGCGGATAGAGACGCCCTCGGTTGGCGGGTCGACGCCGCGCATGCCCATGATGGTGCGCACGCTCTGCGTCAGCTCGTACGGCACGATGGGGTCATCGATCGCATTGAATGCGAGCAGCGGGCGCTGCACGTTAGTCATCGTCGGCAGCGCCGAGCCGCCGTGGTAGTAGTCATCGGCCGTGTCGAACGGGAACTCGCCATATGGCTTGCGGTGCCCACCAAGGAAGCGCGTGCCGGTGTCGTCAAAGTACTTGAGCGTGTTGGGTAGCACGTTCCTCTCACGCAGGCAGACCTCCGCGGGCGGAGGATGGTATAGTGCGGAGATGAGCTTTTCGGCGTCCTTGTCAAGCGTGATGACATCCACATGCCGGCCAACCATACGGGCCAGGTTGCCGGCCATAGTCCTGCTGTACACAGCCCGGTTGATGCCGGGTTTTTCCAGCACCATGCTTCCGCGGGAGAGGTCAAAGGGGGTGCCGAGGACCATGCCGGCGCGCAGAGGCGTTGCGTCGCCCTCTTCTCCGAGATACTTGGAGAGGACGTTGGCGCCAAGCGAAAAGCCGATGCCAGCCAACGGCGCGTTGGGGAAAGCGGAGGTGATGAAGAGCAGTGCACAGCGCAGATCCGATGTCTTGGAAGCCGAGTACAGCTGTGGCGATGTGACGGGCGTGTGTGCGCCTGCGAGGGCAATGGAATGGGAACTCGTCTCAGCCTCTTGTACTTGCGAAGTCACCCACAGAGCCTTGACACACGATAACTCACAAGCTCTGAAATTGACGACGATCGCGCGATATCCCGGTCCGCCTTCGCGTTTGGGCTTGGTGAGCGGCTTGATGATGTTACGCACGTACGTCTCGCCGCTGCCGCCTGTGAGGCCGTGGAGTATGACAAGCGTCTCGGTGTTACCAGTTGGGTCGTCTTGCGCCAGCTCGGGCGGACTGATGTCGAGTGAGAGTGTCCCGCCATCCGGGACGAGCAACACACGGCGTTTGTATCTCACCTTCTCTTGCAGCACCGTATTGGCGCGCGCAGAGTAAATCGTCTGCAGGTGGCCCGAGGCGAGCCAAGGTGTCGGGCGAAAGTGAGAGGTCGAATGGAGGGATGGGCAGTGCTCGTGCAGCAGGTATCGCAGGGACGGCACTGCTGGTTCGACTTGTGCATATTTACCATCCCCGTCCCCATGTACCCTTCCATCTTCATATGTATGACTACTGCCATTAGCCTTGACGCTCCCGTTTGCATCTGCCGGACGGTATCCATTGCCGTTGGGCTTGCTGCGAATGTCCGTGCTTTCCCCGCCTTCGGCCTCATTTTCGATGGGAGTTTCCGCCTCTGGAAGGGCTGGCGAGAAGTGCAATGTGACGCCCGTCCATGACGGCGGGCTCAGACGCAGTGGGATGAGCAGCATGTGGGCCAGGAATCGGAGCATTGTGGGAAAGACGGAGCGGGTGGAAAGCAGGCGGCCCATGGTTTCTAGAGAATGCGGAAGCATAGATATGGTCGAGTGGGAATTCCTTCTTCTCCTTGCAGCGTTCTTTTGCGCCGTATGAACTACCGTATGAGGGTGCAATCCCTTCTAGTCGCCTCGGTGGCGGCTATATAAGGCCAGGGTCGGCGCTTCAAGATCTAGAAGAAAGGTTCACGGGCACGCTGGCGCGCAGGGTGAAAGACTTGTCAGTGCAGCACTGCCTCTTTTCTATCTTGCGTTTCCAAGCTTCGTTGCATTCCAATCCCATCAGCCGTCGAGAAGAGCACGGCAAGAGACCATTCTGGCAGTGCAATTTACTGCTGCCATCGAGGTCAAGTGGATGCAACCATGACCAGATGAGCCTAACAAAGCAATGCCCTCATGTTGAAATCGGGTGATCGACCACAAGGAAACCCCGTGTATTTGACCTTTTCCATTGCATTTCCGCCAAGATTTGCTTCTTCCGGTAGAAACTCCTGTTGTACTCCGGTAAAACTGCGCGTGAGCTCCCGCAATTCCTCCATTCTCGCTCGAATTGCACCATAACTTTTCTGTCGCTCGATTCCGACCTGCCGGGCCGCTCCGTCACTTTGGAAGCTCCGGTCCGGGCCAGGACTATCCAAATGAAAGCACGATGAGGGGTCTTGGCAGCGATAAAATAGGGTTGTGTCCCGGCACTCCGGCTGCCCCACCCTCCCGAAGAAGCCGGGGCGGAGAGTAGTCGTTGTCACAGGCAGCTTTGTATGGCGCTTTGTTGTCTACATGTACATGGCATAGCTGTGGTCACTAGTTTGGTGCATCTAGTCGAATGCAGGCAGTGGAGTTGTCCTGAACGGTGCGGAGTGACAGCCGCTTACCAGCCTTTTCTTCCTCCCCTTCCAATCGCGCACGCCGGGAGTCTCTTCGCCTCCTTTCTTTCTGGGAAGTCGCTTGGTTTGAGTTTCGACACCTCGTGTACCTGCAGGGAAGGGAGCAAAGATACGAGAGCTTTCGCCATGTTCGCCCCAAGAGGCACTCGGTTCGCTATGGCTGGCGTACGAGCAGTAGGCGTTGCTGCTGCTACTGCTAATCAGGCAGCTCATCTTCGGCCGCCGCTCGGCAACATCATACGCACCTTCCGGTATCGAGACAGCCATTCGCGCTCACTCGTCGAACATAATCTATCACCTTCTAGCACGAGAAAGCGATGTAGGCACGACCATGCACGCTCTGCAACATCTCCCAGCTGTGACACTGCAAGCACTGAAAATGCACTTGATTTATCTTCTCGCCAGCCTCCTTCCATCCCGCCGCCTCTGCAAGGTGTAAAAGTTGTAGATCTCACTCGCGTTCTGGCTGGTCCCTACTGCACCATGCTTCTTGCCGATCTTGGTGCGGATGTGATTAAGATCGAACATCCCAAGGGTGTGTCACTCATCATTGCATGTGCATTTGCTTTCGTCGCCGCTCGATTCGAACTGACGGACTTGCGTGGTGCTCCATTGCCCTACCAACAGGTGGGGATGATACGCGTGCATGGGGCCCTCCCTTTGCGCAACCTTCCTCGAAATCGTCCTTGCCACCACCGCCCAAGGGGAAGGAAGACTACTGGGCGAGCCTACCGCCGGAATCAGCCTACTTCCTCTCCGTAAACCGGTCCAAACGCTCGATTACGGTCGACCTCAAGTCGCGCGAGGGTCTCGCGATCATCAAGCGGCTCGTCCAGCAGGCCGACGTGGTCGTCGAGAACTACCTGCCCGGCAAGTTGGCGAGCATGGGCATGGGATACGAGCAAATGAAGGGGTGGAAGCACGATATCATTTACGCCAGCATCACCGGCTACGGCCAGACAGGCCCGTTCAGCCCGTCGGCGGGGTACGACGTGGTCATCGCCGCCGATGCGGGGCTCTTTCATATCACCGGCGAAGCAGACCGGCCGCCGGTCAAGATCGGCGTCGCGATGACGGACCTGACGACGGGGCTGTATGTCCATGGTGCCATCATGGCTGCGCTTATCGGGCGCAGCAAGACGGGTCAGGGCGTGCACATCGACGCGAGCCTATTTGAGAGCCAAATCGCAAGCCTGGCGAACATCGCCAGCAACTACCTCATCGCTGGCCAGGAGGCCGGGAGGCACGGCACTAGCCACCCTTCCATTGTTCCGTACCAAGTCTTCCCGACCAAGGACGGGTTCCTGATGGTGGGCGCCGGAAACGACGGGCAGTTCAAGCTGCTCGCGAGCCTGCTTGGCCGCCCGGACCTGGCGGCAGACAGCAGGTACAGCACGAACATTGCGCGCGTCGCGCACCGCGATGGGCTGATTGCTCTTCTCTCGTCGCTGCTCCAGCAGCACACTAGCGCCGACTGGCTCGCGCAGATTAACGGGCGCATACCCGCTGCGCCAATTCGCAACATCGCGCAGACGTTCGCGCACCCGCAGGCGCGCGCACGGGGGGTCGTCACGCAGGTCGACCATCCCCGCGCTGGGCGCATCAAGATCGCCAGCCCCGCGGTCCAGTACGGCGAGAGCAAGATGCCGGTCACGCGCCCCCCGCCCGTGCTGGGCCAACACACGGACGAGGTGTTGGCGGAACTAGCTTACAGCGAGGACGAGGTGCGGGCCCTCAGGCAGGCTGGAGCCATAGGGCGATGAACCGCGGCACACACGCCCGCTCTACAAATGCCATGATGTCCCAGTTGCATCTTGTTGGGAAGAGCAATGGTATACAAGGGGGGGATCGTGCATACAGTACAGAAGTCGAACATAGCCATATATCTGCAGCCGTCTGCGGGTAATGTGGGAAATTGTACAGGGCTGGTGCTGGTGCTGTTCATGCGTGTGAGTATTTCTGCAGTGCGAGTGTTCAGATGGGTGCATATGGGTGCATAGCACAAGGCTATGCCGGCCACAAGCCGGGTTGGAAGGAGCACAGGACAAAAGTTATATCAAATCGAAATAAGTGGTTTTGATACTGCAAGTACTGTGGTCGAATTCGAAATGTCAAAAGGTACCAGATTGGCGGTAAGGAAGAAGGAAGGATGGTGGCGCGCCCAATCACTCCTTGGGCGAATGTTGCGCAGCGATAGCAGGATGAACCCGGCCGCGCCAAGCTTTCGGAAGGATGTCGCGGTCATCGCGCGCCGGCAGACCAGCGCCGGCCGAGGCGATCGCCAGCGCGTTGCTCCTCGTTGCGGAGCCGAGCCTGAGCGACAGCGACGAAGCTGACGATGCAGATCGCGAGCGGTTAACCTCGCCTCGTGCAGCTGCGTTTTCCGTAACCGAATACACAGCCTCAATTGCACTCGCGCTGACGCGATCTGCGTCTGCGCTCGAGGTCCGCCGGCCATCCATGGGTGCGCGCGGGTCGTCGCTGGCGCTGATGAAGCTTCCGGGGGTAGGCAAGCCAAAGTGCTTCGCTAGTTCGGTCCAGATACGGAACGGTACACCGCCCATGAGCGCATTCAGCGCCTCGATAGTCGTCGGCTCCAAATGCTGCGGCAAGCCTTCGAGCGCCTCTGCTTTGCTGCTGTTCCCTCTGCCGGGACTTGTGTCGATGCTTGTGCCCACGGTAGAAGTGCGCCGGGCATCTGCGCTGGTGAATATCCCGCTATATGCGTGCAGCTGTGAGCTCGGTGACTCGTAGCGATGCAGGGCGAGCGCACCTTCGCTAGCGGTTGCAGGATCGCTGGACCAGATCTTGATATCCGTCATGTCAGCTTCGGCATCTGCGACTGCATGTGCCTCCCTGTCCCGCACTTTTTCTTCAACAGCAGCCGAGTCCTGCTGCAGCTCCAAGAGCTCGTCGATCTGCGCTAGGCAATGCATCGCGTGCGTATGCGCGTGCAGATGGTAGTGGTGGCTTCGGGGCCAATGTGGCTGGCACGACGCGACAGCCGAAACCGAAGTCGGGGCGTGCGCGTACATGTAGTCTAGCGGCGCTTCGCTGATGTCGTATCCGAACCCAAAGCGGAGCGGCGACCGAGCTGCAGCCGCAGGCGCAGGCGCGGCCGCGGCGCTGTCAGCGGGCGCTGGTGAGTGAGGCGCGTCGGCGTCCGCGCTGTCGGTGCACTCAAAGAAGCCGTCGAGCACTTCGGGCTCCAGATCAAATACGCGGCGCAGGATGGCGCTCATGACCCTCTCGCCGCGCGAAAGCGGTGGACGCTGCTGCTGCCCTGCGGTTAGCTGTTGCTCCGCCTGACGCAGCTCAGCACCTTTACCCGTCGCTGTATGCGCCTGTTCTCGAGCGCCAGCTGATCTGCGGCCAAAGACGCCATGCACATGCACTGTCGCCATGTTGCTACCGCCTTTTGCTTTTGCTTTCGCCTTGGCCTTTACCTGCGACTTCGCATGGAGCTTCTGTTGCTGGCGCACCATCGCGAGGGTGACGCCGCCGCCGCCAGCGGACGTCGTCGCCGACTGGTGCGTGTGCACGGTGGAGACGGAGCGCGAGCAACTCGTGTTGTTGCTGCGCTTGCTGCTGCGGCACGTGTGGCGGTCCGCTGCAGCAGCGGCAGTGTCCTCAGACGCTTCGTCCGTCAAGCCGTCCGAATCATCATCCTCATCGTTCACGACATCGTCTTGCCCTTCGTCCTCTTCTGCATCGTTCGCAATGTGCCCGGCACCAGAGTAGTCACCGTCGAGCATGCCAAGGATCGAGCGCTGATGCTGCTGCCGCGCGCGCCGGCAGCGTCGACTGCGCTTCGTGCCGCGTGTATGCGCCGGAGCAGTAGAAGCGAACAGCTCGCCAGCTCCAACTGTCAGCAGAGGCACTCCAGCTCCTTCGCCTGCTGCGCTGATTGCCGCAAAGTAAGACGTGCTACTAAGACCAGCAGAAAGCGCCGACGGCGCGAGCGCGAGCAAGTGCTCGAATTCGTGCTGCTCTTGAAACGACGGCGTCTGCCTTGCATGGCGCACCTGTTGCTTGGACGAGGGCCCACACTGCCACTGCGGTTGCGATTGTGAATGCTGGTTGCAAGAAGCCGCAGCCGTAGCCGCAGCCGCACCTTTAGTCACTGGCGGATGATGCTCCTTGTAGAAGACGTCGACGTTGCGCAAGAGCCGTATAGCACGCTCCCTCTCTTCCAGCGCCACTGCATCCGGCGGTGCGGTGGCAGGGGCAGCAGCATCAGACCAGCTCTCGTAACCGTATCCAAGCTCGTGCTCGTGCTCGAACGGGCTGAAGATCACGCTGGTCGTCGAGTAGCTGTCGGCGCTTGTCGCCCTGCCCAGATACGAGGTGTGCGCTTGCGCTGCTGACCCGGTGGCACGTAGTCCGCCGCTGTGGCGCCGCTGTCGGGAAGCGGACGAGTCAGAAGAGAACGGCAGGGAAGGCGACTCGAGCGGCCAATCTTCCTCCTCCTCTTCATCATCCTCGTCATGGTTAGAAAGCGCGACCACCACCTCTTCTTCGATGACATCTGCTTGTTGCGGGAAGTCGAAGAAGTAGCTGCTGCCGGCCGAGGAAAACATGCCCCTTCCGTCGTGAGCGGGGGGCGGTAAGTTGCTCCTAGATGCTACTGTTGTCGTCGGTATCGCAAAAGGAAGGGAGCCAAAGAGTGAGGGTCAGTCGCCACATGCCAGGGACGAGGGCGACTTGGATGCCATCTGTGCGAGGGCCTTACCATCTTCCCGCTTCTCCTCTTCTCGGTCATGCTCAAAGTTAGAGAAGACATCTACATCCTCCGCTTGCGTTTCACTCTGTTTCTCCCTTGCCTTGGCCTCTGCTTCCGCAACAGCAACAGCGGCGGAGGCGGCGGCAGTGGCGGCCTGCGCCTTCAGCGCAGCTCTACCTGGAAAGACGACGCTCCAGTCGTCGTCCTTCCCCTTCTCGTTACCCTTGACAGGGTTGGCGACGCTGCCATGTGCGCCGAGCCGATCCATCGACTCTAGCAGCGCCGCATCACCGCCGCCGGCACGCCTGTTATTCCTCGTCGATGATACTTTGCTGGGCGAGCCGCGCGAGAGGTATCCCTGCGCAGCGGAGGTATCAACGAACAGCGTCGGCTCGGTCGTTCCGCTTTTCGCCGCGGGTGCTGAAGGTTGGTGTGGCAGGGGAGCCGCGTGCAGAAGTGGTGATCTGAGCGTCTCGGCCCGCAGTCGTTCATCGGCGTCAGGGCGGTCCTGGCCATCGTTGCGCTCGGGCTCGTGGCAGTCACAGTTGTCTTCATCCTCATCATCCGCACAGTCGTTGTAACTTTGACTCCGCTGCTGCAGCTGCCATTGCAATTGCAGTTGCGTCTGCGTCTGCGTCTGCGACGCCCTCGACCGCGCAGTCGACTTTCCCTTGACCTTGCTGGAGCTGTGATGAATCCGCTCCGACTCGGTCGGCGGCGGTGGGGACGCAGCGCGTTGTTGTCGCGTGCGTGAGGACGGGATCTTTTGGATGAAGGCCATCGTTGCCACGCTTACCGCTTGGCGATTCGCAGGTCAGGCTTGCTTCCTTTGCTTCTGCTGTCCGTGGGACGTTCTGTCGCTTGAGAGATGATGGATGGCCTCCGCACCCGCGTCTACGGAACCGGTGACAGGCAAGATATGCAGATGCAGATGACCACCGACGTCAACACAGAGATGAGCCAGCTGCGTCAGTCCGGTGCTTCTCTCGAGGTTGCAGTGGCCTGCCGTGTGTATTGTGACGTGTGTCAACGCCAAACCTCCTGCCCAAGCTGCGCAGTCGCAATGGACCTGGAGCGAAACCATGTCTGACTATCTGTATCCGTACGACGATGCCAATTACTAATGAGCAACCGGTCGCCACCCGACGGGGAGAGGAACGCAGACTAGCAGCCAGCCTAACATGTGAACTGGCGGCCGGGAGAGAGTGGCGCAGTGCCCCGCCTCCCCGGCGCTGAGATAACGCAAAGACAAAATGAAATCAGTCGATATCAGTCATATCACCGCCGGCACGCGTCTGCACCACAGCCCGAACCGAGCAACAGTTCCTAGTGTGAGGCCAGCCTGGCGGGCGGTGCAGTGTGGGAGATGGGCACAGAGAACAACATCGTCACGTGACTCATCCCATACGCTCCATGATATTAACCGACGGTGGAGACCAACTGGATCTTACCTACAGAATGGCCACATGGGGGTCATCGTCCCTCGCCGCGCTGGCTTTATACGCTCGCAATGCATCTCCAATGCTCACGGCGCCCTACCCGGGCGCTCGCTGCGTTTCCGTCCTAATAGCAAAAACGGCATGATATCTTCCTCGTGCCTCTCCTTCGCTCAGCCCATTCGAGATGCCACGCTCCCTTGCATGTATAATGTATCATTCTTGGTGGTGGATTGCTCTTTTGGCATCCTTAGGTATCCCCGTCATTTTCTCTGGCATAGCTAGCTCTCTGTGCCATCGATCCTATAGGCCTCGCCTGGGTGGGTAGTTTCAACCTGATTCCCCTGTGAATCATCCTTGCCGGCTCCAGGCTCAATCCTGCGGTGAACCATGGACCTTGTGAAGTGTATCATGTCAACCTCGACTCCGTCCTCCGCTGCTTGCGCCTAACTGTTACCTGCCCTGAGGGACGACGTCTTCGTCTCCCCGGAATTGTGCGCATATTGCGCAGGATCCACACGGAAGCATTCAGCAGATCTCATAGCTCGGCCTGCTGGTAGGGGCTCTCAAACGGCTGCACGAGACCGGAGAATGTCAGAACGCGGTTGGTATGATCAAGAAACTTTTCACATGTCGACGCAAATTCTCAGCCATGGCGCACTGGACTCACAACTAGGTAGGGCTGCAACACCTAGCGGCGCGGCGCACTGATCTTGTGTCCCGCCGTCGGTCGGACTGATCACCTCGTGATGGCGCACTTGATCTCCTGCAAATAACAGTTACTCTGCGAGCTTAGAGTCATCCACAAAGTAATTTCTGGATTTGCGCTCGGCCAGCCGCGCGCAGTTCTGTGACTGGCGTACAAACGCGTACAGCACCTCCGTGGTCTCGTCCCGCCGCCTGTCTTCCAGCTGCCAGGTGGAGGCCGCGTCGTGCCTCTAGTAGACAAAGAGCCTGTTTTTAAAAGTCTCTCGACTGGGAGGCGACTAAATACTTGCCTTAGCCGTGTCCGGAGCCAAGGTGCCTTCAGCCATCCCATCCCACGCGAAATCGAGCAAGTTGTTGGGAAGGAAGATCTGGCGGGTAGGCGGTCTTGTGAGCGCTTCCTCAACGCTGTCCGACATGAGCTTGCGCTTAGCTTGCGTAACTGGGTCTCCTCTGAGGTCGTCCTATCCACCCGCTCGGCTACCTTCCCGATAGCTTTACTCGCTTGGTGGGAGATCTTGGTCGAAGAATTCGAAAATGGTGGGCAACCCGAGCAACTCGCGTCGCTGGGGTTTTCGGGGGGCAATTCGATACTGGGCGAGGCTGAAGTCATGTTTGAGCTGCAAGTCAGGGCCGTCGTTGTAAGCCCGTGGATCGTCCATGTAGGCATTGAGCAGCCCATCTGGGTGTTCCCGCAGCTTAACAAGACCCGTCGCTTCGTACTCGTACAATGCCACGCGGCGAGCGAAGAGCGCAAGTTTCATTAATGGGTCATTCTCCGCATGTTCGGGTGAATGCCAACGCCGACTGAACAGGCCAAAGTCCAGCTGTGGTGCGTCTTTGCGCTGATCCCATCCTTTCGCGTGGACGGTCATTAGCAGGCAGTCCATCGCCGATCTTGAACGTTCCAGTATCAACGGAATAGCGAGCTCTTCTTGGTCTGCCTCAGGAGGGTAGGTGGGTGGCACATCCCATGGGTCGCATGGCCAGACATCATACATAGCGTCGACCGCCTGGTTTATCTTGATGGTCTCCGCACATGGAGGCAGGAAGCGAATTCCGGACCTGCGCTTGGCGTACTTCCAGAATCGCATGTCAATTGTTCAAGTGCGAGCCGTGTATCAGATCCATTGCGAGCGTGCCGTACCCTTTGCACGGAGCTCGCGTGGCGCGAGGCAGCTTCCATGCCTCCCATCCGCCGAAGCCGACACCGTCTTGGTTCAGGTCAAAATTCGACAGGATGCGCATCGACGATGGACTGAGCTTCAGAATGACTTATACTCGCCGAACAGGATACTTGGACGGCAGGAGTGTGATCGTGTTGCTGTTTTGCACGACGACCTAGATGACCTTCTCGCCGTCAATCGCCGGAAGACTCCTTGTATCAATTTAGTCGAAATGCTTTAGCGTAGCGGTTGCTTGTTCCGAGGGCAAGTCCTACAGGTAGATACTGACATCGAACAATCGTCCAGTCAGTACGTTGCCATTGACTGCGGACCGTGAGTATGTACTTACTCGATGTCGGCAAACTTTGCTGCCTCGACTTCTTTGGCAGTGGTAGCTGCCAAAGCAGCCAGAACGATGCCTCCGTCCACAAGTGAGTTGCTCCAGTCGTATCCGTCGAGCAGATTTCCAATCAGCCCCCCGAATCCTCGGATGTACGAAGGAAGCTGACGAATGTGAATGGAATCTTGCCGCTTCTGGTCGAGCAACCTGACGCGTGAAATATCATCCTTTGCTCGTCGAAGGACATTCCATTCTGGAATGTCGTTAACTGTGGCGGGCGGAAATCTGTTCCCGAAAACGATTGTTGCATCACGCCTTAGACCAAGCATTCATTCTCTCCAAGGCAAGCCGCCATGCATTAGGCCCGTCTTTCTGTCGCTCAAGTCCAATCACTTGATGACCTGATTTCTTTCCTCTTCGTTGAACTCGTCGAGAGCCGATCGAGCCCGCATGAACTTCTCGTTGACCAAGATGAGTTTATCGATTTCGGTAGATACGCAGAGCATGCCAGCAGAGGGCTCGGATTCACTGGCAGAAAATGCGAAGTCCGCCTTATCACGCTGCTGCTTTTCCCGCCAAGAGCTTCAGGGTCGTAGTCATCAGGGCTCGAACGAAGGATACAATCAGACGATACATTCTCGAATGTTGGGGGACGTTTGTAAGTACAGAACCTTCATATTCGAGCCCCTTGCCTAGCTATTGCGCCAAGCCGCGAGTCGCCATCAGAGTCGATGAATGTTCTTCTTCTGTAGTTGATGCTGAGCCTATGCTGAGCGCAGGATCGATCCGCTTTCTGCCTAATGCAATTTCGACATTCTTGATTTTCTGAGCCAGCTAGAGCGAGTGCTGCTTTTGGATGACCTCGATCGCCATCTCGCCAATCGAGAGCAATGTCGTTATCTTTTTCAGTGCGTTCGTCCCACTCTCAATCACTGTAGTAGGAAAACGCTCCGGATTGCGGGGTGTGCCGAATAAGACACATAACAGCGGGGAAATTGCTCTCGTCGTAGACGTCGGAAATATGGCCGGGCTCTTGACGGTCCAGGCGGAGCGCCTCACCCGTCTGGTCGTAGGATTGGATATGTGCGCCGATCTTGAAAAGCTGCTTCTGTGCACGGGTGTTCATTGCACTGCGACCGGTGCGTCTTCCCTCGCGATCTAAGCTGTTGGCTAGGCCCCTGAGCAATGTAGCCACTAAAAGCTAAGGCCGTGATGCTCGCTCTTTAAGCAACAACCGGTGTACTCGTAAAAGCGGGCTGTGTGAGCGTCATGTAGTCCGGGAACCCAACCCGGTCATTGGGCCTATCGCTCCCGTGAGGGTTGTTCCAGCCTCTGCCGAAGACTAAGCATCGTGGGCGTCGTGGGCAGGTGGCGTAATCATCTTCAACAGCGTGCCGTTGTCCAAACACTCACAATAGTCTCGACTCATATAACCCTCCACAGTTCCACCTGCCCCGCAGGACGCAGACAGCAGGGTCGCAGTCCATCCTCGGCCTTGTCAAGGCTTAGCGCTCAAGCGCCTATGACTGATTAGCTGCGCGCCAGCTCCCTCATAGACTCTTTGCTTGGAGAGGAAAGATTTTCCCAGGCCTAGAGCTCCTTGCAGTCCCCCGTCCGCCCCATAATTGCGCCTATTCATCTTGCGTTAACCATGCATGACAAAGGATAGGAGTTTCAATAAACTCGCATCACAGCTCACTTAGTCACACACTGTTCGCAAACTCACAGTCACCGGCGATCAGCCGGATAGTCGCTATTCGCCACCTGTCGCTCTGTAATTCTGCACTCCAGCTCTCCTCCGGCCGGGCCGCCAAGCCTTTCTCTGCACTCTGCAGTCGAGAATGCTCCATCTGCAACGACGAACAAAAGAGAAATACTCCAAACACAGGTCTTTGTTGCCGCAAGTTCTAAGGGTGTTGTCTTGATGAACTCCTCCATCTTGTGAATGATTTGCTACAAGTTTTCTCTTCATGTGTCCGTCGTGTGTGTGCTTCCGTGTCGGTCTCGCTCGTACTGTCTGGCATGGCGCCTACCAATCCACCAAACAAGAGCAGTACCATCAGATGGACGAACCAGCGTGCAAGAAGAGGTGGAATTTCAGAAGGCGATGCATTCATATGCCAAGATTGAACTTCTGCATCATCAAATATCATGCAGTCTGCCAGACATGCAGCACATCTGCATAAGTTTCGTCCTGACCCCAACGATCCATGAACACCTCCACTCCACCATTGATCATGCACTCATGCGCCCAGAAAGCCGTCCGAGTCCAGGCTACTGCCGACTCTGTGTCCTCCATTCGCAAATACAGTTTTGCGATGCTCAGCATGCATGCGAGAGCATCGTCAAAGTGGAGGTCGGGCATTTTGTCGCATGTCAGACTTGACGTATGGGAAGACGCACTGGGCCCTTGGCGCGGCTGCACACCAACCACTGCTAGTGCATCGAGGTAGGACTGCCAAAAGATATCGGCGAGCTCAAAACCAGGGCAGAACTCGTCAAGCATGGCATTTCTTTCACTCACTTGAATAGATTGCTCCAAGCTGCCGGCGCAATTGCAGATTTTTGCGATTTCAACATGCACATGCATGAGTTCAGGTCGCAAGTACCCACGTGTTGAGGAATAAGTGTGCTGCAAGTCTTGCACAAGTGCTTGCAAGGACCGCATCGCATCATGCAGAGCATCCACATCCACTTCCTTCTCGGGTCCTCCTTGGCCTTTCATCACCAGCCGACTACGCTCCAATAGGGCAGGTAGCGTGCCGCCCATGATCGCCTGCCGCTTTTTGACGTTTTCGTCGCCATCACCCCGATCAAGCACGCAAAGCGTGCAACCACACTTGAATTCGTGCTTGCTCAGCTGTGCTGAGCGGACCGCGTATGGCTGCTCCCCTTTGACGTATTGATGCATGATCTCCGTCCCCGTTGGAAGCCTGTGTAGTGCTCGCGTGGTCACAACGTCACCAAAGAATACCGAAGACACGTTGGGTAAGCAACTGTGGTTCAGAATCGCAGGGAGCGGGTGAGGCATTGTTGCGCGTCCGAGCTCGCCTGTCATTTCTGGTATCGACGCGGCCGCATTGCTGCTGGCGCCGCCACTTATTTTTGCCTTCGGGTCTGACTTCCTGGAGATTTGTCCCGGTCCGAATGCATTGAAGCGAAGGACACCATCGACGTACGCAGCGTCGATGTCGAGCTCATCTTTCTCATCCAGAGCAGATGGCGGAACATTGGACCATCTTAGCGGATATGGCTGTTTAGCCCACTTTGAGACCGGGAGCTTTGGTCCAGCCGTAAGCCCAAGGAAAGGAAGTGCTAAGTTCGGTCGATCGATGAGGCAATGGATGATGTTGGTCGCCGCAAGAATTTGCGTTGTTGTACTAATCAGCCCATCTTCAAGATTGAGTCGAATGACCGGTATACCGCTACACCCTTCATCGGCGGCGAAGGAGCCGCCAATAGCGCGGCAGCAGAGCAACAACTCGCCCGGTTCGACTTCACGCGTGAGCACCAAACCTCGCCCCGCTCCCGGGATGTCGCGTACTGTGACGGGACCGACAAAGTCCGCGGTCGTCAGACGCGCTTTGTCGCTTAGCTGACTTGTAAAGTAGAAAGATGCAACACGCGCTGAGCTGCACCCTTGACCTGCTTCTGTCATAAGTCCTTGGGACTTGTGCTTGAGAGTGGCCATCGCTGAGCTTGGCGAGGTGGTGGAAGACATCGCTTCAAAGGCCTCAGGGTAGGCACCTGCATCGAATAGTAGCTGACACTGCAACTCTTCAAGCTCCGCATCTGCACTGGAATTGACCGCCTGTTGAGCCGAGACGACCCGGTAGGCAGCCCCGGTCCTTCCCTGAGCTCTGAATACATGTGCAGCGTCTTTGGCAGCCGCACTGTCTGCATCACTCGAATGATAAGATTTCCCGGAGAACCTTTGCAACCACTTGAGATGCTTCAAGGAAGGCGAAGCAGCTGGTAATGTTAGACTCTCTTTCCAAGTGACATCGGACAGTAGTGCGTCATCATCGTGTAGCACCTTGATGTCCGTCGGCGTGTCTACCCTGATGCCAATGACGCTTTTTGATGATGCAGGCCCTGCGCGGCTGGCGTGGTTGAGCGACAAGTACGGCTCACGTATGGCCAAGGCTGTTCCAATGGGCAAGAGGCTGCTGAGCTCAGCAATGGAAAGCTTCAAGTTGGAGGTGAAATGCGAAACAGACACTGGTACTGCATCTCCCGCGGAGTCTTCGACGATAAAGGTGCATCCGACGTAAAGGTTGAGACATGAAACGACGCGACATAGCAAAAAAGAACCCACATGACGAGCAGGAGCTTTGAGGTTCCGCACGCTCAGCGCCTTCAGTTGCGATAGAGGTGTTGTTGAGTGATACGTGTCGCCGCCGTCAAAAATCAGTCGCGGGTGGTAGCCTTCTGAAGCAGCCCACGCTTCTTGCATGCGCTTGATCTCGGCCGCTTGTCGGGCGAGCAGAGCTTTTCGAGGGACTGTCTTAATCGGTTTCGGCACCGCTAGCGCATTCAGTTCAGACTGTCGATTAAGGGTTAGGTGATGTTAGCAGCAGTGCAAAACGCTACGCCCAGCCATGACCTCCATTGCCTACTTTGAACAATTCCTTTTCCTTTTGAAGAGCCCTTGCAAAATTCTCAAACAAAGCTTGTACCCCCGCATCTAGGATATCCTTTGTCAAGAGCGAGTCGTCATTGTCGTCCTTGGATTGGAGGGCCAGCAGCTGGGCTAATCGCCGCTGAGATTCTGGCTCCTGGTCAAGAAGCTCAAGCAGCTGCTCTGAATTCGGCGCCTGCAGACCTAAGCCTCTCAGTGAGCGCAACAGATCTTCCATCTCAACCCAATCCAAGCCACGCGACGTCACTACAACCACAAGCGGCTGCTCTTGAGTCTGGAAGGAACAAGGGCGAGCAAAGCGAAGTGAAAGCGTGAAATGAATTGCGATTTGTGGACAAATATCCCCGGATTCCGATGAAGCTCGGCAGATAGATATTCTGTGATGAATTCGGTGCAACTTCGCCTTGATATCACGGAGTCCTCCTTTAGACCCAAGTTTTGGTCCGTTCGGACCAATCTCTCGACCAAAGGACTCCCATTTCTCCTGATACCACTGTGTGGTATACCTTCGATGGCCCTTCTATTCCTCTTCAGGTGCCTCGAAAGGGATAGAGCAGAGTACAGTTTTTCCAACCCGTTTGACCATCAGGCTTCAAGGGCTCAGCGTCAAGCGACTCACGCTGCGTCATGGCATCGGGTGCCTCGATCACAACGATGATCGCCAAGGTTGTGAGCCGATGAACCCATTCTTGCTGACCGCTTATCAGTACCGGTCTGCTACGGTCTGCCAGAACCAATTAGAACCCCAGGGAACGAATGAAAGAGGCTATATACTGCCATAAACCAGCACTTCTACACAATTCCAGGATGCTCTCTATTGCCAACAGAAACCGGGTTGAAGTTCACCACTTACTGGCCCGTGAGCCTCTCACACTGCCTGTGATGACCTGACCATGGTTCCTGGCCGAGACCCAACCCGTGCCTCTGCAGTGCCTCCACAGTGCGCAGGTCTCTGCTGTCACTCGACACCCCCACGGGGTTTCACAGGATGAAGTAGTCTCGCTATGCGCTGGTGTGTATGTACAGCATACAAGCCCGAGCCCACCGTCAGCCCCCGCCTGCCCCAGCATCTTCGATGACATGGTCACGAGTGCCCAGGCCTACTTTCAGGAGCCTTCAGAAGTTAATGTTGCCGCTGCGGTGGCACCCGTATTGATATTTTGTGCCTGAGCTCGAGTACGTCGGATGCACTGCGGTAAATGTTTATTGGTGCTGACGGCATCGAGGCTGGCTTAACTGCTCTCTTTCCGGATCTTCGCCCACCTACCTGGTCCTGCTCATATTCACAGACTTCGCATGTTTAACAGTCAAATTCCTTGCCTTTTTGTTGGAGATGCTTGTTAGAATGGACTTGGGGAGTCATCCAGATATCTGGGGGCGTATGGCGTCGGACGATCGAAGAGATACGGGTCATTCGGTGATGCCTCGAATTTAAAAGACCAACACATTTGATGAGCATACCCCTAAGATCTGTTCCAGAGGGCACCTTCCCTCTCCCTTTCGCCTTACTGGATCCCTTCCCCTGATCGCTTTCGTCACCTACACGATGTTGCTCAATACATCTTTTGCCGCTCTCATTCCTACACAGCGGCGACGTTGCTCGCACTGGCGACGGGCTCGACAATCGCAGCACCCTCCGTTGATCTCTCACCATACGGCGAATCGGCTGCAGGACTCTCTACTTTCATATTCAGCGAACTGCGTCTTTTATCTCTGACCAGCTCTTGCCTCGCAACAATAATGGTAGTAATAGCCATGCGCTCAGCTACGATGGACCGTACCTCGCCGGCGACCCTGGCCCCTGGCAGGCCGCATTTCTCAAGGCCAAAGCTCTCGTCGATCAGATGATCATCCAAGAGAAAGCCAATATCACACTTGGCTAGACTGGTGAGCAGCCCAGCGTATCTCCTTGATTCGCTGCTTGAATGAGGTTCCCGGCTTGTTTGGGTTCGTCGATCTACAGGAAACTGTGTCGGCTTCACTGAGACCGTGCCACGCCTGAATCTGACCGCGATCTGCCTCCAAAACAGTCCTCTCGGTGGTGAGTCTGTTGCCTGACACCAGTTTCGAAAACCTCTACAGCCTTGTTAACCGATTCTGTTGTCTTCGTGTGCAGTTGGTCCTGCACGCCGTGAATCGCAATTCCCGGCGGGCGTCACCACGGCTGCGACGTGGGACCGCGAATGGATGAAAGAGCGTGCCATTTCCATCGGAACGGAATTCAAAGCAAAAAGTGTTAACATGTGGCTAGGACCTGTGACAGGCGGACACCTCAGCCGTTTTCCACTGGGGGTCGCAATTGGGAAGGCTGTTCTTCAGACGAGTATCTAAATGGCGTCGCATCGCACGTGGTGGTCCGATACGCTCACAGCGTCGGTCTCATGGCATGTGCCAAGCACTACGTGAGCAAGATTCCTTGTGGCGCCGAACCAGTAGGCCGGGGTGCTGAACATTTCCTTTCCATAGATGGACTACGAGCAAGAGACCTACCGCAATCCGTACAATCTTTCCGAACCTTACCAGGTCTACCCTACCATTGAGCAGAAGCACATCTCCTCAAATGTGAAACTTAAGACTGAACACGAACTGTACCTTTGGCCCTTTGCCGAAGCCGTGCGGCCCAGAACAGCGGCAATTATGTGCTCGTGAGTTCACGGAAACCGCAACCCCACCACTTGCCACGTACTGAATTCACCTGTCTGCGCTCACTCTTTCTGTAAACCTGATGGCAGGTACAGTGTAAGTGAACGACGACATCGATCTATTTTACGCTTTGCATTCACATGACCTGCCACTTGAGCTTCACAGCAAATCAGCCACGTCCAAGCATGTCTGGACTCCTACCATCAGAACACCATCCTCAAAGGAAAATTGGGTTTCAGAGGGGCCATCGTCACTGACTGGGGTGGTAAGTAGGGATCCAAAGGGACCTACTCAGTAAGGTTCTGACCCTTTCGCAATATACAAGAACTCACGGAAGCCGAGAGCGCCGTCGGCGGCCTCGATGACAGCATGCCGGGCAGGCTTACAAGTGAGTCTTGAACGTGCATCTATACGGGTGACTCAGTACGGCTGATCTGATCTTCTTTCCAGCGGACAATTTGGTTTCTTCTTCTTTGACCTGGACAAGCTGGTTGCCAATGACACCGTGCCCGAAGCGCGTCTCGACGACATGGTCCTGCGGACTTTGATCGCGTGGTTCCACTTGCAGGACCCAGAGACGTACCCCGCACCAAGTTTTGACGTCAGAGATTTGTCGAAGCCCACCAACAATATACGTGGCGATCACCACAAGCTCTTCAACCAATTGGGCAAGGAGAGCGTAGCTTTTCTCAAGAATATCAACAGCGGAGGCCGCGGACTTCCTTCCTCGGCCGACGCCTCCTCCATCTCTGTTGCAGGGCAAGACGCTGGCCCGAATCCGGACGGATGGACCAGCTGTAGCCAATTCGGAAGATGCGAATTGAACGCGAACAATGGAACCTGACCTTTAGTGGTGATAGTGGCTGGGCATTCCCTCCTTACACTTCGGAACCGCGTGCAGCTATCCAACAGTACGCACGAGACAAGGCATTCGATGTTAACATTGCCCTGAACAATTACAAGTGAGTAGTGCACTCTTTGTCGTCCTTTGCCATTCGCTGACGGTGAGGCATTGTCAGCTCGACCCATCAAACAAGCTCGTGTCTCTGAGGCCGCTCTCGTCGTTATCAATGCATTCGCGACGGAGGGCCAATACCGTCAAAATCTCACCGCTTGGGCGAACGGTGACGAGCTCGTGAACTCTGTCGCATCCGGGCACAACAACACGATCGTCATCACCCATGCGCCTGGACCCATTCTGGTCGAAAAGTGGGCAGACCATAAGAACGTGATAGTGATCTTGCATGCTCTTCTGCCTGGTCAGGAATCTGGCAACTCGATCGTCCCCGTGCTCTTTGGCGAAAGTCCCCCAGTGGAAAATGGCCATTCGTCATGAGCAAGAAGCTCAGCGATTGGCCGCCTCATAGCATTTCGTACGATCCTGTGCGCCACCCGCAGGTGGATTTCACAGAAAATCCCTTGATTGACTACAGATGGTTCCAAGCGAAGAACATCAAGCCTCGCTAAGCTTTCGGTCACTGTCTGACCTACTCGACCTTCAGCCTGTCCGGCTTTACCGTCTCTGAGTCCTTCGCCGCCGACGTCGACTCGCTCGTGCCGAGCCGCGAGGCGTACGAAGGCTATAAGACCAGCTAGTCTTTCTACGACCAGATTGCTGCTGCGACAGTCAGCGGCACAAAGACGGGCTCTGTGCGTGCCGCCGAGGTTGCGCAGCTGTACATCACCTTCCTCGCTGCAGAGAATGAGCCGCCATATCTGTTTCGCGGCTTTGAGAAAGTCTGGCTAGAACCTGGCGCGTCGGCGATGGTCACGTTCCCGCTGCGCCGCAAGGATTTGTACGTCTTTAAAGAAGCCAAGAACAGCTGGCACAAGCCTCGCGGCAGCCTCAAGCTCAGTGTGGGAACCTCGTCCGACGAGTTTGTCGCCACTTCGGCTTTAACTATTTGAGGTACATCACACCAAGCTCAACAACTAGAAAGCATTCTCTCGCACACATCTCAACTCTTATTTTGCCATGCTTCCAGAGTCCGCCAGCTGGACAAAGAGGAACACGAAAGTGCCTTCGCGATTCCATTTTCTGCTATCTCATTACTCTAGAATGAATATCTTTATGAAGCCCTTATCTCAAATCCACTTGCTGCCCATTGCTTCCAGAATGTTCTATTGGGAGAAATAGATGAAAGTCCATGCAGGTGCAGTCTTGTGTAGACTGCTCGTTGTGCTCCAGCGAACGCACGGCGCGCGTGCGGCAGAGCAAAGTGGACCTGTTCCGCACTGTGCACCAGCTGGGCATCCTGTTCTTTCTCAAAGTTGAAACTCGGATCCGCGGAGCTCCTGGCACTGTCGTTTTCGGCATATCTAACGGCACCAGCCGCGTTACCGTATGTGGCGGTGCTGGCCCTTCTGTTGATGCTGGCGATGCTGTTGGTGCTGGCGGTCCTGTTGATGCCGCCATAAAGGTTCTTGGTGCGTCGGTGCGTGCCACCAGAGTGTGTGCATGCCAACCGGCAGCTCGATATCAACCACTTGGCCGCGGAACTGGATGGTGGCGGTGAAGTTCTCGAACAAGCCGGTACCGTAGTGGTCGTTCTGCTGCAGGAAAACGAGCGAGAAGCGCGACATTCCGTTCCCGAGAGGGTTTTCGAACCCTGAAAGGAGCGAAAGAGTAAGAGAGAGCAAGGGTCAGTATAGTTCAGCAAATAGTTTGAATGATGCGAAGCCACGTACGCACCTTGGGCAAGAAGCTGTCCGGCCGTTGTGTTGACACCCATGACAAACGACTGCGTCTCCATCCCGCGGACGCGAGTCGCCAGCGAGCCATGCGCGAGCGTGGCGAAATCGCTCGTGAGTTCGTACGATCCGTCTGGGAGGATTTCGATGGGCGCCAGGCAGTTGGTGCAGACACCTGGCAGCGTCGGGCCTGTGAAGCGGTCGGCGGTCGCGTTCAGCACCGCGTTCCAGAGGATGACGCTTTGCGACTTATAGTTGATCGAGCCGACAGTGAGGACTTGGCCCTGCGTTTTGAGGTTCTGCCACGGTTCATTGAACCATTGCGTAATCTGCACAGAGAAAGCGTTTCCGTTTATATGTTCAAGAGATATGCGCGCGAAGGAGGCTGCCTTGGCGAAAACTCACGCGCGTGCACTCGGTAAAGTAGACCTCCGCATCTGGATAGGCGAGGTTGAATGGCTGCTGGCCGGAGGGGCTGCCGCCGTAGCAATGCCATGCGACGCCAGTGAAGGCTTTGCTGCGATTGAAGACGTCGATCGGATACTCCTGCAAGTCCCAATTGTGATCGAGTGCGAGCAGACCGACGTCCTCGAATCCGTTGCTGTCAAACTCGGCGCGAACGAGGTCACCAATGTCCGCGGCGTCATCGGATTCGATGATGGTGCCGGGGTAGGCGGTCGGAGCATATTTGGGCTCATTCTGCAGCGAGAGGCGGTAAGCCTGGATGCCCATCTCTCCTAGCGCCATGAGGATCTTGGTGAGGTACTTAGCGTACAGAGAGTAATACTGCGGCTGGATCGTGCCGCCGTGCAGGCCATTGGGGCCGTTGCTCTGACCCGTCTTCATCCACGCTGGCTGGCTCCACGGCGCAAAAAAGTGCTTGACGCGACCATTGGAAACGGTCGTGATGTCCTGTAGCGTCGTCCACGTCATTGGGGCCGCGCTGATGTTAAAGTTCTCAAAAGTCGGATCCGGCGAGCCGTCAGACGTGTCGTCATACGTATACTCGGCGATGGAGAAATCAGTGGCCGACAGAGGCGTGCGCGTCAGTGTGCAGCCTGCGCCGCCTTTGGCAATGTACTCTTCGGATGGGTCGAAGAGCAAGCGCAACAACTCCCAATACAGCGTCTCATTTTGCTGCCGGACACCTTGCAGGACGATCGACGTCGCGTCGGTAATGCCGACGCCCCAACCATGGAATTCCTGCAGGCGCTGGTTCGAGGCTGTCCAGTCAATGAGGGAATTGGAGTCGTGTATTTTAGCACGAAGAAACGACAGCTCCCTCGACTTGTGCATCCATGCGCACCAGGGTAAACATTCGGCGCCTGAGCGCTGGAGGACCGGTCGGCCGCGTCTACAAAAGTGCGAGCCGACTTGCTGTACTGACTCGTCACATCGCTGATCCACAGCTTTTTGTCGTACGTCGACGACCAGACGGCTTCGATCTGCAGCGCCCGTACTGACGCAGCCAACGCCAGCAACGCGGCAGCGAGGATGATGAGAGAACGCATGTTCCAAGCCGAGCAATCAGATAACCAGATGGGACGCGGTGGGTTGCGTCCGGCCTGCAGAGAATTACTTCAGGCTGCAAACTCGGGCGAACCACAACACGTATAGGAATGAATATGATGCAATGCCGCGTCCTGCATTGTACATTATATATACCAACAAGTTCTTTCAGCTGCAGTTGCAGAAGCCGAGTAGATCTCCAACAATATTGCTAATGGGTCGACCAACCAGCCCGAAGGGGAGGCTTCGCCAGCATGCAACCTCGTTCCGCACAGGCGCACGCTTTGTGCACACACAATGTCCACAAGGATTGCGCAGATCAGACCACACGCCAACGTGCGCCAACATGCAACAAAGGTGTATGCACAGGAGGCCAAGGGTGCCAGAGGCGCACGAGATGCATATTGCATATCATAAATGTGATCAAGGTGGATCCAAACGTTAGCGACATGCAAACAGTTCCGCCCTTTGCTGTTCAGGGGAACCGACGGCCTGCGTGCCGCGGCCGTTGTACCTGCCTGTACTTGGTCGGGGGCACTAGAAGAGTCAAGTCGAGAAGCGCCAACTAATCACAATTTAGACGACTGCCGAGCCGGAAGCCAGCCTTGGGACGTGCGCACTCCGCATCCAGCGGAACGCAGAGACGAGAGAATCACATCGATCACACAGCACGCTTCTCCATTTCGGAACTCGCCCGTTGTCAATGATATACTGTACATTGGGCTCACTTCTTTCCTTCTCTATGCCACATAAATATCTGTTGCGTGCGCCTGCCGAGTCGTAAATTAGATTTCGGACGAGCAAAGTCTGACAGCTTAATCCAGCTTGAAGTCGTCGACGATCAGAGAATGGCAGAACAAGTTAGCTGGGCGGGACGGCGCTCCTGCCTCACGTCGAGCAACGCTTATGAGCCGCTCACCGACGCCAGCTAGACCCTTGGCATCGCCAATGCTGGCCTGGCACTCGTATGCCAGCACTAATGGGTGGGGCTTGACGACGGCGGCGCCGTCGTTGGAAGGCGCTTCCTTGTGATCGCCGCCGCACCTTTCCAGAAAGCGCACGCAGCAACGTGGAGACCACATGAGGGTTGCTTGACGTGAGGGCGCCCCGAGCTTGCGCAGGTTCGAAGGCGCTATGAAACGGGCCGTACGGATACTTCTTGCCCTTCGTGGCGCCCAATCGCTTGTGGAGTCCCTCGACGATAGATCACATCGTCGCACTCCCGCCGTGAGCCCGCGTAGGTGCAACCGCGCTCAGGCACGCTAGCATCCTTGGTCTGGGTGGCTCCTCCTAGTCAGCGGTTTCTGGTCGGTTCAGTGGACGAACACCTCGCTCGTACTAGTGCGCCACTTACTGCACAACATTTTTGCGTACTTCGAGCTGCCAGACCAAATCTTCAGCGATCGGGGCATTTCGTTCTGATCTTGCGTCTGGCCTTTTACATCTCTGGAAGTCTAAACCGTCAATATCCATGCCTTACCATCCGAAATTCGACGGAAAGGCGGAGCGCAGTAACCAGAAGCCCAAGCGCTACCTTCACTTGCACGCTGCGTACCGCCAGGACGACTGGGCCAAGCTGCTACCGGTGGCACAACTCGCACCCAACACGCGACCGGGCTAGCCCCGACCATGACTCGTTACAGGCAGCTGTCAGGGATGCGTCCCGAATTTGCGGCACTGGCGCCGCTCAGTACTGACTTCCGCGCGATTGGCCTGCAGACATTACAGGCTCACGCGCGCGAACCCATCGAGCATGCTACTGCAGTCGTCAGTCGGCACCACAACACCAAATACCAGGACGTAACCTTTCATGCCGGCGATGAGGTAATGCTGTGCACTAAGTGCTTCAGCTCTCATGCCGAGGAAGAAGTAGCTTGATTGCTATAGCGAAAAGGTGAACTGAGTACAACAGAGCCGCTACTTATAGACCAGTGTCCAGTTGGTCTCCTCCTGGCATCGTTGTGGTAGGCCGAGTGAATGTCGAGGAGAATGATTGCAATGACTTTGTGGGATAAATGGAGGTGATTGGTCGCGTTGCATGGAGACCGTCTTGCGCATATAGTGCATCCTAATAATGGGTATGAGGCCGAAGTAGGTGTGATGAAGCTTGAAGTGTTGATTGTCCATCTTGTTGTTTGTGTTGCCTTGGGTGTAGTCCAATGAACTGCGCGCTTCACGCCGCACGCGGCTACAGCGGTATGTGGATAAGTTGTCCTGTTGCGCGCTGCACTCACGCACTTGCTCACTGCGCATGGCCCCTCTTCTCCGCCTCTCGCTCCCCTTCTCGTTGTGGTTCTGGATGTCCCATTCTGTGAAGCAACAAGCGGACCGGGTCCCGAGTGGATGGGTGTAGGGCTTCATCTCGAACTGTATATTTCATCACATCCTCCGATAGATACCTTGCAGAGCAGTGTGCGCAAAGAAGCAGCTGCGGTTTGCGAGTCGATACCAACCGAGGAACCACTCCGCTTTAGGTTCGCAACATCCGCACCCCCCTTCTCTCTCCATAGCGTCCCGCGCGCGGCTGTCTCCTGCCATCCTTCGCTTCTTCAGAATTCGACTCGTGGCGGCGATGATAACAACGCTCGTAGCCAGTCATACTCAGCACCCATTTCACAGATCCGCAGCAACAGCAACAAGCCACCATGGCAGGTCAACTAGATAGCGGTAGCGGTAGCAATGGCAATAGCAGCGGCAGATGCAGCGCGCGTGCGCTGCCACGGATACGCAAAGGGCAGAAGATCGATGTGAGCTCAGGCCCAGACACTCGCGTCGGGTGACATGTACATGCGCGGATTGCCAGGGAATGGCGCTTCAAATGGAAGTTACAGGCAGCTGACGTGTGCACTCTGCGTTCACTTTTGTTCTGCCGTTCTGCTTTTCGCCACACCAGGAAGCCCTAGCGCCGCTGCAAGCCCTTCCGCCATCGGTGCAGTACATTGAATCGCCGTTCCAGCTGCAAGAATACCTCTCCTTGCTGCTGCGGCAGGATCCGCACGACGTAGACCGCATCGTGTCCTTACCAGAAGCGGACGTGTCGCGGATGTTGGCCGAGGAGAGGTCGAGTCAAATGGGAAAGGGCAAGGATGCCAACCTGGCGGGAGGCGTACCAGCTCAGCTGGTGGACGAGGAACTGCACCCGATCGACACGGATGTTTGGGTATTTGAGCAGCTAAGGTACGCCTGAAGCTGTCAGGCAGGCTCTGTCCAAGGCGAAAGCTGATCCGCGACGACACGTTCTCTCCTCCCATTTCTGCGTGCGCTATCGCGCACTGCGCAGACGCATCGTGCTGGATCTCTCCACGCCGTGGCTGACGTCTCTGCAGCACGACTGTTCGAAGACCAAGAATCCATCCACGTGCGACGCGATGAACGCCGGCGAGTGGATGTACCTCTGCGCCTCGCACGGCGAGGAGAAGCAGTGCTGTGCGATTGACTACACCATCCACACGCTCGACGGCGCCACCGCGCTGCTCAACTCGGCGCGCCACTTCCCCAGTCGGACATACATACCCACGACCAGCTTGCGCCATTTTGGCAGCATCAGCCGCCGCCTCAGCAGGATCTTTGTGCATGCCAAAGACCACCATCGCAAGATATTCGACGAGTGCGAGGTCAGTACGCACGCATGCTTAGTGGCCGCTGGCAAGGTCCGATTTAGGCGTGCATGCTGACTGACGCGCTTTGCTCTCCTTCAACAGAGTGAGACCTCGCTATATGCACGCTTCTACGCACTCTGCAAGCTGTACGACCTGATCAGCATCGACAGCCTCCCCTCCCCGTGTACGCTAGCAGCGGCGTCCGAAAGCTCGAGCCGTGCATGGTCAAAAGCCTCGGGGTCAGCGCCAACAAATGAGTCTTTCACGATGGGGCGGGAGACCAAGGAAAAGGGTGGGGAGGGAGAGCAGAAGCAGATCACGCTGCTGCAGCGACCGCAACCTCATGTCGCAGCATCTGAAGAAGAAGGCGCTGCAGACACGGCCACCGCGGAGGCAGCGGCCACAAGAGGCGCGAGGGTGCAGCGCACGGATACCATGACGTCGCGCAAGTTACAGGAGGGTGGGATAACAGGCGCGAGTGGAGGCGAGAACGAGAAAACGTCTGCAGAAGAGCCCGAGAGGGTGCAAGGGGAGCATGCTTCTGCTCCCGCTGCTGCAGATGTGGATGCGCCATCTGGCCCGGAGGAACAGGACACCGGGGGACCAGTAGCCGGCGACGCGTCTGCCTGATCGAGCTTCGCGAAGGCTTCGATAAACTAAACGCCACCGCCACTGCCTTTTCCTCTGCTCTGGTTTATTTGCATTTGATCGCATGGATATACATTTTAATGTGTTCGTTCGCGTCTGCCCTCTTGCTTAGCTCGTGTATAAATAGAGGGCGTGCTGACTACATGCGCTGATGTCAGCCAGCAAGATTCAACATCTAGCATCCAAGCATCAAGACGTTCTTGACCCCGGAGTTAATACCAGTATCGCTTTTTGCCCGTGTGACCGTCTCCAGATGTTCAAGCAGCGGTACCTTTGATCTCTATGGTTTCCTCATAGTTCACACTTTCGAAAGATTAGACGATCCTCGAATCTTGATTTTCCTCTTACATCAAGAACTGCTAGCTCAAAGCAAGCATCGATTACAGCCGGGGGCCAGAAGCTGCCATATCAGCGCTACCGTCATCCCCAATCCTTGCCAGCGACTTTGGCGTTCTCTCTTGAGAATCCAAGATGCTTGAGTATGAGCACGATGAGGCAATACGGCGCCTTCGAGGCCGAACTGGCTGGGTCAACGTTTCGCTTGACCTGCCATAATCTAGGGCTAATAGTTCAACTAAGAATCTTTATATCTGGTTGGATGCCTACCCAGTGACTCGCTCTCAAGTCACCAAATAGTGCAAGTCCAGAGGCCCGGCTGTCAGGCTAACCCGTCCCAAACGCGTTAGGTCCCTTGTTCCGCACACACGAACACCCCGATGCCTTCAGGCGGCAATGTGCCGTAATAAGCTGCTGCAACAGCAGGTATGGGACTCGTACCTGCAAGGAAAACGAGATGCCAGTCCGGACGGGTCGTGGCCTCTATTCGAGAACGGCCCGCTGGAATACCAGCTCTTGATGGAACGTATTGGGGGGAGGGGGCATGCAGAATCCGGAAGCCATAACGCCCGACTGTCTCGATGATCGTACGCGTGGCTTTTTCCGATAGGGATATCGATTGCCCATTTTACCGCTCCTTGGCGGTGCTGAGCGCTGAACGCTGAACGCTGAAACTGCATATAAATAACCACGAGTCGGTTGTGCAATGGAAAGATCCTGCCTACTTCCTTTGCATACCATACACCTTTGTGCATGCACAGCTGGCAGCACAGCATGCGTGCTGGTGTGTGGGGGGGATATGAGAGCCAGCGAGCGTTTGCTGCGCTGCAAAATCGAGACTACGAGATAGAAGCTTAGGTGGAATAGTTGTAGAGAGGCGGCTGCTGCGCATTACATAACCAGTGATCCACACTCTCTTTAGTCTGTGCCTTTACAAAGGGCTCGGAGGTTCCGATTGGCTCCACATTTTTGACCGTCCACCACCCTTATCTAGGCACTGTAACGCACTTGTAGATTGGAAAACCGACGGCAGCCCTGCGCTGGGCACCACCAGCTATTTATGCACATTGTTCCCTGAGATTTGGTTGCGGGGTTAATCCTCCCTCCGCACCCAAATCAATCAAAAAACCTGCTGAATGCTGGTGCACATGCAGCAGAGGTAGAGAGGTAGAGGCAGACGGGAGCTTTTGCAGCGGTGAGCCGCCTGCCAATCCATGCCTCGACGCGGTTTGAGAGGAAAGTCGGTCAGAGTTTTTCACATCATCCTCGTTCAAGTTCAGTTGCAGTAGGACCGTTCCGTGGCGCCCGCCGGATGGGCAAGGGAGACAAAAGGTGAGAGAGGAACGACTCCCAATCGGGATTCGGAGGAGACGCTAGTCGGTCGGACAACCCGTGGCTCTGCACACTATGAGCACACGCTTGGAAATCTGTCGTCGCTTGCCAACAATTTCGTATCTTCACCCGGATGATGGGACTAACCCCATGCCGTCCGCTTTATCACCCCTATCTGTATTCTCTTTATACACTCTTCATCGTTTGTTAGGGTCGAGCAACGACCGCTTCTGGTGTAATTCCATCCCCATCTTTCTTTCTTTTGCACAAGCGACGATCACCATGGAATTTTGATCCAACGCAAGGTCGGCAGCTCGACGCACGCTCTCGCCCCTTGCAGACACAGGCGGACCCTTGTCTGCGCTCTCTGCGTTTTTGAACATGCAAACTTTTTGCTCGGCGCTCCCCGAAAATAAGCCCGGTTCAACGCGACAAAAGACGAGCCTGGTGTTCCCCCGCCTTTTCTAAGGTCAAATCGAAATATCCCCCTTGGACGTCGCCAAGATGACGACTTCCTTGCTCAAGATCTGCCAGCTGCTGCTGCTCCTCAGCAGCTACCAAGCCCACTTCATCGCCGCAAAGTCCCAATGGGATGTACGCGCGGCAGTGAGCCCTGATACTAGCTCAAACGTAAAACCAGCCAATGCCGCGCCCGCGGGCATCGGTGCTTCTGCTTCAATTGCGACTAATAGCAATACCAACGACTTCCTGCCGTTCTTCATGATGGATCTCGGGCCATTCGACTCCAACGGCGAGCCCATCAAATACAGTAACTTTGGAGCGGCATACGCGCCTGGCCGCGCGGAAAAGGACACAAAGTGCGTCGTTGATTCATGCAGGCAGCAAATGAAGGGGCAGCCTCAGCCCCAGTCTGGGCCTCAGGGTGCAGGCATCTCCCCTGCTCAGCCACAGAAGCAGGAGGATGCAGTGGCTGGGAACCAGGACGCAGCCCTAGCTGGTGCAGCATCCCGAGCAAGCTCCCAAGCCCTGGCCACGCACAGACTCAAGGGTGCTGCCAAAGCTGGTGCAAAAGCAAAATCGAAGGCTCCTTCTGGCGGCTCGCTGAACGCACATACACAAGTTCCGGGCACTGCTCCTGCTGGTGCTGCCCTGGTCGGGTCCCACGTCCTAGCCACCTATGGGGTTTACGGACAACAAAATGCCGGCACAATGATAAACACAAACCCAAACGCACGAGGCCCCGGCAATGCAAATGCACACGGTGGCGCAACGGCATCTGGCCCGCGTGTCCTCGCCAGTTACGGTCTGAAAGGACAGGCAAGCAAGGGCAACGGCAAGTGAAAGGGCAGCTGCAAGGGAAATGGCAGCGGCAAGGGTAAGGGCAGCGGCAAGAGTAAGGGTAAGGGTAAGGGCACCAGTAGCGGCATGAACGTGGCCGGTAATGCTGTTGGGACGAACAAGATTGTTCAGGCTGCGGCGGTGGGTGCCGGCGGCACCAGCGCTGGCGGAGCTGCTGGTGCGGGCATGGCGATCGCGGCTCAACACCAGCAGCAGAAGCAGTAACAACAACAGCCGAAGCATGCCGCCGGAGCTTCTTCATCTTCGAAGGTTGCTGCGGTCGGTTCGGGTGCAGGTTCGAGCTCTGGCACAGATGCCAGCGCGCAGGCCCTTCAGGTGAGTGCACGCGCAAGCCGGCGGTGCTTTGGTACTTTCTACTCTATCTGACACCCCTTCGCTCGTCCTTGCATCGTGCCGATGGCGACGCAGAGGAGGAAACAAAAGCAGAGTCAACTGGTGGCGCAGTCATGGGCGGCACGTATGCTCAATCACAGTCGGGCACTGGGGCATCGTCAGGCTCAGGATCCCGCGCTGGCAGCCCCAGAAACTCACCCTCAAGCTCCTCTTCATCCCCTTCAATAGGCATGCATGAACTCAACACCGTGTTCAAGTCTGGCTACGAAGCCGGTCTGCGCGCCGCCGCCAAGCTCACGAGCGACTCTTCCGGGGTTTCGGGTGCTTCCTCCAGTTCCAGCCCATTCTCCGGCGCTGGCTCATTGCCCCATGCAACATCGGCATCGACAAGATCATCCGGGTCACAGGCAGGCTCGACACACGGCTCGTCAGGAGCTGCTAGCGGCGGAGAACATGTGCGCGTCCCATAAGACCACAAATACGCTGGTGTTTTGAGCGGCGGCACATAGCCTGTATCGAGTGGACATTCGTCGCTGGCAGCGAACGGTGGACTTACCGTCGAAGACGCTGACGAAGACGACGAGGATGAAAACACGCCCGCCTACAACGCCGCCCTAGCCCTAGCGGCAGTTCCGCATCCGCGTCGTCTCAAGCAGGCGTGCTGGCCTTCTAAGGCGCAGCTGCGGATGTGGCTGCTGGATCTGCTGCGATGCGTGGCTCGTCCTAGGACTCGAAATCACGATCACGAGGAAATGTGTCTGGCTCTTACGACAGTGGCTCCAATGGATCCGGCGGCTCGTATATTGGTGCTGCTCACGGTGGTGTAAACAGTTGCAACATAGGTGCGGCAAGCAGCGTCCAAAACAGCAGTGGTAATTCCAGCAGCAACATGCCAGCGCAATCCTCCAATCTTCCGGAAAATTCTGGCATAAGCGCCGCCACGATGAAATGGTTCCACAAGATCTTCCGCAAGCCGCTCGCCGATATCTTACCGTTCTTGCTCGTTGACTTCGAGCGTCAGGGCTTGCTCAAGAATCCGCACGAGGCGCAACCCTCCACATCTCGTTCGGTACAGCACCGTGTCGCTGGCGCTGGCTTCAAAGCTCAGATGCAGCAGATGCAGAAGCGGTATGTCCCGCAGCAATACCCGATGAAGATGAGAGGTAAGGCGGATAAAGGTAAAGGAAAGGGACAGAAGGCCAAAGGCACAAGCGTGACTCAAGGAGCACGGGGTTCTGGTGGAGCGCCTGTCGCTGCTGCGTTGCCAGCAGCAGCAGCAACAGCCGAGGTTGAGAGTGCACAGGGAAGCATGGCCTATTTAGTAGGTTACCCATAATCAGATGCATATCCTCGTCTTATTCGATTTTAAGCCTTCCTTGCGGTGTCTTCCTTTAGGGCAGACAACGGAAGATATGACCGCTGAAAATGGCTGGACCGTTCTCCAAGGGAAACAAGCCTTCGTGCCTGGGTCTGGCAAGGCGCCAGGTGGCACCGCCAATGTTGTGATCGATCTGCAAAAGACGTACCAACGCATGGATGGAGCAGGGGTAGCACTTACCGATGCGGCCGCTCAGGTTCTGCAAGGCCTCAAGGAATATAATCCGCAGAACTACCAGCATGCGCTGCAGGACATTTTTGCTGGTCCGACTGGCCTCACCATCCTGCGTATCCCGATCGGTGCCACAGACTTTAGCAGTGATCCAGCTTATTCGCTTGCCGACCAGCCGCTTTTAAGCGGCATGGCAAAGATCAGCTCGGTTTTTACATTCGGTATTGTCCACTCCACCATCATGCCCGTCTTGCAAGATATTCTGACGATCAACCCCAGTGTTAAGATCGTCCTGACCAGCTGGAGCGCTCCCGCGTGAATGAAGACAAACAACAAACTCAATGCTGGTAGCCTCAAGCATGGTATGCAAAATCTGTACGCCGCGTACCTCGCCCATGCCGTCGCCTCATACCAGAAGGCAGGTATCGTACCATGGGCGCTGACTGTGCAAAACGAGCCGGCGTTCCAGGGCTCGTACCCGAGCATGATCGTACAGCCGCAAGAAGAGAACCAAATCGCTGGCGCGCTGCGCCGCCTGCTGCCCGAAGGCGTCAAGCTGCTCGTACACGACCACATCTTTAACTATCCGCAGAGCGCCACTGCAGCCGTGCTTACGAGCCCAGCCAATGTCGACGGCGTCGCGTGGCACTGCTACGCCGGCAACCCAGAGCAGAGCCAGCAGACGCAGCAGGCCTTGGCGAAAGCCGGACAGGGCAACAAGGAGTTCCACCTGACTGAATGCAGTGCGACGGTTCCGAATTCTGGCATGTGGGAAGGGATGAAGTGGTGGTTGGCCAATCTAATGTTCGGGCTGCCGCAGTACGGGGTGCAGTAAGTGTTGTCTGCGCCCTCATTTCACGGTACAACTTGATCTTTGACCCGGGCCCGTATTCCTTGCCTTGCAACAGATCGATCGTTTCGTGGAACCTCGCCCTTGACCAGAAAAATGGCCCGCTCCTCAAGACGGCGCCGTGCAAGAATTGTCAGGGTTTGCTGACCATCAACGGGGCGCAGGTCAAGCGCAACTTTGTCTGGTTCTTCTCGCGCCACTTTGCGACGGCGACATTCTGCAACGCGGTGCGCGTCGACTCGAAAGTGTCGCTACAGTCGGCCAAGTGTCTCTCAAGGCGCTAGCGTTCGCGGCGAATAGCAGCGTGCGCGTCCTGCTGCAGAATGACTGCCAGCCACAGAGTGTGACCATCGCTGTCGGTGAGATGGAGGGAGCATACTACGCCAACCCGGGCTTGAGCACACTCATCTTTCCGGTCTGACTGAAACGAAAGGCTCCTGACCGAATTTTTCGAGGCTTTTTGTCGCTTGCTTGTACATGTACACCGTCAACTTATTTTGTTTTCCTTTTTGTTGCATCGCATGGCATATAGCAATCAATATTTTGAACTCGTGATCTCGGCGAATGAAAGGATGTGCAATGCGTTTAGCGAAAGTGCGTACGGTGCCCGGATGAACACATTCTATATAAATAGTGCGCCTGCGGGACAAAAAGCCTGGCCACGCATCCAATCTCCTTTCTAGGCTGTGCAAGCGAGAAGGGACCGCTGTTTCCACCTACCACCCTTGAGATATTTCCTCCAAGGCGCCCTGCAAATCCTCTGTTTTCGGAGCAGAACCACGAACGATGCGTTTGCTCGTTGACGTAATTTGTGCCTGGCGCAAAAGCTTCCTAGTCCCTTCCTCGGGGTTCATCGCCTGGACAGGCATTTCCTGTGAATCATTTTTGAATGAGGACAAAGGTTGTACTCCGCCCATCGCTCCTTGCTGGGTCACTCGAGGCATTAGAGGGGCGAATGTAGCGCCATGCCCTCATTGCCATGTTCCTGGATGACAAGACCAACAGGGACGGAAGGGACATCCATATGGGAGCCATTCGGAGCAAGGGGGGTGAAGTCTGGGTTCTGCGGACCCTGGAGATCTGGTTGCTTGCCCGTGAGTGCTCCTTCGTCCTCGACTGCTCATGCGCACATAGCCTGAGCGACAAGGCTCCGCAGCTTCGACCGTAAGGAAGAGTCCTTTGGCGAAAGCCATGGCTTTCCCGGGTGAAACAATCACATAGCCAGGCTCTCAGAACGCAGACTTCCTCCTCACAGCGATTTCATGGGATTGCGCGAAAGTATCCTGGCGAATGATGGTGATGTCAATCCTCCTGGCTAGGATAGTTGCGCCGTGTACTTCCTGAAACATTTGCATTCGCAACTTGCTTCATAGGCTCTAGGAGAGGCCACGATGCCGCTGTACGAGAGGGCTTTCGTGCTCAGAAACTGGGCGTTCGGAGGTAGATGCTGTCCAGCGAATGCCCGCTAGTCGTAGCGGAGAAGCTTGGCTACCATGCTTTTGGCATATACTGTCCATCTCTGTCTTTTTGGCTGCAACGTCGGCCGAGTAGCGCAACGCCCTATTGAAGAGCCTCAACTTACTTTGATTTGATGTACCCGGGAAAGAACCTCGAAACCCCCGTCCCAAACAGAAAGCGAAGCTTTGCATAGGTTGCAACTACTACTAGTCTCGTCGGACGAAGCTAGGTCGTCTTTCTATATTGTGGATCGCCCTAATGAAGGCAATATCTGTTTGGCAAAGGGAGCAAGCTGCACAACACTGGCGCCTTCTGTGACAGCAGACCAAGCCACACACGGGAAACCGTTGAGATACAGAATACATTACCCCATCCATCGGCACTACCCCACGTCATCGTTTTCAAAAGTGCCACGAACCCGCTTTCCCATCTGCGTCGCAAAGGAAGACCAAGCCCATCGATCGTTGACAGTCGACTCGTACCACCAATTTACGCACAAGCACACGCCCTCTCCTTCCCGCTGAAGTACCGCATCCGACTCATCGTCTTCCTCCTGCGCCACATGGTGATACCACCCCGATGGAAGGTAGAGAGTCTGACCTTCGTGTACCTCCACTCTGATCGGCGGAAGGGACGCACGAGCGCGGACGTAAATGGAATGTTTTGCGTTGCGTGGGTGCGAGACGGGCTGAGTCGGATCTATCTGGATCCACGGTGTCGGCGGGGAGTCTTCCTTAGCGAGTTCAAACAAAGCCGAGCCGCGTACGTAGTCACAGGTGTCTTCTCCTTCCTTCCTCTCCAGCAGGCGCCAGCGATAGACATCATATACATCGTCGCCTTCAAAGAAGAAGTTCTCCCAAGGCGGGTAAAGTGTAAATGTCTTCTTGCCCCGGAAGCATGTGAAAAGGTTCTCGTAGTGATCACGATGCATCGAACTCTGCGAGCGCGACGTGCCGATCCAGATGTTGGTGGCTTCAGGTGCAACGCCGAGCGCTTCAGTAGCCCATGGTATGTCGGTACGCGGAGGCGCACTATATGAAGATGAGGAAGCAGATGAGGAGGAAGGAGCCCATTGCAGGTCTCGAAGCAAAGGAGCGAAGTCGCCAGCCAAGTTTTCTTCTTTAGATGTCAAATTCGAGTCTTGCGACTGGAGATAGGCCACCATGCCCTGTTTTCCTTCCTCATCGTTAGGGTGAAGAGCAAGGAAAAGCTCATCGAAAGTCCTGGCACATCGAGCGGCACGTCTCGTTTCTTCAGCCTGGCGCTCATCTTTCATGCTCTGCATTATACTCTTGATGCTCACATGGGCTCTTCATGTGGCAATGCGAAAACGACAGATGGATGCAGCTGTTCACCCGACTTTGTGTTCTCGAAGGTTGTGTCTGCGTCTGCGTTTGCAGCTTTGCTTATGCTATATCCCGCGGAAAGGTACACGATGTCATCTGCACGCCCATTGGGCGTCAAGGCGACTTTGACCTTCCTACCACTCATGCGGCTGCACAGATGGCTGGTACGCTTCCACTCCTTGTAAGCGCGCGGGAAGTGACGCTGTGCGACTCCGTCGATAAGGGCAGGCAGGTGCTCGGCAACAATGCGAGAGAACTTCAAGGCGCTTGGAGGTTCGTGCAGATGGAAGGAGGAGTTGTGACTGAATGAGGAGAATGAAGGTGATGATGATGACGGTGACGATGTAACAACGCTCGCGTCGACGATGCCGGCGAGCTCGCGCGCCTCGATCGCGAGCGCGAGGAATGTCTCATAGACGTCATCCTCACTGAGCGAAGGCATGGTCACCGCTCCAACGTGCCAACCAGTTTCGAATGCCGACCCTTTAGAGGCGGCACCACCCCCGAGGAGCTCGAGGCGATTTTCGTCAGTCATGCATTGATTGTATGAATCGAAGGGATGCAAAAAACACGTCGCTGTGTCCCTAGTAACTAGTTCTGATCATCGATCGGGTCACGTGATTGGCTTGGTTCTGCACAAACTAAACCTACGGATGCTAGCACAATCTATACCTTGAACAAAAGAAATGAGAGGGAAAAAAAGGTTGGAGAGAGAGCGCTCTGGCCGTGCCGTTGATGTCGGGCATCTTTCTTTTGAGCCTTTCACCATGTATGATGCTACAACCAATACTACCAAGAGAGCCCAACGCATCCTGCACGTCCATCGCGCAGCGCGTCCTTTTTCTTGCAGCACAGCTCCTGCCAAAGAGAGCAGCTGACGGAAGAGAGAGAGAAACTTGAACAACGCGTCGACCGGTCGTCACAGACCAAAGGCGACGAGCTTGCATGGCGTGGCGGTAGCACCGGGGCGCCGCACTCTTGCGCCCCACGACAACACCCCAAGGACACAGGGACGCAGCTCCAGGGAAGGGTCACCACGATGGCGGATCAAGCCGAAGGCTCAGCGCCTTCTGCGGAGCAGGCGATCAGCATGCTAGCCAGTTTTGACCTGCCGGATGGGCTATTAGAGGATTGTGGTGAACCTCAACAAGAGCAAGATGCTGCTGCTGCTGCTGCTGCTGCCGACATGGATTGCATGGTCATGGATGACGACGATAGCTGGCTGCACACTGCGATCGATGGTATGATGGAAGATGTGACCGCATCCATAGCCCAAGAGGTGGAGGGTGCAGGCGCGCCGCCGGCGGGCCCATCCGCTACTCAAGCATTGCCAGCATTCCCTTTCGCAGATACACAAGACCGGTCGCCACCAGCATACATCCCGCCGCCCATATCGATCCTTGATGGCGAAATTGAGGCAGAAGGGGCGCGATCTGTGCTGCCTTCTGGCCTTGATCAGGACAGTTCAGCGCACGCGTCGACTTCGGCCACCACACTCGATATCCTTGCGCAAAGAGAACAGCAACAAGACAACTATCAAGGAGAGCAGGAAATGGAGGCAGACTTGAAGAAACAGGAAGTTGCCTCTGATGGAGTAGGAGCAGGAAATAATGAAGATGACGACGATCTGGATACATTAATGGATCGATTGAACGACCAAGCTGCTGCGTTGCTCCGCGATGCTGTCAAAGACATTGGTATGGAAGGGCAAGCCTCATCATTGGAGAATACGGGAGAAAATGTGCCAGATTCAAGTGAGTCCATCGCGACATCACTATCAATCATCTACTTTGTCATTCCTGACGACGAAACCTTGCACAGTACCAAGAAATGCTCATGCGGAGTCAATACCTGTCCCTGCAACTCTCGAAGAAGCAGATGCGGCACATGCGTCCGATCCCGCAGCAGCTGCTGAAAGCATCAGCAATGGCGAAGATCATGGAGACGAGAGGGAGGACGGCGTGGAAGAGGAAGAAGAGGAGGACGTAGATGCAGCGATAGCGCGATTTGCTGAGCAGGCTGCCTCTGCCGCTTTCTCGTCCATTTCGGCATCGACAGAGGGGGCGACAAGCGGCTCAGCAGAGTCGATTCCCACGCCCACGGCGACATGGGCCCCTGCTGCGCTGGTCGGGCTCAGCAAAGTACAAAATCAGCAGCTCGAGGTACCGATGCAGCAGGAGGAAGAGGAGGAGCAACGGCAGCAGCAGGAGCACTGCGAGGAATTCCTAGGGGATGACATAGACCTAGAAGCTGACATCGAAGCATTGGCAGCGCAAGCTCTCGGCTTGGACGAGAATGGCAATCCGCTGCCGGGCACTGACCTGCAGCAGGCTATTGCACACCAAGCCCTTGAAGATGCCGTCAAGCGGTTCACGTCGCAGCAGCACCAACAACACGCAGCGATGCCTCGCAGCGGTAGGTCCACCACGGGTCCTGGGTCTGGAGCGAAGCCTGGCGCCACCAATTTGCCATACAAGCTGCCGCCAGCGCGCGCCAATGCGCGTTATTCACATCGCGCAATGAGCCACTTGGCTTACAGGACGCAAGGGCTTCGGATCCCTCCTAACCTCACGCTTCATCAGTATCAGCAGCACCTGCAACAACTTTACCAACAGCAGCAACAGCAGCACGGGGCAGCTGGTTTCAGGCAGCCAATGTCTGCTGCGCGGCCTACGATGCCGCCACCTGCTCGCAAGCAGCCGGCGGCGGGGACGATGGGCAGCAACAGCAATAACAATCCAGGCGCGCCGAAACGCTGGAAATGCGACAAGTGCGACCGAGCATTCGCGCGCGCGTACAACCTGCATACGCACATGGCTACGCACGACCCGGATCCGACGCGTTCCAAGCCATTTCAATGCCCCTTTCCGGCGTGTCAGAAGGACGGTGGCCGGGCCTTCTCTCGTAAGCATGATCTGCAGCGGCACGTCGCCAGCGTACACGAGCAGGACGAGGAACCTGTCGTCATTCTCAACCCGGACGGCACAGCCGTGCCGGTCCCCATCTCGATGCCGACGACAACAGCGGCTCCTGTACCGCTGCGAGCGTCTCCGCAGGCGCAGGCACAAGGGCAAACGCCGCCTTTGGCCTCTTCTTCGGCCTCAACAAGGACAGTGGCTTCACCGGCAGGCCTTCAAACGCAACAGGCAGTCCAAGGTGCTTCCGCTGCTCCGCCACAATCGCAAGTCGTAACGGAGAATCCACTAGTCGCGCTTGGTCTCGGTGTGCCACAGAAGAAGTTCCGCTGCGATATGTGCGGGCGCAGCTTCGTGCGTCGCGATGCGCTGACCAAGCACCACTGCGATCGTGCTGGTCACGACAAGGAGAACATGCACAAGCTCACGCCAGCTGCTGCAGCTGCCAATACTGCGGCTTCGTGGGCCGCTGCGGCGGCAGCTCATGCTCACGCCCAGCGTGTGGGCGAGACGGCCCCGATCGCAGCGAGCCTGCTTGACTATGGAGCTGGTGCTGGTAGCGCGAGCCTGCCTTTAGCAGCCCCTGTGGCCTCCAGCGGAGATGGTGGAGATGAAGCTGGCCCTGGCGCTGGCGCCAGAGATGAGGATGATGAGTGGGAAAGAGAGGCGGAAAGAATGGCAGAGCAGGCCGCGGCTGCTGCCTTCAGCTCGTATGAGGCCAGTCTTGGTCTGTCTACTTCCTTTCCGGATCTAACTGGTGACAATGCCGACACAGCGAGGGATCAGGGGCCGACGGATGAGCAAGGAGAGCCTCCTCGTGCACCGGTCAATACAGCTTCGCTGTTCACAAACACACCTGCTTCCGATCCGACAGCGGCGACGACATCTGCCAAGTCCTCTTCCAAGAGGTCACCGAGTTCCGAGTCTACCGCGGACCGAGCAACGCCGAGGCCGGTTTCCACGTCCACACCTGTGCCTGCAAGACGCGAGAAGAGCAGCATGGTTGCGGCCGCTGAGAGACAGGAGCACGAGAGTCTCGCACTCGCTACGCCCCCGTGGTCGATCGCACAGACCTGACAGAGACGGACGGAAGAAGTCACATCAGGTCCCCCTTTTTCTTGATTCGCGATCATTGTAGCAACTACGGTCCTTTTGTATTGTACACACGCCCTTGCCTTTGTTGCCACTACTATGCCTATTTTCAACGCATAAATCTACATGTGCTGCTGGTCCGCTGCGTTCGTGGGTATCATGCATCAGAATATTCTACCGCAGAAGCCGGGAGGGAAGGATGGCGAGCTGCGGACCGCGCGCGCCATGCAGATTCATGACAGACGGGGAAGCTGGCAGCGACTTTTCGACTATCAATCGAGGCACTAGGTCAGCTCGAGAAGCAGCCGGCAGGCTGCGGGGAACGTCCGCGGCTGTCGATGACGACAGCGATAGGTGAGGGAGCACTGTCAGCGCCTCCTTAGGCCTCTGCGCGCATTGTGCGAAGCACACGCACCGGTCCACGACGTAGAGCTTGAGTGCGTAAGGCTGAGGCGCGGCTTCGACAGCAGCAGCGGCGTCGTGAGATGCGTACCGGTGCGCTCGCTCGCCTGCGTCACACTGAATGTTTCGCATAGTGGATTCACTACACCGCCCTTTCGTAGTTGCACTGCTGAGCACTGTAGTGTCCTCGCTACTCAAGCTTGCAAGCTACATTAACTCGGAATTACTTGTCTATTTATCACTCTATGTGATGCTTCAAAGAAGCGCACAATGATGCTATAGAACAGAATGTAGGCTACACTAAGACAAGATTGTCTCTGCTGATCAGCGCGTCAAGCTTGTAACCTGTGAGGTCCGCGGTATCCATGCCAGCGGCAAGTCTAGTGCGGAGCCGATTGGCGCACTCGGAGGCCATACACCTCCGCTGCACGTTTTTCGAAAGCGTGCATAACCATTTGGCTGGTTTTTTCGAATACTTGCCCTGCGACGAGCGCGTACATGGGGTTGCTGAAGGCATAGTCTAGCTGGAAGTGGATGCGTGTTTGGTCGCGCCCCGACGTGGCGGCGGGCGCAGGGGAAAAGGACCAGGTCGTAGAGAGCTGCGTAAAGATTAGGTTTGAGTCTGGAAGCGCCGATGCCTGCAGGTAAATCGAGACGAGGAATGAGTGACAAGACACTAAGGAGAACGCAGGCAAATGCGATGATGCATCGCTCACCATCACAGTCCTGTCCTGGTGCAACTCCACCCTGCTGCGATATTTTTCCTGAAAGCTGCCAAAGCCAATACCGAGGTCTGCCAGCACGACTTGATGGTCATTTTCAACTACTACACTCGGATCTGGCCCAACGACTTGCGAGTGCGTGCAATATGGTAAAAATAGATGGTACGAGTCGACGTTGGCGACGATTGCGTAGAGCTCTTGTGGGGTGTAGCTGCGTTCGAGAAGGAACAGGCTTTGAGTCAGCGAGCGGAGCGTCAGTTCGAGACCATGAATATCGACTACTCACGGCATATCCCGACTTTGCTTGAACGTTTGTACATTCCGTGGCGTGCCATCGCGACCTGATCCAACGGGATTCAATGTGCTCGCCAGTTTGGATAAGTCCGGCAAAGTGAAGTAACGCTTCTGTTGCTGCCTTTGGAGCCACACATCCCTATTTCCATTTCTTGAGCGGCTTGCATCTGCTATGCTTCTGGGCGGTACGGCGACGACGTCGTCGGTTCGCTGCCCCCATGAGGGGAAGCTGCAAGAGGTGTGCAGCAGGCAGCGCCTACAAATGGCTGGGGCACGGCTTGGGGCCTGTGCTGATGCTAAGGCTTGGGCGCCGCGGCGAGACAGCGGTCGGGATGCTATATTCAGCATGTCGATCTTTCACCGTTTATGTATTTCTGGCGGTCTGCTCTTCGCGTCAAGACTCAAGCTCTGGAGAATCTAGGGCCTTTGAGCAGGTGACCATCGTCAAGAAGACTCATGCCGAATAACGTGAGCTTCGGCAGTGAGTCAAAAGTCACGTCACGTGACCCTGATGTAGTCACGTGCAGCGATGTGCCGTGTGAACCAGGGATGCGCGCAAGGAACAACGCAAGCTTTGCAGGCGGGAAAGGCACCCACAACGCCATTTCATGGATTGTCGCTCAACGTCCGCAGACGAGGTACAAAGCTGGCTTTCTCCCTGTGCAGGCACATAGCTGCTCTGGACGATGATAAGATCGAACGGCACACTGTTATCTCAAAATATTGACAACGTTCATGGGAGCACCAGTCTTCCAGAGAAATGCTTGCGTTTCCGTCCCTTCGACGGGAACCCTGGTCCATGTCTTTCGATCAAGCCCAAGCGAAACAATTGCACACCCAGTTACAGCTTGAGCATCACCCGCACGAAGATTTCAGCACTGGGACAACGCAGTCTCCTCGTCAAAGTGCTGTCTCCGCCAGCTCGACGGTAGCTGTGGCCAGGGCCCGTAGCCGTCGCTGGGTCAGCTCCCTGCTCGGCGTCAGCAATGCGCCACATCAGGATGAGCAACACCTTGCAGTCCCGTCGACCATTGGCAAGCGGATCCGTGCAGACTCCTCCCCATCTTATAGTACTATCAGCTTAATCGGTGAGCAACAAGGGAAGAGGAAGATTGGCAACGTACGCTCGCCGCACTTGAGGCCTGTATCTGCACTGGTCTTCTCTACGGGCAAAGATGCCTTTGCACAAGCTCCATCAGCCGTGCAGCCTGCGCTCGTGGCTCCAGAAGTTCCCCCTAAGGACATTGACGAAGAAGACGCTTCAAGGCTGAGTACAGCTCTGCTGGGTCCGGATGAGCTTGAAGCTCAAGTAGAGACACAGGTGAGTCAATTGCTTGGGGAATGGGTTGCCGCAGGACTGGCGATCCTCAATGACAGTGGTTATTGAACACGGATTCACAGATCAGGCAAGAATCATCTTCGGGCCTCATGAACAAAGAGGAGACGGCTGTTCTGACGATGCTCGATCAGATTTCTGGCATAGACGCAGCTACACCATTGCATTTTGTAGCCTCACCACAGTCACAGCCCAGCGGCCGTCCAGTCTCGTCCGCCAATGCTACCCCGCGCCCAGCTGTGCGTACTTTGTCACCTTTGCAAGTTCATACTTATCAGCACGCCAGAGCGGCAATCATCGGCGCACCGCCATGTTCCGCTCAGTTAACAGCTAGCGGCACGACAAGCTCTGGGGACACAGAAACATCTTCTAATGCAACCAGCTCGTCCGCCAGCTCGCTGTTCTCCCCAGCTCTGAAGCCTGCAACGCAGCTATCTGGACAACGGGCATGTCATCCTAGGGCTAGCAGTGGTTCGGGCTTCTTCTTCCCTAATCGTGCGTACCGCCGCTCGCGCGTGCATTTAGCGCTTAATGCGAAGATGGACACCAATGCGTTAGACCTACCCTCTCCCGGCCAAGTCACAGCGCTCACAACTCCAGGATTACCATCTAGCCCTGCTGGCAGCAGCATGAAGTCCTCTCATGGCCTGCCGATGAATTGGCCACGTGCGAAGGGCATGTACGGCTTGGCAATTCGCAATGAGAGCTCGCAAGACGATGGCCCAGATGACCCACTCGCTGCTCGATTGCGACCGTCAACAAGGAGGCATGCCACGCAGTACACGAATGCCACAAGCATCGAAAGTCAGTCGCCCGAATGGAGTAGCGAGGATCAACACAAGACGGATGAGAATCAGCCGCTCGAAGAAATCGACTCTGTCGTATCGGCAGCTGCGCCCGCCGAAAGCAGCGCGATATCGAGCATTTTTCGGGCGGCACACGCCCATTATGCACCAGCTGGGCTTCGAGCTTACACATCAGCCCCCCCTTCGCCAACCAAGAGCGCGAAAGAATTTCCCTCCTCCGTATCCGCAGCACAGCGTTCGGCCGTCGCATCGAGCTTGCAGCCCTCACCAGGCAAGACGCGCGAGCTGATCGACTTCTTTGACAATGGTCGCGCCTCTCCTGCACTGCCTTCCTCACCACAACGCTCAGCGCGATCCGTCCTTCTGTCACGCAGTCCCTCGCGCGTCAAAGCTCAACCTTGGTCAATGGCCATGGGCAGGCCTGATGTTTCAATCTGTCGTCACAACCGCTCCGCGCTTTCTGCCAGCAAATCGTTTACGGGTTCTGCTGTCTCCATCTTGCGAAGGACAGAGTACGGCAACCTGCCTCTGGATAATACTGGTGCACTGGCTCTCCTGCCTACACCCGCTTCCAACCCGCTGATGACAGGAAGTCTCAAATTTCTGGATCGGAACAGTACGGCAACAGTAGACCCTGATGGTCAAATGAAGCGATGGGTTCCTGCGTCTGTATGTCTCCTGCAGGAGGCAATCGCGGTCAGCTGGCTGCCGATCGGCGGTGGAAGGGAGAACGTTGCCATACATTTGCACGTCGCGAAGGATGTGCGCTCGCTTGCAAGTGCCGAGGTCGTGGGCGCAGAAACCTCGTACCCATTCGAAGTCGTCTTTGCCGATGGAGTGGAAATGCTCGCAGCTTCAGGACCTCTGGATCGTATTCGCTGGGTCACTGCGATTGAGTGAGTAGGCTTCTCTTGACAGGATCACTGTGTCGGCATCTGATCATGTTGGGTTCCTAGTGGTGTTCTGCGACAGAGGAAAGCGAGCATGCGGACTGCATCACATGTGCTCCAGCCTGCCGCGGATCTACCTGGTTCGCAGTTCCCGACATCCATCTCAGAACCTCTTCTACGCCCCGTCACAACTGCGCCGGTATCCGTCCAAGAGGATCACTCCATCCAGTCCATACCTCCGAATCTGAAGCGCTCGGCATCTCCAGCGCTGAAACGGATTGCATCGTCCCTCTTCCACCACGACGATTTCGTATCGGCCCCATCACAGGCTGGAAGCGTTCGCAGCGCAAGGAGCAGGCTCTGGGCTCACGGGCGATCCTTCTCCGAGCTGGCGCCGTCAGAGTCGGCGAGTCAGATTGAAGCTAAGGAATGGCATTCGGCTGTTACGCTCAATCCTCAAATGTCTCCTCAGAAAAGACCACTTCCCGAGCCTGAGACAGGCACAACTCTCATGAACGTCCCAATATGTCCCCAGCCACAGACGGCCCAAGCCCCGCGTCCTGCGTTCGTAGCGCTCACCGAAAGTATCGCGAGCGTCAACATGGAGGCGGAGGTGCGCGCGCGCCGCCGGCAGCTGAATTCTTCGCTTAACCCTCAGTTTCCTGAGAGCGCTGCGACAGGCTTTTACACAGCAGAAAAGGAGCTTCCTTCCCTTCCGAAGGCGAAACGCGCCCACTTTGGCGGTCAACTACCCGATGCGGAACATGTGCGCACGCAAGCGGAGCACGAGGCTTTTCCAGGCGCTTGGGCGCCAAGTGCAATGCACGCCATGCCTCAAAAGGCCAATCTGAATGAGGTTTCTCAGCGTCAAGAGCAGCGCCATCCGGATGTCAGTCGATACCTGGCAGATCTGAACGCCTGGCTTGATAAGGACCTTGCCAAGCGTGAGGAAAACTGGCAGGATGTCAGCGCCAGCATCGAACGCCTGAACCGTGACATCGCTGCGCTGAAAGAAGGTACCTCTGCACCACTGGTGTCCAAGGATCGCAAGATGGACAGGTCGAATAAGCTGCTACAGACGAAAGACCTCACAGAAGGCAAAGAAGAGGCCGATCAGGACGATCAGCTGCAGAAGAAGAATCCTCCAGGGCGTACAGAGTCTGCCAAGCTCATGTTCGGCCATGGCGGACAGTGGACGAATGCGCCCTGGCAAGAGCACTCATCCGCTGCGGTGACAGAGAATGAGGGTGCTGCCAAGCCAGATAGCAAGGATCGAGCGTTGCAGCCGACGCAAGCTCGGGTTATTGGCCAAAAACTTTCCATTTCGAAAGAAGTTGCGACCAGCACAGGCGATTCCAAAGCGCCTCTTGAGGATAGCGAAGCAGGCACCAGTCCTGAAAAGGGGTGCGAAACAGCGAAGGGTCCGGCCACGAAGCATGTGAAAAGCAGTGAATCCCACACTGACCCGAAAATGCCCGCTGTGGCAAAGCGAGAGACAGAGGCTAAAGACACAGCTGCTAATAGCGGCGTGAACGCGAAGTCGGCGGCTTCACTAGCCGCCATGGCCACGGCTTTGGAAGCCATTATGAGCGACATGGTCAAGAAGAAGGAGGAGAAAGCGAGGCGACGAGAGGAGAAAGCGAGTGCATATGCTGCGGTCCAGCGCCAGGCGCAGGAGACACGAGAACAGGAGAAACGTGCTTTGCTCAATGCTGTTGTGAGCCAGGTGAGTGGATCAATGCAAATGTTCATGATACCCAACTTCTAGACTGAACGCGCTGTACGCCCTACCAGCTGGCCGACTTCCAAGACCGAAATCTGACGGAGCAGGCTCACAAAGCACGGCAGATGGATCCCAAGAGCGGTGAGCGCGGAGTCCGATGCATTTGGGCCTGACCTTCGTCTGATACGCTTCGTGCATCTGCTATCCTTCGTCGCTTCGCAGCCATCGAGGCGCTAGTCGCGTCGCTGAACGCGGCCAAGCAGAGCGAGGCGGACGCGCTGGCGACGGCCGACAAGGCAATCAAAGACATGACGGCCGAGTTGCTGCGCAAGTCAGGCGAGCAGCATGTCAAGCTTGTCGCTGCCGTCAACTCGGCTGCGAGCGAGATGCTGCACCATCACGTGAGTTGCTACATGCGGGTTGTCTTGTTTCCTGGTGGATGGCTGACGGCGCCCGGTTCGTCCCCCTGCACAATTGGATCTGCGCAGGTCGCATCGCATGCTGAAGAGCTAAAGAAGGTGCTAGGACGAGATGTGCAGCGGATGTTTGAAGAGGTGGGCAGGATCCGCGAGACCAAGAGGGCGCTGGAGCATGAGATCGGCGAGCTGTTTGCGCTCAAGGCCAAGTACTTTGGCAGTTCAGTTTTCAAAGCTGCTCCCGCTGGTGCGAAATCGTTGCCTGCGCCCACACTTGGGTTTGGAAAGCATCTCGCGGCGCCAGCTTCAGGCCATGCCACTCCTGCTGCTCCAAAGCCGGCGGCAGTAGCAGCTGCATGGGCGAGTCGGAACACGCCGTCGCCGAGCAAAGCAACTGCGCCGCCAGCAGGTAGCCCGAATGCAAAAGCAAAGGCGCCAGCGACGGCATCTAGAAATATGGGGCCCCGTCCTTACTCCTATCATTGGTGACATGCCGGGCCCGATTGACTATCTATTCCTCCTGTGCACTGAACCGCCAGTCAGCGACGCGTTTTGTGTAAAAAAAACGCTTTCAGCTAATTTATTCAGACCCGTTGACTCGACGCGGCATTACGTAGCTGCGGCTAGTGATATTTTGGTGTGAGCATTGACTCGGTGCTTGTTGATGTGAGTGTTTTGTCGAGGCACCTGGGCCGCAGGAGTTCACATATCGGTGGATAGCGTGAGTCGCCGCGGATGCCGACATGTGCCCTTGTTATTGACCATCGCGATGTCCACTTCCAGCCTTTGGCTATGGAGTCCCGAGCCAACAATGCCTTATAGCTGACAATGTGACGGGACCCATCCCTAATTCCCGACACGTAACTCCTCTGTGCACCACAAGTACCTGCGCTGCTTCTTTTCTCTGGGATGTCGATAGGGGATGGAAATTGGAAGTCACCCGGGTTGGGTGGCAGGTGCCAGACTTTTCTATCGGCGACCTTTTGCTGGAGAAAAGACGCCGATGGCTGTCACGTCGCTCCTCTCCGCGACATCCGATGCGTCGCTCTCGTACGATAGCTGCAGCCTTTTCCCCTTGATCATTGAATAACACCGCCCATAAAACCCTTGCGGTGACATCGTCGTCCCAATCTTTGCCCCCTGCAAAAACTGAAGTCAAGCTCGTGCATCTCGCCTACACAAGATGATAGCGCACATCCTCGCCCCGATTGCCTCGCTCAACACCTACCTTCTCACCACGCAGCTGCACCCGACCCTTATCCCTTTCCCGCTGTTGCCATGCTTGCACGCTGCTCGCGTCAGCCTGGCCTTCCGCGGCATCGTCGCAGGGGCGCGTAAGCGGTACTCGCTTGCGAATGGAGGCAAAGAGGCGCCAAAAATGGGGCTGCTGCAGGACCTTGGCGGGTTCCTCATCATGGTACGTCGAATGGCCATCCCAAATAGCCCTTCAGAAGAATCAGAAACTGATGCCTCATTTGCTACGGCAGGCCTGGGGAGGAAGCTTTATCGTCTACTACCTTGTCCACGCCACGCCACCCCAACTGCTTTCCATCTACCCGCTGCTCAATTATCTTGGTGTCCATCTCTTGATCGGCTGTCTGCTTACAATGATCAAAGCGCCCTCAGCCGCCATGCTCGACACCGCACTACCGCTTCTAGACGGTGCGACACGCGCACATTCCATCGTAGTCGGGCTCTCCCTACCCTCTCTCGTCACGAAGTCCAGCGCTGTCTCCAACCCGGCCGCTGCGTTTGCATTGACGGAGTCGTGGACCTTCGCCCTCCTGCTGGGAACAATCTCCGCGAGCGGCGGCGGCCAACTAGCGGGCATGCTTGGCGTATTCAATCCGGATGGCTGGGCGCTAAGCGTGCCTCCGTTCTTGCGGGCACGCACGCTGATCGACTGCGTCGACATCTGGGCACCGCTTCTTGGCGCGATCGCCCACCAGACCTTCACGCTCGCCCATCCAGTCTACGTACCCGTTATGCAGTTCCTCAACGCTGGAAAGGCGCAACCGATGCTCTCGCCCACGGGCGCGAAAGCGCTAACCACCCTTGTCGTCGCTATTGCCTTCGCGTGGCGTGCGACCATGCTCCATTGGACGGGCGACAGCACCAGCAGTGTCTCAAAGGCTCCAGCAGCAGCCTTCAAGAGCAAGGTGCGAGTACCCGGGCAAACAGGAAAAGGCGCCAATGAGCGGACAGATGCCTGCCATCATGTAAGATCTGCCCTTACATAAGTACATGAATAGGAAATACAACACTCTCCCGTGCTAAGCAGGTATGACCCTTGCACCGCCCTGAGCGTTCCAATGCGCACCGGTAGGCATGTCGACCCAATATGTTGCGCGACTCCTGCGCGGGACAACGTCGACGCGGTCCGCCGCATTGTCCTGGAACGTTTCGCACGAAGGCACCGTCGCCGCTGGCCCTTGACCCTGGGCTTCCCAACGCGTGTGTCCATTCTCTTCTTTTGCTCCTAGAGCAGCAGCGGCAGGCAGAAGGCTGAGCTTCATCGCTTGCGCCTTGACGGTAACAGCCGGCAGCACCAGTGAGCCGTGGCGCAGCGGGATGAGCTGAATCTTGAACTCCTGCGCGGGAAGATCTTCGCGCGTTTGATCAAGCGACGACAGGTCAGCGGAGAGCTTGCCATGGTGCTCTCCACTGATGAGCCACGTGTCGTAGCTGCCGAGCACGTTGTACACCAGCTCGTACGACACCTGTTCCGCTTCCACCACCGATGGAGTGGGCAGCAATGGGGAACAACCTGCCTTCTCGTGCCGTGGCGATCGAGCGGGCACGTCGGTGATCTCAGATTGCGCGTCTTCAAAGTCGAGCTCTACCTCGCTCTCGGCGTACTCCGAGGAGCACGGGTTTACCGGAAGTTGCAGGCTATCACTGCCGGCAGCAAGCGAAGGTGCAGGAGGCTCCAGCGCAGTAGGCGGTGCTGGCGGTGCGCCCCATTTGAATGTTGTCTTGATGATGAGGGTCGCGTCGCGCGGCTGGCCCACTATGAACGGCATGGGCCCGTCGGATAGCTGGAGGCGGACCGAATTGACGATGCTCATCTGCGGCACATCGACTGGAATTGAAAGTGTCCGCCACGGAAGGTCTGCTGGCTCTGCTCCAGAGTTCAACGGAACATTCTCCAGAGCACGTGCAAGCGTTTGCCTGACAACATCGATAATCGACTGTCGCTCCTCGCTCTCCTCTGCCAGGCCCCAGCGCCCGCACGTGACGTTCCAGGCGTACTCGTTGAAGTCGTCGGCAAAAATCTCACCAGTGACGGCGAAGCGCACAACATCAAGACGCTCTTCGATGAGCCTGCCAAGCGCGCGTGTGAGACAATTTCGACGAGTTGACACCATTTTGTCTGACTGCGCATTAAGGATAGAGTCGAGAATCGAGAGGACGATGCCTCGGGCCTCCTCCACGAGCGTGCGATACCGCAGAATGAGACGCAAACCCTGACCGGGCTCGGGAGAAGCGGCTGCAGAGCGCGAAATCTTGAAGATGAACACAGCCGGCTGCTGCGGGGTCACAACTGAGTGATCAGAGGCGGTGGGTGCTTCGGCATCGAAGCCATCTGTCGAGCCCACCAGCTCGGCACTCTGAATGCGCAGTGTGCTGATGCCTCCAGAGCTGATAGAGAATTTTGAGAAAAGACTGCTGCCACGGAAGAAATCCTGCACATTGACGCCGAGCGGTAGAGCGATGCGAAGGTCGACACGCCGGCGAAAGTGCCGTGTGATCTCGGGTCGCTGCTGGGTGATGTAGTCGATAGTGATCGTCATTCGTAGAACTCCATCAGGCGAAGCCTCATGTAGGGGAACGAGGATGCGACCCGCAGATCCTTTCGCAATGCCGTGCACCTGAACCTTGTTCTGTCCTTCCACGACCGAAAGCGGAAGCGGCGCCGTTTGACCCTCAGAAAGCTCCGCTTCAAGCAGCCCAGCGAGCGGCGTCCCATCAAGGAGGCTCAAGCCGATGTCGGCCGTTTCCACGTGGTTGCGCCCGCTCTCTATGGTCAGCTCTGCGCAACGCCGTCGATCGAGGTCTACTTCGCGCGGTAATGCGATCGTCGCATACAATGCGTCCCCATCTTCTGGTATGTTCACGAGGTACGCAGCGCCGTGGTTGCTGGCTCCTGAGATGCCTGGCACGGGTGTGGACATTGCCGCCTTACCAAAGACTTCTTGGAAGATCAGCTTGGCAACGCGCACCTGGCTCACGTCGATCACGTAGCGGCCTGGCGGCGGACTGGGGCAAAAGAGCTCAATTCGGCTTCGACCTGGGTTGAGCATGATGGAGCCAGAGGAAAACCAGAGCTGGTCGCGTTTGGCACTGGTCAGGCACAATCGGACATCGTCCACGAGGACAGGCACAGTGACAAGAGACTCTATGGACACTTGCAGCGTGCTGCCGTCCTCATCTGGCATCTGCTCCGCCTGGCTGCTGACGGGACGGATGACAAATCCCGGGTATCCAGTGACAGGTTGCTCTTCTGCAAAGTGCTCTGCAGCCTGACGGATGCTCTGCCAAAGGTGCTCCTCTGATGCCCAGCGGAACGCCTGGCGCGAAATCGGCGTAAAAAGCAAGGGGGTGTGTTGGTCTTGCTGTTGCGACGTTGCGAGCGCCTTGGCCCGAAGCAGCATGACGGCAGACTTGGCCCACTGCTCGTCCTGAAGTTTTCCAAGCCTCTCGTGGCTCTCGAGCAGCATGACCAGCTGGTCCTCTTCGACCGAGTTCCAATTCTCCTCGCCATACGCGTCCGGCAAGGCGGTGAATGTCTCGTATGCGTTCGCGTAGCGCCCTCGCGCAAAGTTGAGGTGGCCGAGGATACTTTGGAGAAGGATCACGTTCTTCGACTTGCCCGCGGTCATCCACGCGGTCATCTCGCGCTCAGCGAGCGCAGTGTACTGCATGTCAAAGATGCCCTCGCTCTCCAGCGCCTTGCGCAGCTCGACGTTGGACACGCCGACTCCGCAGCCCTCATCGTCCTTCAGGCCAGGTGGCAGTGCGGGCAAGGGTTGGCGGCGCACCTCGTTCTCGGGCAGCGAGTCGCGGAACGGTGGCTGTCGCGGCAGCATCGACGCCCCGATTCCAAGCTTGTCGAGCTGCCGCCGCGCAATACCGATCAGCTCGGCTTTGGCAAGGTGGAAAGCGATGCTCAGCTGCGCGTCCGTAGGGACGGATGATGTGGCGCGCGCAGTGGCAGCGGCCAAATCAGCTTCGACGGACCCGGTGCTGATGGAGCCAAGGGGCGAGGGCGCGGCTCCTCCCACTGCGCCTGATGCTGCGCCTGCTACTCCCAAGCGCATCGTTGCGTCGCCCCGCTCGACAAGCCATTGGGAACACTGCTCGACGACCAGCAGGGCATTCGTGTAGACCCATGCGTCAATGTAGTTGAACGGCATACTCTGCCTGTACGCCAGCATGCGCCCGAGGCCAAGCAAGAAGGCTGCCGCCTGGCGCATGACGCCCGTCAAGCCGTGCGGCACACTTGCATCACTGAGCGCTACATGTGCGACCGGCGCAGCGGTCGACATGCGCGACAGGAGGGATGCCTGACGCGCAAAGATGTAGCAGCGGCAGTCGAACAGAGATATCTCGCCGCGCTGTAGCAGCTCGCGGTACGGCTTGCGGCTGGCGTCAAGGACAGAGGAAGAGTCGTCTCCTGCGGACAAACCGCCGAGATGCTGGAAATACGGGTGCGATCTCTCTGTCGAGGGAATAATGCAGCAGTCAACAAGTCAGCAAGGCTGCTCTCACTGACATCACTCTGAAGGCACTCACCTTGGACACTGCTGACAATCTCTTTGTCGACATAAGCATACTGGCTCCAAGCATCTTCCAGCAGTTGCAGACCTTCAAAGCTACGCGCGAGGAACTCCCTGGCGCTCGCCCACGCACAGAAATCCCACATGCCCAACGCAGCTGACACGCCAACGCCACCACCGGCTGCTTCGCCGCCAATCTGGCCTTTGCTCTTTTCATTCCCATTCTCGCCTGCTCCGCCCGCGTTGGCGCCGTTGCTAGCGAGAACGGTGCTGGCGAGTAAACGGGCTTTGGTGCTCTCAGCACGCGCGATCTCGGCCGTCTGTCTGCGCACGAATGTGTCGAGCGTGGCGCCGACGGAGCCCTTGATGCGGTTGAGCAGGTCGGCGAACATTGTCGGATCGACCGAGTGCCGCGGCCGCGCACCAGCCATTTGCTGTGGCTCTGCCTGCTGCTGCTGCTGCTGCTGCTGAGCGTACGAGGCGATGCTTGGTGGCAGCAGGGGTGGCAATCGCGTGAGGTGCACGATGCGGTCGCGCCGCCCTGCGCTGACGTTCGATGCGGACACCGTGCCGGGTGTTGGGGGCATGTTGAAGTCCTGTCGGAGCTTGTCGACAACACTGGCCATGCTCTTGGACAAGGAGGAGTAGAAGCGTCCGACTTTAGACGAAGAGGATGTGCCGCCCGGTGAGATCGAGCCGGAAGAGGGCGCCTCGCCAAGCGAGAGTGAGTGAGTGGACATAACCGTCTCGGTCGCGGCGCTAGCGCCGCTCCCTGCTGCATCCTGTGGAGAAATGAGGAGAATGAGGAATTCTGGCTCAATGTCATCTAAAGATGCTACATCGTCCACATCATCCTTGGTAGGCACCGGTGGACGCGCTTCCCCCGATGCGCCGGAGGATTTGGAGAGCAAGTCGATCTTCAATCCACCATTGCGGATCTGTTGAGGTGCCATCTCTAAGCCTTTGGAGGATCGGAGCGTCTGCAGCCATCGTTTGATGTCTTCCTTGACGATTGTGCGGTAGTGGTCCACGTCCTGACATTGCATGGCCCATTACGGCATGCAGTCAGCAAAGCGTGTTCATGACGCTATTGAAGGAATGCAGCACTGCGTGACACTCACATCACATACTAACAGGTAGAGGTGAAGGAACGGCCGATCGAGCATGGAGCTGGGCGGGATGAAAGCGTTGGCCTGAGCCTGTGCCGACATCAACTGCTTGTTAAGCTCGACCAGCTGAATGTCCAGGCTGGGAATCGTCCGCGGCGGCGATGGTAGTGCTGCGGCGGAGCTTGTCGACGTCGCATCTTGCAATGCTTGTGTCGTGGAAAGGACGGCGGGTCGGCGCCAGTGGAGGTTCCTCAGCGGGAACTGCGACCGAATCGAGTCGAGGACGTGAGCGCAAAAGGGACTGTGGAGCAGCTTTTCGCTAGCCGAGTAGGTGATCAGCAGTGGCTGCTGCTGGGGCTGCAGCTGCGGCCGCTGATGACCAGCTGAGCCGGCGCCACCTGTGCCTGCAGCTGCCAGTGCGCTGGACATGACCGCTGAGAGCGTCGTCAAAGCTGTGGCCGTATCTATCCGAAGCTGAGCGAGAGCCAATGGCGAGATCTCTAGTTGAACGGTCTTAAAGCCTCAGTCCGTCGAATCGCCTATTAACATATCCTTTCTCAGCCTTCCACAGCTTTGCTCTTCACTGCACGCGTAGGCTTGAGTGTCAAAGCGAAGATAGCTGGGAATCCTGCCACTGAGGGCGATGTCGGCAGGGGGGTTGGCTTGCTATGCCGGCTCGCGGATAGTGGAGACTCGAACAACGCGCACCAAGTGCGTTACACCGCCCGTCTACAACTGCGTCTCCGTCGCTCTCAGACTTTCAGTGTGCTTCGGCCTTTGGGTCGTTCAACAATGAGAGCGTGACATGAACAGCGCGGTGTAGTGGTATGTACAGGATGCAGTATGCGGATACCCGGTAGTCTCATAGGGCATCTGTTCTTGATATGGAGGAGAGTGGGCTCCTATGTGTGTGTGAATGCATATCAGCCACGAAAGTCAGAAACGTGACACTTCTGGTGTTAGGGTTGTTTACAGGGGCATTGCACCGAAAACAAGGACAGGACAATGCTTAGGTAAACATCCAACAATTTTTTTGATATTGCCCTCTCCACTTTTAGAACAGGCAGCAAAAAGGACATGTTGCATTTGTGCTCGCCAAATGCGTGGTGGTTCAGCGAAAGGTTCTTGGGGTACTTGGAGACCATCAGCCGCAGCAGCAAGCAGAGCATTGAATTGCATTGCATTTCATTTCATTTCATTGCAAAGGCTTGGAAACAGGCACGTATTTGTTTCGGCTTCGCATCGAAAGGGGCCTTCTTTGCCTAGCCGACATGGCGGCCACCGCAAAGTCACCACGCTACTTTGAGCAGCAGCCGTCGGAGGTCGAGGCGGTTGCATCTTCTCCAGCCAGCAAGAATGCGGGCACGTTCGGCTCGAACAATACGACCCTCTTCATCTCTGGCTTGCCCTTCACAGCAACTTCGACAGATCTGAGTACCTTGTTCAGCGACATTGGCCCGTTGCGAAAATGCTTTATTGTTACCGAGCCGCAGTCCAAGCGGTCCAAGGGTGTCGGATACGTGCAGTATGCCGTCAAGGAGGATGCAGAGCGCGCCTTGTCAGAAATGGACGGCCGAAAGGAAGGAGTCATGGACGGCTCTAGGGCCATTAGGGTCGAGTGGGCTAGGAACAGAGCGACGCTCAAGGAGAGGAGCGAGAAGAGGAAGAGAGACGGCGCGGCTGCACCGCAATCAGAGCAGCAGCTTGCAGCTGAAGAGACCGCCAGCGTCGAACCGCAAGATTCCAAAGTGCCAGCACATACACAATCCAAGCAGCAACAGCGACCAGCCAAGCGACCCCGTCCGAGCGCCGTACCCTCTGCGACGGCGGCAGACCCAAGCGCTGGCGGTGAAAAGAAAGCAGACGGCCGCGACCCGAACGCAAACCGCACACTTGTCCTGCGAGGCCTTAGCGCCTGCAAGCCAGCAGCCGATCAAAAGTCGCTCTACAAGCGCGTGCGCAAGATTGGACAGGTCGAGTCGGTCGTCTACCCCGTACCCTCCGAGGCAGGCGGCGCGTCAGGGGACAGCAACGACAACGGAAAGGGCAAGGGCAAGAAGGGCAGTGGTACAACTGCGTCTGATATGGATACGGACACGGCCTACGTCATTTTCCGTACACCCAATCACGCAGCAAGCGCTCTGCCGAACCTGCATAACCGCACGTTCAAAGCAGCCGTGCTGAAAGCGGACCTCAAGCGCACGTGGGACGGGCTGAGGCGGTTGGAGTCATCGCTGACGAACCCCGCGACGTTACAGCGCAGGCAAGAGACGATCGCCGCGATCGAGCGCGAGAGCCGCGCGCCGGCCATCGTGCGCGGCGTTCTGAGCAAGGTCGGTACCAAAGGTGCAAAGGTCGTCGTCAGCAGCGCCGGAAACCATGCGGTAAGGAACGCCGCGCATGTGACAGTGGCGCCACCGCCATGGAAGCTGAGCGCCGAGGTCGATGGCCGGCTCGCACTGGCTAGAGCCGGAGGCGGCGCAGTTGCTACTGGCAAGATCGAGAAGAAGAGCAGACTGATCGTACGCAATTTGCCGTTCGACGTGAGTGCCAGAAGCAATAGGAAGTGGAGGTTCACCTAAAAGTGTTCAATGGCTGAAACTCCTCTTACCTGTGACGAATACAGGTGACACCTGATGACCTGCGTGCCATCTTCCTGCCCTTCGGTCCGCTGTACAAGGTAGATATCCCCCAGACGGCAGCACCAGCGATCGATAGACGCCGAAAGAGCAAGGCAAAGCGTCAGGAGGATGCGGAGGAGGAAGAGCAAGAAGATGATGAAGCAAGCGATGATGACGAGGTCGAGATCGCGGTCAAGGACAACGAAGATGAAGGTAATACCGGAGATGCGAAAGCCCATGCAGAATCAGGTGACGAGGATACGGCAGGCAATGATCAGGGTAGTGATGACGAAGGCGACGACGAGAATGATGATGAGGAGTCAGAGGAGGGTCAAGATGACAACAGTGATGCTTCGCCAGAGGCACAAGGCGAGAAGGAGGAAATCAAAGACTGCGCAACAGCCAGTGACACTCCCACGCGCGGTCGTGGCTTCGCCTTCGTCTGGTTCGTGTCGTACTCGGATGCGTCGACCGCGCTCACGAGTGTGAATGGCATGTCCATCCAACACGGCGCGGCGGAGCGCCTGGCGTATAAGAGCGCGGTGCACTCGCGCGACAGGCGCCAGATCAAGGTCGTCTGGGACCGTGTCAAGCGTCTGGCGCAGCCCGCCAGAGTCGTCGCTGTCGACTGGGCGCTTGCGAAGGACGAGTGGCAGAAGAAGCAAGAAGAGGGAGAGGACAGCGCAAATGAGGCCGAGCCCGAGGCCGAGGCTGGCACAAAGGAGGAAGCGGGAGAGGAGGACAGTGATCTCGAACCCATGGCCGTAAATGACGGAGATGATGGCGACAAAGTGGAAGAAGGCCAACTAACTACGCTTCCTCAACCTGAAGAAGGCACAACCCTCTTCATCCGCAACCTCCCGTTCACCGCCTCTGAAGTGGAGCTCCGCGATCTTTTCCGTGCGTTCGGTAGCCTGCGCTATGCGCGCATCACAATGGACAAGGCAACAGGCAAGTCCAAGGGTAACGGTTTCGTGTGCTTTTGGAGCAAGGACAGTGCCGACAAGGTGCTGGATCAAGCTGAGCTCGTGCAGCGCGAGAGCGGCGCCTCAAGCATGACCGGCGCCAATGCCGTCGGCATGAAGACGGCAGTGACGGCCAACCCTTTTAGCATGACAGCAGCCTCGTCCGGCGCCACGCCCGCGACGAATCATTACTCGTCGCTGTTGACAGCAGACGTGTCGGCGCCGCTGGCTGCGAGCCTGTCGCTTCATGGCCGTCTGTTGTCGATTGCGCCTGCACTGAAGCGCGAAGACGCACAGGCGCGCGAGGCGAGTGCGATCGCAGCGCGCCAGAAGGGGGACAAGCGCAACACATGGCTGCTGCGCGAGGGTGTGCCGTTCCCTAACTCGCCGCTTGCCGGCCGGCTTGGGGGCTCGAGTGAAGGCGCGGGTGCAACCAAAGGCACGGCGGAGATCGACAAGCGCCTGCAAAGCTTCACAGTGCGGCGCAAGCAGCTCGAGACGAACGCAGCGCTGTTCGTGAGCAAGACCCGGCTGAGCGTGCGCAACCTGCCGTTGTTCGTGACAGACAAGGTTCTGAAGAAGCTGGCGCTGCACAGCGTCAAGGAATTCGGGCGTGAAGCCAAGGCGGGCGAGCGCGAGGACTTGAGTCGGGAGGAGCAAGTGGACTTGACACTTAGCGCCGCGCTGGAACACGGCAGCGAGAGCAAGCGCAACAAGTTCATCAAGGAGCGCCCAACGGCGGTGGTGCAGAGCAAAATTGTTAGACAGACGGACCGCCTGGACCCCATCCTCGGCAGCGTCGGCAGAAGCAGGGGATATGGCTTCTTGGAGATGCGCTCGTTCAAGGACGCACTCAAGGTCGTGAGGTGGGCCAATGCCAATAAAGACGTCACGAAGCTCTTCGTCGAGTGGCACCTGCAAGAACTGGAAGGTGCCGTCAAGGTCCTCCGCAAAGACATTGCTAGCGGCGCAGAGAAGAAGGAAAGTGGCAAAGGTGCTGCTGCTCCCGCAGGCCTCAGTGCCAAGGAAGACAATGAGTCACGGCTCAAGCGGTTACTAAAGCGCATCGCCGACATCAAAGAGACAGGCAACAAAGGCTTGGACAAGGGTGAACGTGGTGGGCTCATCATGATCGAATTCTCCATCGAGAACGTCACCATCACGCGCAAACGTCAGGAACGCGCGGACCACCAGAAGAGTGCAGCCTCCAAGCGCAAGGAGAGGGTAGGTGTTCAGGTATGCGGAGGGACATTTGCATCGACTGTGATGTGCTGACTTCAACTTGTCCCCTTCTTCCCTTCCCCTCATTCCCTGCGCTACCCAGGACGGTGATGCTGACCAGGAGGAAGACGAAGCAGCAACCCACCGGGGCCCCTCGACGAGCAAGAGCGACGGCAAGCGACGCGAGAACTGGAACAAGAAGACGACGTCATCCTCCGGCTCATTCGCTGACGTGAAGCACCTAAGGAAGAAGGCTGACGGAAGGATCAAGGAGGAGAAGGGTAAAACGAGCACCCAAAAGCATGCTGCCGCCGCCGGCTCTTCCTCCTCGCTCGGACGGATCCTTGGCAAAAAGCGCAAGGAGAGGAAGTTCAAAGGCGCCAAGTGAGCATGGCAAGGCCGCATGTCGTGTCCTGGCCACGCTTTCGATCCGCTTGAAAGGGCAAGAAGTGAGGTTCGCGATTCGCACGCCGTCCGCCCCCACTCGATGCCTAAGGAACTCGATCCAATGTCGCAAGATCGAGCACTTGTGAGGCACACAGCAGGGTTGAGCACCTCGCAAACGCTGTAGTATATCACGCACATCAACATGCAATTGGCAGGAAGCATTGTACATTACATTGTCGTCCAGATAGACAACGCAGTAACAATCCAGCAAGCGCATCTGCCGGCACACTGTTCATCAGACCCTGAAAACGATCAGGCGCAGTGCAACGCCCGAAGTGCATTGCGAGGTACGGTAGCTTTTTGAGTATGGGATGATGTCAAGACTGGGGCAGGAAAGAAAGGCTCGCCTCATCGAGTCAGGCTTTGAATGACGCTTGTGGGACGGAGAATATACAAGGCGATGGATGGATGGATAGATGGGTGCATTAAGCGATCAAGCTTAGCAACCGTCAGGGCAGTCTGCTCGCTCGTTTGAGCCTTCCATCTTGCAATGCTTTCCTCCTGTTTCACTAGAGGGGCTGAGCCTCTCCGCATTCGCATTCGCAGACGAGCGCCAAGCCACCAAGGCTAGCGAGGCTTGAGGGCATTTCGCAGCTGCCTATCGCATCAAGGTCCCTCGTAGAGTGAATGATTCTGCAAAACGGTGCTGAGTCGTTCAGAGCGGTGGTGGGGTCATGGCTGTAGAGTGCGCGGTGAGCCTGCTTTCGGAGAGGCGAGTGTTTAGGGTTGTGCACGACAATGGGCTAGTCGGAAGTTGGGTCCTGGAATGCGGAATACGGAATGCGGGACTTGACTGCAGACCTCAGCATTTCGTGGACGAAGCGATCATATGGATTTGGGTCATATGCATAGATAGATGCAGTAATCCGGAGCAATCATTGTAATGGATAGCAGCCAGTACACATTCGACGCATAGCACTGAGTAATGGACGGACCTACTCGCATACCCCGCATTGCAGCTACAGTGTCACCTGTTGACCGCAAGCATAGCCGCCTTGCCATTGCCCCGCCAACGCACCATGTCGGGCAGCAGCGTCGGGCGAGATCCTGAAAACCCGGACCGGCCACCGATTTGCCGAGCAGCAGCAGCATCATGACCAACTGCACCAACATCATTACTTCCCAGGCTCACTATTAGGGGCTGCAGCCGGAGCCGGGCGCAGCACAGCTCCCTGTGAGGCTTTACGGCTCGCGCGCCTCGTCGTTAGTCTCATTTTCGATGCCTTGGGCGGCGCTGGTAGACCCGCGGAGAAAGCGCGTGCAGCTCCCCCCCCCCCTCCTCGATCCGTGCGGGAAGGCGTCGATGCTCACCATTCGCACCCAACTCACAGGGCTGCATCATGTGTACCTGACACGTTCGCAGAGCGGGCAGGAGCTGGCTGGAGGGAGCACGCTTATTGGTTTGCCAACTGGTTCGCTGGCTGGCATCTTATGTTCATACTTGTCTCGCATGCAACGAAAACGACCCTACCAGATCCAGAAATGACTCAGGACGAGGAATATGAGATCGGCGGAAGACCTTTCTGTCTGGTTGGTGGCCTATCACCTTGAGAACTCGTAGTGAAAGGTGGGTTTTCGCCAGGACGTCAATCCTCTCCTTCCCTTATCGCAGGCGGTCTAGCTTTAGATTTAACGGGCTCCCGCGCGTAAATGAAAGTCGAAAGCGTGAGATCGCCTGTCATAGCTTAGATTGCCTCCCCTCGGTTGGATTTTCATAACAGACGGGGGATCATGATTATGACTCGCATTACACTGTGACCAAGAGGCGTGAGTCCCTCCTGTCATTGCCCCTCATCGTCATCATCTTCACTCCCCTGGCCATCCTCTTCATCCTCGCCGTTCTCATCGTCAGATTCGCACACAAACTTCTCATTCTTGCTGCTCGTATCAGCGGGGACACGGCAGCCTGGTCCGACATCGCAGTCCTTAAGTGTGACGCGCTCACCGACTTTACTCCCCGGCGCCAGGAGCGTGTTTTCCAGCTTGGCGCCCTCGCCGACGAAGCAGCCGTCCATGATGACACAGCCCTGCAGCCGGCACGCGCGCCCAATCCAGCACGAGCGCCCGATCACGCTCTTTTTTACCGTGGTTCGTTCGCCTAGGCGCGTTTGAGCGCCGATCAGGCTGTCCGCGGAGATTTGCGCACTGGCAGCTGTGCTCGACGCTGTTGCTGTCATTGAGGTTATTGCTGCTGTGGCTGGGAGTGACATTGTTGATGACGGCACGGCCGCGGGTGGGGCTCCAGTGGATGACGTGTTGTTATTTCCGCCTGCCTCGTATGAGCCAGCCTTGGCAGACACAGGCGCAGACGCAGAGACAGCAGGCAAAGGCGGCACACCTGCACTCCCGCTTGCACTTGAATTTCCCGCGGCAGAGGCAGCGGCGAGAAGTTTGAGCACGTATCGATTGCTTTCAATGTACGTCGGAAGCGTGTTCGCGCGCGCAATGAAGCGGCCGCCTGCTGCCTCGTCATGCTGCTCTGCTCTTGCCGCCGCTGCTGCATCCGCGCCCTTCTGCTTGTCAGCGGAGTTGGTGGCGCCGGACCCAGCAGGGGCATCGGCAGTGCCGGCGTGAGATGCGCCACGGGGCCGCAAGCGTGCGATTAGCGCTACGCAGCGGACCGGGTTCACCTTCCCTGCTCCCTCGACAGGCTGATTCTTGTCGCCATCCTGCGTCTGCGGCGTGAGGTAGGGGGGAGGCACTGGTAGATTGCGCGTGTTGGTGCTTTTGAGGAACGCGGCGAGCATACTGCTTCCGGCTTGGTCCTCTGCGTCTGCGTCTGCATCGGCGTCGGGGCGTGTATGCTGCCGCGCCCCATCAGTACCCCCTTGTCTGCCGCTTACGTTGGCTGAGGCGTATGCCACGCTTCCTTCAGCGCTGGCCGCCCCCGCCGCCTCGGCACCGGGGGCCGTCCAGCCGATCTTCTCGAGCAGGCCATTCTGCCAGCTACATTTGGCCGCGGTGGGCAGGACATGCTCGCGGAGACTCGTGAGGCGGAGCGACCAGCGCTGCAAGAGCGGCGCGAGCAGCGGCATGCTGAGGACGTACGCGTGAGCGTCGAGCAGGTGCGTCGCAAGCGTCGTGCGTGGGTGCGACCAGAGCAGTGACATGCGCACGTCCATATCGTCATCGTCGGATGAGAACGTCTCCTCATCGCGATGCAGGAGCAGCGAGTGTAAAGAGTGCGGGAGGGGCGTCGCCGCACTGCCGCCAGTGCTGCTACTACCTGACGGCCATTGCACCTGCGTGGCAGCGCCTCCAACCCCACCTGATGGTATCAATTCGGTGCTGGCGTACGCAAAGAGCGCGCGAGGCGGCGCCTCTTTCTCGCGCTCGCGGCCGGTCCCTTCGCCTGCACCGCGCTCGTACAGCAGAGCGGTGATCGCCGGTGGGGAGGCGTGCGGGAAGCTGGCCTGCAGGTGCGCGGTGAGTAGCGCAGCGAGCGGGAAGGCTGGGCTGACCAAGTCACACGGCAGGATCAGCGGGTTAGACTGTTGGCAGCGGGGACGTGCTCAATGGTCAGCACATTTGGCAGAAGGCGACCGAGAAAGATTTTTCCGTCAGGTGACGCACCTGTACTCTCCCAAGCTGCCAGAGCCATAGCAAGAGCTGTGCGGTACCCATGCGCGAGCCCGGACCGCTCCCAAAAGCGGACGCTTCGTTTTCAGCCCCTCGCCCTCCCGCGCTTTTCATTCCTCTAGCTGCTCCTCCAGCTGCTGCTGCCGCCGCTGTCGATGTGCCGTCGCCTTCAGAGGCGGAAGGCCCAGCAGCACCGCCGCCGTGGTCGTGTGGCCCGAGCGGGAAGAGTTCCACGCGAAAGGCAGATGCGTCTGCGTTTGCTGTTGACAAGCCTGTGCTAGACGATGTAGATTGCAAAGCACTCCACTCGCGCACGACGATATTGACTCTTCCGCTCGCATTACCATGTTGGTGATGCGATTGCTGCGGGTGCGAAGGCAGCTGCAGCGAACACGTCCTCAGTGTCGCAACGATAGCCGCTTGTGACTCGCGCGCGGCAACGACGATCGCATGGTCTATGCCAGCCGTGCACAGCAGCTGTAGCGGGTACGCCAGCAGCGGCCGGTTCGCGATCGGTAGCAACGCCTTGATCCCTGCTGCTTCCGCTGCTGAGGGCGAAGAAGAGGAGGACGCATGTACTTGCGTGAGCGCCTGCTGCGGGTCGCAGAGCGGGTACAGATTTGCACCGGGCCCGCAGAAAATGATGGGCGTGAACGGCAAGGGAGCAGCTGACGCAGCGGCTGCTGAAGGAGCGCTGGCAGGCGGCATGGTGATCACTTGATTGGCTCGACTCTGCAACCGGATCAGGCTCGGAAGCAAGGGGATGGGTCTATGCACCACGTCAAGACGTACAAACGCACGCCGTGGGAAGGTAGCTACAAGCACAACGCGGGAATACGCTGCTGCTGCTACCTGCCTGCAGGCTCTATCCTGGCCATATGCATATACTCGTATGTACAGCGAACGAGGCGAACTGGGCACGTTGGAAGCACAGCAAAGCGTCCTTTAAAGTTTGGAGATCGTGACTTTTGGCAAAATACACATTCCGAGTTCCGGACTACCGGAAAAGCGGCTTTAAATGCCAAATTCGAGCTGTCCTCACCGTGACTTTTGGCGTGTCTTTGGGGAAATCACGGTATTCTTCCTTAGTAACTTGGGTGAGTTGAATCCACCGTACGACTGCGCCAAGGCACAAGTAGGGTTATTCCATCGCTGGCATCCATTCGCTTCCTACCGTTGGCGCAACCTCAAAGATCTCTTGAGGTTCAACGAAGTTCACGTTGAAGAGGTTGCATGGTTAGGTGATCCCCAGTGAGAATTAGCCGCATTTATCGTGGACGCTGATCTGCTCTCAGTGCCAATTAACTTGGACATATAAAAGCACTCAGACCTGTGCAGTCGGGACGACCGAGTTTTGCAATTTTAACCCTTGAGACGAGGGTTCCGACGACGCAGTAAGATACCCCATCAACATGTAAGATCTCGTCTTTGTTTCTAAACCCATCAACAGCCTCAACAAGTAATGCTTCATATTCGAACGTCGGCAGAGGCCCAGCCTCGGCAAGAGTTCTATATGGGACAAGCTTACTCTTGAAGGTACCTGCACATGACGCAGTAGCGTCGGCAGCGCGGACGCGATGGGGCGAAGCGCAGCGAAGCGGCACAGCCCATGGCACACTATCGAACTTCATGAAAGGCTCCAAAGCAGAGTGAAGCTGCAGTGGCTGCGCATGAAATCTAGCACCCCGACGATATATAAGGAGCTGCGCACAGCGCCCCCTGAGTCCGTGTAACGTAGAGAAAGTAAAAATGGGTGGTCATCTTACCTTGATCCACCGGCGCCCCTTTACATGAGGTTATGTGTCCAACCCATTAGCCTGAAGAAAACACTCAGGAGACTTGACGCAAAGGACCAAGATGTCAGCAAATGCGACTTCGCCATGGGCCACGGCCAGCATCGAGAAACTGTACGGCGGTAATCGCGACTTGTGGGCTTTCAAAGTCCGAATTCTGATTACGACCGGCCAGTGGGGCTACGTGACCGGGATGGTCAGTAAGCCCCTGATCGAAGACGGCGCCGTCACTGAATATGGGTGCAGACAGGAGGAGGCCTTGGCGACACTGACGCTTGGCATTGATGACAAGATCGCCGGCTCAATCCGCATGGTGAAGGCAGCTAAAGAGCTATGGACCACGTTAGAAGCAGAGTACCAGCCGAAGAAGGGAGTCGCCCTCTTTCTCCCCAAGAGAGACTTTTGGACCGTCAAGAAGTTTATCTTGACTGTTGAAGCCAATTCCCAGTATAAAAAATGCTTCCTAACAGAACACCCAGAATCTCTCCGTGGGTCCGCCGTGCGCTGCTAACAAGTGATTTGGTGGATCTCCAGACTGAAGGCGAGAAACAAAGCGCTGTCTGGTGGACATCATGGCCAATAGCGCCAAAAGGCTTTGAAATGTGCAAGGTGCATGCCAGAGGAAAAAGACAGCCAATCATCGAGGATGCCATATGCAAGGTGAGGGTGACAGTACATACGAGCGCATGACAATACAGAAAGGGGGGCAATGGCAAGAAAAGGGGGTAACGGTGACAGCGCGCGAACTGGGCGTCCATCGCAGGGTAGCAAAACAAGAGCAGGGTGATTGATGCACGGTATGCATGAGAAAGCAAAGATGACAAGAAGTGGATGCAATACCTCCTTCCCACTTGAACCCTTCCCAAGAAGCGATTTGGTCTATAAAAGAAGCTTGCTCGACAGAAGGAAAAAGAAAGGGCGAGCGGGCCCTACTTCGCATGTTCCCTATTTTTTCAAGTAATTAACCATACTTCTCGTCGAACGAGTTGGTCGCGGCTGTAGCATTGCCGACAGCGTCCTGCTTGCCGTACACTCCTTCGTCAAGGTTGTTCAGAGCGTCTTCCTCCTTATCGAGATTGTGGAAGAAGAACCAGAAAAGGCAGCCCCCGACGAAAGCCAGGCCGGCAAAGACGCCGTAGTTGATCACCAGGTTCGGGTCACCGGCGAGCTCGACGAACGCAAAACCGAGCGCGTTGGCGAGTGCCGTCTGAAACAGGTACAGCGACATGACGAGCGACTTCATGTTGCCGGGTGCCTTGGTGAACGCGTACTCGAGACCGGTAATCGATGTAAAGATCTCCGACAACGCGATAAGCGCGTAGCAGCCCGACTGGATCCACATGCTCATCGGCGCCGGGGGGCACTGGATGCTCGTGCCAGGGAGGTTTCCTGACGTGTCCGTGCCGCAGGGGCTCTTGACGTAGATGTAGTGCTGCAAGCGTGCAACAGGCCGATCAGCACGCATCCTGTACGACCAGACACGATCGGGACTACTCACCTGCACGACGGCAGCCCAGACCATCGCGAATGAGGCGCAGAAGAAACCGGCGCAGATCTATGAGAGTGCGGCAAGCAAAAGGAGGCGGGATGAGCACACATGCGCTACAATCAAAAGACACGCCGCGCACGCTACTTACGCGCTTGAGCGGGCTGAAGTTAAAGCCGAAGCGGCGCAGGAGCGGGTAGACGATCCAGTCAAGGAAGGGAACGAGAACAATGATGAAGAGCGGATCGAGTTGCGCGGTGATCTCATTGGGCACGCCATTCTTGACCATCACGCCAGCTTGACTGGTAAGGTTGTCTGCACGGAAGAACATGATACAGAATAAAGGGAGAAGAATCAGCGACAGTACACTCGACCGTAGAGCATTCCGCATCATGCTTTGCGACGCACTGTTGATCTGGTTGTAGCAGAGCCAGTAGAGCGGGTAAAGGCCAAAGACGGCGCACGCCTTGAAGCCACGGCGGACCTCCATGACCCACTGGTCGTCGAAGGTCATCCACTTAGGTCTGTCCTCGGCGGCAAAGCTGCTTGGTAAGACGTTGGTCCAGAAGTCGTCGGCGCGGGGGTTGAAACTCCAGCCGCGACGGCGTATCGCGAAGCGCAGTAGGCGCAGCGCGTTCGCCAGCACTGAACCCGAGGGTGGCGAGCGCACATAGCGGTTCCGCCCAAAGTATAGCACGGGGATGCACAGCAAGAAGACAACCGTCGGCAGCGTGAAGGCAAGCCAGTAGCCAACGTATTTGGCACTGAACGACATGCCGACCTGGCCCAGGACGGCGCCAATCTGCAAGACGAAAAGCAAAGGGCGGAAATAGGGGTTAGTGCGTGTTCTGGCCTGTCGGGTCTCCTGTCCACTCACGTTGATGGCAAGGTAAAAGTACATAAATAGCCGCGAAATGGTGAGCGTGGGGTCGACGATGACGCGCTCGCCGGAATTGGTGACGCGCACGATCTGCTTCTGCCCGGCGACCTGCTCGGCGATGAGAGGGGCGACGTTGGACTTGAAGAAGCCGGTGCCGAAGCCCATGACGATGACGCTGATGACAAAGCAGGCCAGTGCGCCGTCCGGGTTATCCATGACATGGGGAATGCCGTTGATGATGAGCATGATGTGTCCGATTGACGCGATGGCGACGGCGATGCAGATTGTCTTGAATCGGCCCCAGTGCGCGTCGGCGAGGTAGGCGCCGAGGAGCGGCGTGCAGTACACCCAGAACGAGTTGAACGTTGTCAGCCCCGTCGCGACCTTCTGGCCCATGCCGAGCGCGCCAGCGTTGCCCTCATGGCTGCGGTTGGCGCCAGTGAGGCCGCCATAGTCGTATGATGGGCGCGGACGCTGAATGTAATTTTGGAAAACCTGCGTGCAGCCGTAGTATGAGAAGCGCTCTGCTAGCTCGCAGAATGCGACCCAGAACGCCATCCAGGGCAGAGCGGCGGGTACGCGGCGGAGCGTGCGGCGCTCATCCTCGGTTGGGTAGACCAGCCCGTTGTCTGACAGATGCAACCCCTCGATCTTGCTTGGCACAGTGAGCGGGCGGCCGATGGCCGCCTCAGGGTGCTTGGCGCCGTCTGCCTGAGCATTGTGGATGACGGCCTCACCGGCGGCGGCGTACTCGACCGTGTCTGCGTTTGCGTCTGTTGCGGATGGAAAAGGAGAAAGCGATGGTACTCGGTCAGGGCAGCTGGACGATCCGGTCATTGAACCTCGCCGCACTCACCCGACATGATGGTTTTAGTTGTCCTTTGCTACTCGGCGCTGCTCCTTCTTTTGTTCCTTCTGATGTGGCTAGGAGAAGGAAGGCCGGGGATCTGCACAGCAAAGCAGGATGGACGAGGGTGGGGGCTGGAAGCAGGGACGGGTAGTGATGGAGGTAAATATAAATGCGACGTAGAAGATTGCGCACTCCACTATCAGTTGATCCTCATCCTCATTGTTCGCTAGCCCTGCCTTGACATGCTCTCTCGTCTCCTCTGCTCTCGTGCCCCCGTTACTCTGCCGCCCCTGCTGAGTGTCCACGAGACTCGACCACAGCACATGGCTGCTCGCGCGCGGGCAGGTCCCCAGATTGTAGTCGCTGCCACCTACCCAGCAATCAGGGACAGAGCATAATAGAGCGGCCTGCTGCCAGTCGAAGTGGGTGGTGCCACATGCACGGGTCCTCCTCTGCCCCTCTGGCTTCTGGAGAAGACGGTCTGAAACGAATTTAAACCGATAGCGTGATCGGGCGCAGCCGGTATTGCATCTCGTCAGTCATCTGAGCGAGGCTGGAGCAGGGCGTGGGTACCTTGCCTGACGCCCACCATGTGCCAGCGCCTTCCCACCGATACGGGTTGCAAGTTTGAAAAGGGGCGGAACGCCACAGCCAGAAATCTCAGTTTAGCACGTAATTTTAGGCCCTGTCTGCATTTGGAGCGGCGGACTGCGGCGGCGATACTCTGATGGCTGCACCCTTGTCCATCGCTCCTGCCTCGGATCATCCATCGGGCAGTCGAGCAAGGGTTGCCCGAGTGCTCGGTGCTGGTGACAATGCAGAAGGCGGGCACTGGAGCGCGGTATGATGCTCTCATGTCGCGTGAACGCGCGTGCTAGACCCCGGTGGGTGGGGGGAGGCTCTGGAGCAGTGAGGAGCCACCCTTCAAACTACTATTTTACGAACGACCGAGATTCGGCACCTTGCCAGCAGCGACGGGACTAAGGTACTGTTCCTCCGGCCTGGACAGCCAAAGTGGGCCTTTCCACTGCCTCCTTTGACACTGTCCTTTCTGGGGGTTTCTAGCCCATCCTTGCGAGTCGAATGGCAACCCTCAAAATGACCACGAACTATGCACCTCCGTCGAGATTTCGTTGAAGATTCGCACATCGAAGCGACCTGCATTTCTCTCCTGGATGTCGACATCAAGCATCGAAATGTCGAGATCTGCGGTCGGCCTGGCGTCGGGGCTGTTCAGCCGATTGTCGAGGTGACACTTTCTCATCACATTCTGTAATTTGTTGGACAACGACAGAGCGCCGTTCAAGTGGGTTCGCTTCTCCAGATTTGAGACGTCAGCCCTGAAAAAAAGATAAGGGGCTACGTGCAGAGCGCTGCCACTGCGCGTGTCTGATTCAGCAACCCGCAGCCCCCGCACGTAGCACAGTGTATCGAACAACCTCATTTACAACCACGAGGCCCTTTGTTGCCAAGCACCCGCCCCGACCGCGTGTACCGCCGAATATGTATGTACGCACACAAACAAAATCGACCTATGGCCAGGCAAGAGGAAGATAAGAAAAGCAGCAATCTCATTAGGACTCTCTCCAATGACAATTTTAGCCCCAACTAGTGGTTTTGGTTGAGGCTAGCCCATAGTCCAACGATATCCCAGACGTGTGTGTAGGGGACGATGACTGCCAGAGTCCACATGGCAGTGCCCAGTATACAGTTACCGAACCGCCCACGTCTCCCGCGGCTCCGACCGAATGAATGAGCCGCGCCGCCCTCCTATCTGTGACACGCCTCCTGCAACACTTGATACTGTTGCCATTAATTGCTGCTTCTGATTTTTGATGGCAGGGAACCGGAGCTCAACAAGTTTAGTTTTCATGATTTGGTTTTAGGCCTGTGGGTACGGCAGTGCCGAATCGTCTTGTATTTGTGGCGCGATGCTATGTCTATCTATACATGTGCATTTCGCATCGTGTACAGCGGTTGCACGCTGCAGGTATGTACTACCCATGGCTCGCGCAGCCATCAGCTCGCACGTATAGAGTGTTGTTTGCACACGCGGGTTGCGCGGCTGTGGCTCCTGTATGCGGATATGCATGCATGTACGACTTGACCAAGCCAGTAGTCAGTCGAAGAGTACAAAACGAGCTGTCTGGAGAGCAGTCGACATGGTATGCACATTTCGAGGGCGGGAAAAGAACGAGGGCAAGTACAAGGGGCTGACGACGACGATGGCAGGAACGAGGCTGCTGCGAAAGTACAACACTGGGATATATACACGACAGCTCCCAGGGCGATGCAAGGAAAATAGCGAGAGAGCGGGGCGATCCCAGAAAAAAGAGAGATCCGAAAAGCGACGGCTGCTCATTAGCGATGCCGGGAGCGGGTGCGGAGGCGGAAGCGGCACAAATGCCTGTAGCCGGGCTTGCTGCATGTACAATGGGAAACTTGGACTAGACTGTTTGCGGTGACTTGGGGACGGCGTGCATAGAGGCAAAGGCGGACAAGCACGTCCGCGGATCACCCGCTGATGAGGCGGATGAGCATGTAGAGCGTCGAGCCGATGAAGCGCACGCACGCCATGCCGCCGACAAAGACGAGGACGAGGACCATGTAGACCTTTGTGCGTGTCGTCCCGCTGCGCGCCTCGAACGTGCTGCTGTCCGAGCCGGTGAGAATCGCCGACGCGAGCACGGCGTTCGACAGCGCCCATGCAAGGACGACGTTGGTGCGGATGTTTTTGTAGTAGTCCATCCGCCGCACTTCCTTCTCCTCGCGCGACGCGTCGCCGCGGATGATCATCGGCCGCGTGCGCAACTTGTGCAGGGCCTCGTCGTACGCAGCGTCAATGTCCGCCTGTGCCGTCGGCAGCGTGATCTCCACAGTCCCTTTTCCCGACGCGGTGACCGCGCCGAGGTCGGTCGAGACCGTGCTTTCGCCCTTGGTGCCCCAACTAAAGTCATGCAGGTTGCAGAACGCGTAGATGTTCAGCACGTTCACGTACGTTGGCGCCAGCAGCAAGTACTGGATAAAAGACGTGACCAGGTGCAACGGGTCGCACGCTATCACCGAGCTCATCAGGTATACACCGTACGTCGCCAGCACTGAGACGACCATTTGTGCGCTGCAGGAACGAAGCATACATTTGGTCAGCGAACGGGGAGATATAGGAGTCACACAACCGGTTCGCAAACTCACTAAATGGCGTTGTGCACATTGTGCACGGCCTGGATAAAGCACAGCACAGCTGCGAGCATCATGTACGCCGTGCACACTGCAAATATGATCACCGCCGCGAGGTACTTCCACTTGGACCCTTGGGGCCTGTTTCCGAGAGCAAAGATGAAGCATGCGATGACCGTGCCAAGGTAAGTGTACTCTACGATCGTGTTCAGGATCGAGATTTTGGGTAGGTGGAACGACGGCGCCTCGAGCGAGCGCGACAGCAAGATGAAGAAAATGGCGTAGTTCGCCAGCGAGAACCACGCAAAGCACAAGTTGATCAGCGAGTACACTGACTCGGCGACCAGCGCCGTCTTGCGCCAGACGCTGTGGCTGCTCTGCAGGAATTGACGAAAGTGCCATAACGCATATACCGCCGCGAAGAACGAGCCGTTGAGCCAGCGGCGGCGCTGAGAGATGAACTCTGCGAGCGTGTCCGGCACATCCGTGACGCCGCGGGCGCTCTTGACGTACTTGAGCACCCAGCTCGAGTCGCGCTTCGCCGCCAGCTCAAAGCACAGGATACGGTCCTCGGCGAGGTACATGTTCGACGTGAACACGTCCGCCTCGGCGCCGAGGTGCGTCTCTCCCTTGAAGTATGACGCGAGCGGGCCGTGCCCGAGCGAGTCGTTCTGCAGCGCAATGTAGCGGTACGCCGAGAAGGCGCCCGGAAGGACACTGATGTATCCAAAGACTGACTCGGTCGTCTTGTCGAGGATATTGCTGATTTTGTACTCGAAGTTCTGCGCTGCAACGAGCGGATTGAGCAGCGCAGGGCCCAGCCCAAATCGGCCCTTGGTGTCGGCGCAGATCTCGCCACACGCGCCGGCGACGTTCGAGTTCAAGTCGAATGCCTTCCAGAGGTAGTAGATCGACTTGTTCTCTGGGCGCGTGCCGACGTCGAGGAGGATGCACACGTTGGGCTGTAGAACGGGCGCGAACGCATTGAAGAACCAGCGGTGCGAGTTGATCTTCTTCTTGTTGTGCTCCTTGAGGCAGAAGATGATCTGCATGGGCACCAGCCCGCGCTCTGCGCCTTTGAACTGCAGGTTCGTGTCGATCGAAAGCTGCGTCGTATACTCGTACACGTGGGCCTGTACCACCTTGTTGTTCACCACGTTTTTCGCCACGCCGTCCTGGTACACACCCATCGCGGCCAGACAGTCCAGCACGCGAGGATGCACCTTCTTGCGCCCGTCCGCGACGATCGCCACGACGACCTTTTTCCAGCCATCCACGCCCCACGTTCGCGACTTGTTCCGCGAGCACAGGTGCGCGATGTTTTTCATGACTCCGTGCATGGTGCGCGTGAAGACTAGTCGCGCGTAATAAGGTGAAATGTGGGTGGTCAGGGTGCCGTTCCTTTCTTTCCCCACGCAGTTGCCAAGCAGCCCCGACACTCACGAATTTCATCCTCGTTGTACATTGTCACGCAGATAAAGATCTCCGTGTGGCGATGGAACAGCGCAGGACGCAGCGTGTAGCTGTTTTCGGAGAACTCGTCCGGGTCGCACGTGACGGCCGTGTATCGCATGTTCATGTATTCGTCTTCGCCCCTGCGTGTCAGGAAGCTCTGCAGCTTGGTCGGCACAGGGCAGTCGAGGACGAGGTTACCCTGCGTGAGCTTGACATTTTTCTTGGTCTTGTGCCGCCGCAGCTGCGCGCCGCGCGCGGGAGCAGGGCCAAAGTGCTGCGTGTCGAGCGCAGGAATACCTACACCGTCGAGGCGCGATCCGTCGCCGGTCAGAAAGCCGGGCCCATTGCCCTCTTCATCCAAGTGGGTTTCCTTGTGCCCAAGCGTCGTCCCATCCTCGTCACCGTAGTATGGACTCGGAATATAGGCGGCCGCATTGCTGAAAGGGTCGGGTGTGGAGAACTCCTTGTCGTCGTCATATGCGCTTGCAGGGCTGAAGATATCCTCGGGCCCGCGCTGAGCACCGTACGAGTCTCCACTGCGGTTGTCGTACGACGCCAATGCAGGCCCGGTGCCGTAGTACGTGTAGCCGGCGTCATTGTCTACCTTTTCGTCCTCAACGACCATGCCAGGAGAGTAACTGCGCATGATGTTGTCGTCGTCATATGACGCTGCTGACTGGCTGTGCGAGGAAGCAACGGGGCCGTATTGCGCATCGGCGAGCAGTGTAGGCAGATGCGCCGAGAGCCCCTCGTTCCCGCCAGCTGCATACGGTGGAGCAGACGACGGCGGCGGTCGACCTCCTGCTGCGTAGCCATAGGATGATGGCCCGTTTTCGCTAATCGGGCTCATGATCGCAGCGGCGCGATATGGGCTTGCAGAATCGGCACCGCTGCCATTAGCACCACTCGCGAGAGCGTTCGCAGCTTCGGCATAGAAGCTTTCGCTAAGCTGCGGCGCGTGGCCACCTCTGCCGCCGCCTCGCATGTTGATGGCCCGATGGGCAGGCACGGCATGGACGTCCCCGAATGGTGAATGTCCTGTCGAGCTGGCTGCTGCCACTGCTGCTGCGGCTGCGTTTGCTTCGTATGCGTCAGCTGGGTAGAGTGCCGCGTGGTCATCGTCGTCGGCCTGGCCAAGATGGCCGTACTCATATCGACCTGCCATTTTGAGTGATCGACGCCCTTTACTGCCTGGTGACAGAAAGGCGGGCACTAGGAAGGAGTGAGGGAAAAGGCTTGCTTTTCAGGTTCAACGCACACGGACAGTGCTTGAATGCAATTAGAGAGATGAGTTGGGCTGCGGTGCGGTGCGTGGCCTCACTTTGCAATGCGAGTGCACTTGAGATTGAGGTCGTCGCATCCGCTCTCCCGAGTCCGAGGGAACTGAAAAAAGTCGCGTGAGGAGGCGAAGAGAGAGCACGTTGCAACAATGCTCGGCCGGTCGCGAAGGTCGTACGAAAAGAGAAGGTGTCCGTCACCTCTCGACGATTCGAGCAAGACGCAGGTAGCAGGTTGACGACACTTTCCTGCCATGGCAAGAGCCAAGGGATGGAAGAGGTGGACCGCTGGACGAGGATGATCCAACGTCCAGATGGAGGAACGCGGGCCCGCCGCGACGGCGTGCATGCATCTCATCGAGTGGTGTCTGTGCACTGCGACTGCATCACGTGCCTGCTCATATTTGCAGCACAGCGCGCGGCTGGGCTACCGCCAGGGGGGCAGTCAAAACAAGCATCCACACGCGCACACGCGTGGCATAGACCATCACTCAACAGGGGTAACGCGTCGGGCTCAACTGGCCATCTCCCGAATCCCGAGTCCCATGCGAGACAGGCAACTCGAAGGTAGACCGTCGAAATAACCATTGACCGACTCCTACTGCCATGCCGATGATGGTCGTTTCGTTGTGAGAATACAGAGAACAGATCCAGGAAAACCAGGATATGTGAAGCGGGGAGGCATGGAAGCATAGAAGCATGGAAACGTCACATCAAAACAGGGTGGCACGAATCGAGCAGTGAGCCTGTTTGAAGGGTCATCACTCGTCCATGCCTTCCTTTGAAGAGTGATTGTGATTGTTTGACGTGCTGACAGCGCTCAAGGAGCCCTTCGATCAGGGAAGACGAGCCATAGGAATCTGTATTCGCCGCAGACGCTGCGTGAGGAAAGCGCTCGCGCGAAACTTCATGAGCTATATATTGAGAGCGTGCTTTTTGTGGTATTCTTACACAGTGATCCCTGATGTCTTGCCTATGACAATCCCCCGCCAGCATCCCAGAATCTTTCCTCGTACCACAGCGTCTGGCGCCACACCTCCTCATATGACGCCAGTCTGGCCCCTTGTGCATCAGTGCAGAATTCGTCCGTGAGCTCACGGATTTCCTGGACAAAAGCGACGAACTCCCTCGATGTCCAGTTCTCGATAAAGTGTCGCAGAGCCGTGTTGGGACGCGCGGACGGATCTACAATCGAAGACCATGGCGCCTGAGACAAGGCGCAGGTCCAGGCCGTGAGGTAGAGCTAAGAAGAATGCAAGAGGGTGTGTGTGTATATGTCAAATTCAGCCGCTATACAGAGGAAAGGATTGATGAGCAACTCACCTCCTCCATGGCCCATAGCAGGATCAGCTGCTCTTCAAAGCTGCCCGTTGTGGCTATATGGACTATCCAGTCGATGTATGCCTGCGAGATCAGCCGGGGAGTCAATGCGGCCCGCTGTGATGCATGCTTGATCTAGACGTACCTTTGTCACTGGGGCATACGGACCCAGCAGCTCATCTGTATTTTCAGCTTTCAGGCTCAAGCCAAAGTCTGCTGCCGTCTGCTCGAAAAAGTTGATCTCTCTGGAATGCACAAAGCATGTCTGGGAATCAATGCGTATCACATGCTCAGTGCGCCTGTTAGCACTCATCAGAGCAGGTTGCTGCTACACAAGCTCACCTATCTATATTGCTCAGCGCCGCCGCAAGCAGCTTCCTGACTCTTGCCGCGCGCTGACTTTTTGCCGTGCCAGGGGCCTCGTCGCTAACAGGCATGCGGGCGAGCATGAGCCCAAGCAGGCGGACATAGCCGATGCTCGCATACAGCCGGTCTTGACGCAGCCACGCCTCTAACGCGAGCGCCGGCAGCTCCCCACTTCCGGCTGCGCGGAGGAATGCATGCTGCGTTGCGCGCTTGAACGAGGCGGTGTGCTGCAAGAGCAAGTGCTCTGTGATTGAACTGATCTGTGACATCTTTCTGGCGTGATTCCAGCACGGCATCGGCCAACATACAGCCTAAAGCAGGTCGATGGCGATCTCGCCTTGCGATTGATATTGTGTTTTGGTTGGTTGTAGCGGCTTCGGTGTGCTTGCCGCATAGTCACTCGCAGCAGAAGCGCCTTCGAGGTCTGTGACGTGACCTAGTGCGTTTTCAAAGATCCATTATCTCCGTGACTTGCGGCAGAGCGATTGGCATCTTGCCAGAACCCCCACCTGTCCAAGACCGCCAGCAACACTTCAGCAATCACATCGCACATGAGCACTTTTAGGCTCGCGGCAATTCATCCATTTCATTGGCTTGATCTCGGCCGTAAGAGCAACTAGGACGATAAAGCGGATCCCGATTCCGTGCTCGAGTGAGAGCGGAACGATGATTGGGCTCCGCCCACATCCTTCCGGAAGGCAGGTCCGGAGATAGGATGAGGGTTAGACCAAGGTACTGTAGATAGCCACGTAATGGACCGATGTGGTCCTTGTTCATCTACCTGAGATCAAAGGGTATTAAAGGCGACACTTCGTTGATGTTACCTTGCATCCCTTACCTCACAGCAGATTATCAGCAATCATCATCATCAACAGCAGCATTCAAGACTAGCATTCCATCTGCCTCGTTGACCACCAGCTTTGCAAGATGTCACCTTCCAACGGAATCCAGACGGTCGCCCTGGCCGGTGTCGGAAATATCGGCTCGCCTCTCGCATTCGAGTTTCTGGAGAATGGTCTAACGCTATCTATCCTCACACGCGACACTTCCAAAGCCGATCTGAAGCAATACGCTGAAAAGGGCGCCAACCTGGTCCAAGTCGACTATTCGTCGGAAGCGCAGCTGACACAGGCGCTCAGAGGCATTGATGTAGTCGTGTCAACCTTGCCTTCAGGCTCAGATGATCAGGAGAAGAATCTTGCCAAGGCGGCCAAGCAGGCTGGCGTCAAGCTTTTTGTCAAGAGTGAATGGGGTCTCGATTACGATGCACCGAACATGGAGCCGGTCAATCCGATGATCGCATCCAAGATGCAACTTCGAGTAGAGCTGAAAGAGGTGCGTGCCATGTCCTTCGTTCGTCCAATCCGTGAGCGCTCTTTGATCTCCTCCCGTTCTCACCATCATCCGCAGGTTGGTCCTCCTATCTTCGTTGTTAGCAACGGCCTCTTTGCAACCTTGGCATTTAGTTCGTTCTTGGGCAGCCTCGACGCTGCAACACGGAAAGCCGTCATCAATGGCAATAGCGCGCAGAAGTTCAGCCTGACAGCGTTTGAGGACGTTGCTCGCTTCACACGTTTGGCGATCACCAGGCTGCCAATACCCCCAGCAGGCTCAAGTCGCGTCCTGCGCGTGCAGGGTTTCGCCGCTTCGTTCGACGACTTGATCGCAACTGCCGAACAGGTGGGCGGGAACAAGTTCGAGGTCGCGCACAAATCGTATGAATCAGTTGCGGACAAGCAGCTTGAGCCGAGCTTGGAGGGACTCATCGCTTGGCTGCTTGCGAGCCTTTCGGATGGACGCGGCTTGCTTCCGCAAGACAAGCTCACTCATGATGAGGTGGGGTTCAAGCCTTCCGTCGATATCAGGAAGACCGTTGAGACCGTGCTAAAGGCGTGAGCTCGTGTATGTTGGCAGCGTATCGCCGCGACCTCAATTACAGTATTCAAATATCTTCAGGAGTGCCTTCAGTTCCATCCCTTCGTAAAAATTGTTTCCAGTGGTAACATGCTTACATGAAATAAGAAAGCAGGCCGTACTACAGCTGAATAATGCGGAGAAAACAAAGTCCCAATGAATTGTGTAGGCTAGCTAGCCAGCAGTTGCACCATATCGACCTTTCCCGAGCGACCCAAAACGCCCAGCGCCAGGTCGTGCATGGGAAAAGGTATGCGCGAGGCGAAAGCCTGAACCATCGGTATACAAAAAAGCTGGGCGTGTCACTCCGGGCGACAAGAAACCCCCAGCAGACCTTCGGAATGAGTAATGAGAAGTCGAAAAGGGAAAGTCGGCCTTGTCGAAAGGCAGTTCAGGCATGCATCAAAGGGCATCGAGCCATATATCGGGCCAAAGTAGTCGGATCGGAATGAAAAGCAGCGGAGCGCACCACCGGGATGCGTGCGTGCTGGCCTCAGCGCTATATATGAAGCGCCTCGTGATGACTTAGACAAATTTCCAATCTACCGTGAAGCTGTTCATCACCTGTTCTTCGGGGTTGGCCAGCTTGTTGAACAGTCCAGGTGAAAGGTCGACTGAGTAGGGACCGCTGCAACCAGGGCACGTGTCTTCGATCGTAGCTTGGACCGTCTTTCCGTTGTGCATCAACTCGATTTTGCGACCGCAAAGCGGGTTGTTGTTCGGGTTGGCAGACCACTTGGCTGTCATCATGCCCGCATTCAGCGCGAGGATGTTGTCATCGTCGCTGTACTGCCCGCCGCAGGAGGTGAGACCGACGGATGGGTTATAGAATGTCGCCTTGCCGCTGTACGAACTACCGCCGGCGCTTCCACTGCCGCTGCTGATATGTGAAGAACTAGGCGACTGGGGCTGCTTGATGTTGGTCTTTGGCTGGGGGGAAGGCGTGCTAGTGGGGGCAGCAGCACGGCTGGTCGTGCTCGAGCTTCCATCCTCGCTGCCAACCGTGTTGTCGCTCCCGCTGCTTTGGTCCTCGTTGCTGCTGGAAACACTGACGCTGCTGGCAACACTGCCGCTGTTGGCAACACTGCCGCTGTTGGCAACACTGCCGCTGTTGGCAACACTGCCGCTGTTAGTGCTGCCAACCTGCGGCATGCCACCATGAGCTGCGGCGAATTGGTCAAACGTGGGCGGTGTCTGACCTTGCTTTTGCGCCTCGAGGACGGCCTGCTGCCACTCGGAGTTCATCTCGTGGAACTTGTCGTTCCAGGCATTGAGCGCAGCCTGCTGCGCGAGCTGGTCCTGCGTCGCTCGGCTGACGAGGGAGACGTGGGGGATGCGGTGCATGCGCCGGCCCTGGTGGTGCGACATGGCGCGTGCGTGCGCGTGTGCGGCGCCCACAAAGGAGCCTGGCCATGCGGCCAGGCCACCTTCAGCTGCCACTGGGGCCGCGTTGAAGCTGAGATGAAGCAGCGCTGCTGCCAGGAAAAAGGGTTTGAAGATTGCGAGCATGGTGGGCAGTGGTCGGATGAAACAAATTGGGGCAGAGAGGAAAGTAGAGCTGTGTTCGAGCAGGATCTGTTGCGGAGAGGCGAAGCGGGGAGTTCGGAGCAGGCTGTGTGCGCGCTGCGCAAGGATAGGAAGGGTTCTGGTGTGCCAACAGAGAGATCCTGTCTCGTAGCGAATGTCGAATAGGTTCCCGGGAGCGGAGGAGGTTGTGGTGATGAGTGAGGTGCCAATGGAGAGGAAGCAAGGAAGAGGGATATAAAATCAATCATCTCCAGCATCAGCAAATATTTCCTCCTTGTTTGGCTGTCTCAGCGGTGGTGCATGCGGAGTTGGAAAGTGCAGGCATGAGAGCAGTGTCAAGCAGTAAAGTGGCTGACTCTGTATCAGGTCCCACGATGCCAAGCGTCCATCGTAATTCGTGCACCCTAGAGACCATAACCCGTGAGCCTTCCATCCTAATTGTAATATCATCACCGCAACGGTAGCCTCGTTGATTCCTGGCGACGGGAATCGTATCAGAAGAGGATCCTCCGAGTCGAGAAAGGGAGACAAGATCATGGCTGTAGGTGGCGCGCGCCCAATTGGGTGAAATTCATTGATCGATCTGCACACACCAGGCATCGAGCCGAGTTGACTCCTCCCTCACACGATCCCTCCTGTCACGGATCTGCCTTGCAGTCAGCACTCGACAAGGGCAAGGGAATGGCCTCAGACGCAAGTGACAAACCCTTGGACACGAGCGGGAATCCAGAATGGGTCACGTTGGAGAGCAGCGTGCGTAACGAGCGGTTCGCACCTTGTGTGCCACAGTCAGCAGTCCACGTGGTAAGGTCCCTTACGGTAGAACTGACGCTCAGCATCTTCCTCAAATCTGTCAAATCGCATAAATGCCCTCGTTTCACATCATGTCGTGCAGGATGGTTACCAATTCATTGTCGACTACAATTGCGTAACCCGCATCGGTTCTACGATCCCCAATATGCTCGACATGAGCAGCGGGTTTGCGGAAGCGCAGGCGGGCAAAGCCAAGTTCCTCGATGTCAGGTGAGCAGCGAGAACAGCAGGACCGCAAAGCTACGTTCAGAAGGTCCGAGTCCGCATTCGACCGCGAATGCGGAAACGCTGGTACGCAAGGAACATTAGGAATGCATGCTGACGGCAACTTTGTGACGACAGGGGTGTGATTCTTGAAAAGGTGATCGAATACCTATGCTGGAACATGCAGAACTCGAATCTCGGCGAGAATGAACGAATGTCTGACTTTGAGCGGCGGATCCCACCTGAGATGGTGTTAGAACTGTGAGTGAATCCATCACAACCGCATGGCATTCGTTAGGTGGTGGCTTTGCAGGCGTGGCGACGAAAAAAGACGATGACTTTTCCCATTTCTTTTCCATCTAAACAGGTTCATGGGCGCCGACTTCTTTGAAGTGTGATCGATTTGGGCCAAAACATTGTAGCATACAGTCAAGTTTCCTTCCAGGTCGAAAGCCAATGACGACAATGTGTGGACAGTCTCGCGATGCCAAAAACGAGCGCGCGAGGCATCATGGCGCTCGGCTGATATGTGCGCAGCGCATTGCTCGAATTGGGATGGACCCGCCCATGGAGTTAAAACACGAATCCGCACGCATGGAGCAACCAAGTGCGATCCCTGGAACGTCCTCGATGTGTTCTTTCTGCTTGGTGTACGCAGTGTGCTGGTAGCTGTATGGTAGCGACTTAGTGTGCAGCACCGGGCGGAACACGGAATCTCGCTTTTGAATGCCTTTCGTCTTGGGCCATTCTGTTCGTTCCTTCGCTTCGTGATTCTTCGAGACCTTTCGTGCATGTATGCTCCGATCAACGAACACTGTTGAGCTCTCAACATCGGGACTGTCCAGAGCAGCAGAACTCCTCCTTCCAGTGTCATGGCATCTCCAGTCGCATCGACCAGTACGGGGCGAGGGTTGTGGAGCGCCGCCCTGTCTACCCCAGCGCAGCTGCGCACTCCCCGGGCCCTTTTCGCCCCTGCAGCCGCGCAAGTTCGGCACTCGCACGTCGGGTCAGCACCCCTTTACGTACCCCCAGGCACCTCTCTCACAATCCTCCCCACACCGCCACGCCCGAATCCAACCAGGCCAGTCCCTGATGCTCTCAAGAAGGCGCAGACGATCGTTGTCGAGGGCCCGCTGGGCAAGTGCATCGTCCCGTTGCACGAGTGCGTCCGTCTGCGCTGGGAGTCAGGCGCGCAAGAGCAGACCAAAGGAAAAGGAAAAGCAGCTTCTGCCGCTCAGACAGAGCAACCTTCTGCTGCCAGTCCAGTGAAGAGTGGAAAGGAGAACGCGAGCGGCGAACCGCAGAAGCTCACCGTCTCGGTGCTCGATCCTCAGCAAAAAACACAGCGTTCCAAATGGGGCCTGACACGCGCTCTACTCAACAATGCGCTTGAAGGTGTACAGGAAGGACATTCACTCATTCTGCGCTTCGTCGGTGTTGGATATAGAGGCGCGGTAGAGGACGAGCCTTTCGCTGCAGAGGTCGATCTGGGGGATGGCAACATGGGCAAACCGAAGAGACTCAACCTGAGGCTCGGCTACTCGCATCCTGTCGTCATCCCCATCCCACAAGGCATCACCGCCACCATGCCGCAGCCGACTCGCATCGTGCTCAAGGGGACAGACAAGGAGAAGATCGGCTTGTTTGCAAGTCAAATCCGCGCATGGAGAAAACCAGAGCCGTACAAGGTGTGTCTGCCAGGAGATCGCCCGACTCATCACCTTGCTCACACCCTTCCTTCTCTTGATAGGGCAAAGGCATTTTTGTTGGCGAGGAGACCATCAAGCTTCGCACAGCGAAGAAGAAGTAAAGAGTTTGAGCTGTATTCGCCATGCATGGCAGTCATGCATTCCACAGATCGCACCTTCTACCATTCGTGCGTCTCGTTTCAAGTGCTGCCGAATGCTGCATGCAGAATTGTGTATTCTACTGTCACCAGGGCGGTCCCTCCTTTCGGAGATTATCCCCGCTACATCGCGCCACGACTTCACGCAGCATCTGAAGCTCTTCTTGCGCCAAAGCCCTGATCGAACCAATGGACGCTGAGATGGCTCCCTGCTGGTGTCCCTCTGCCTCCATTTCATCGGCAGCCAAGATGCATCGCTGCAGATCCACTTGCGCTTCAGCAGCCAGCTGGCCCAGCAACGTAGCTGCGCGCAGCTCTAGGGAACCAGTCAAATGTGGCAGGAGACCCACTACGACCTTCTTCCATCTCGCGATGTCCTGTACAAGCGATGTTGCTTGCGGTAATGCAGTGGATCGAGCTTCATTTGGAAAGTTCGCGTCATAGACTGCTAGCAGCCGCAGAGCCGTCACCGTCCGCCATGATGGATGTGCCGGCTCGGACTCCGCGCGCTGGATCGTCCACGACCTGCAGTGTGCAAGGACCATGGGCGCGTCAGTCTTGGCGTGCCTCTCCGAGCGTTTCAATTGGTAGGAAGGGAGAGATCAGCATCTCACCCCCAATACCCTGCCTCTTCCAGCAGCGCGTGAACTTCTGAAGGTGTCCTCAGTTGCTCTATGTGTCGCTTGATCTGCGCATCTAACACAACGTCTGTGAATGGGTTATCGCCCGTCTTTCCAGCTGAGTCCAAAAGCACGAAGCCGTATTCGGACAGAAGCGTCTGCGACAAACAAATTGTGATTTCAGCAACCGGCCGGGTGTTTGGATTTAACCGTTTGATTCTTCAGAGCAATCCTCACAGCATTTCCGTGCGCTCCATATGTGATGAACACTTCATCGCCTGAACAAAGACCGTGCCAGCGTTCCTGTTCGTACCCGACTTCTGGTGCTCCACCCTGGACCTTGCGCGCCACTGAGCGCTCTGGAGCGTGCATTTCGAGTCCATTTTTCAGAGTCCATTTTACCTTGAACTCTCGCGTGGGGTCTGTTGTATGGTTTGCCATGTCTAGCATCGCTGATTGAGAGATGTGCGGGTCATTGTTGATATGCGGCTGTCAGTACGAGATTACAGAAGGAGGAGCCATCTACTGTACTTACGTGCTAGAGTGAAGTTATCTGCATGTGGCTCGAGTCCAAGCGGTAGGAACACGCACCGGCTGCGTCCGCAATACACGGTGAACATCCAGTTACCGTTCACGAGAACATCTGTAGGCTTGTCGGATTTTCACTCACGAATTTACACACAGCCATCCCCATAAAAAATCCTCTTCAGTCCAATCGTGCAGACTTGATTGCATGGATTCGCTGAGTTCTGACCGGTATCGCTTGAATGCAGTTCGAGCTTGCTCATAGTCGCCCATGTATTTCTCATGCACCTCTTCAAGCTGCACAGCGTTGCGTTGAGGCAGGATTTGACAGAGTCGGCGGTGTATGTCACTATACTGCTCTCTCAAGTGGACACGGCGGCGCCAAGCCAGAGGCACCGTGCCAAACTCTTCCGGCATCGTGTCCAGGAACGGTGAAAGTTGGTTCAGAGCCGTAGGCATTGCGTGTGGCATTAATCTCCGAGTAGATCGAAATATGGCGAGTAGCATGGGAATTAAGGAAGTGTTGCGCATGGCGCTTGTTGAACCATTGTTGAGGCTCCGAAATGAACTATGCTTTGGTAGCAGCCGGGTTGGAAGAATGTGCTTAATGGTCCCAGAATGAAGCAAGCTCGACGGTGAAAGGTACATCACTCGTTGACCTGGCACTACGTTCTCACTGAGCACCAAGCCTCTACCAGCTAGGCGCAGGAATGCGGTTCGCGGTGTAAGGCCTGCTCTGATTTAGTGTGTAGACGGCGAGACTCACACCCAGTTATGTTTTGCACTCGCACCTTGGAAACCAACTGATATTCGGCCGAATTTTTCGACCCATCTTTCTCCCAGCATGATGATAAGTACGCATACAGCTTCTCTTGAAGGCTTTGAGCACCGGCGTCTGGTCTCGGTTCGGTATCGTGCCCACCTTCGGAACTTCCAGGCTCAATGCGGCGTTTCTTCGTCGGGTGAGCGCCGTCCCTCGAGGCGCTCATCCTGCTTCTGTTTGCAAGTATTCTGACGAAGGTCCTTATGTGCCGATAGTATGGCGAAGGGGACACAGACATTCAAGTTAGGCGCACATGACACGCCCTCTTTGGCAACTGCCGCCTTCGCACCAGCAAGTGCGAAGCATGTATCTTCATTTCGCCACTTTAGTTGATGAACGAGTCAAAGGTGAGAGCTCGGCGTCTTGCCTCGAAAAAGTGGCCGACAGCCAACGAAAGGCTCTCGCTCCGTCACACTGCTCATGATCATGGTCAGCAGGCAACGCGTTTTGACCCATAGAATAGTATATAGCCTTACTCCGCATACTCGTAGTGCTCGAGCTGGACAGCGTAGGCGGATCAATCCGCAAGAAAACCGGCTCTTTCCTGATCATTGAGCGGTTCAAGGTTGCCTGGGAGCCTGTGTGCATGAGCTTCTCCTTGAGGGACAAGGCAAAGCGCGGTTGGCTTGGTCAACGCGTGACCACGTCCATTCAAGTGTCCCATGTCCCAAACATCGGCGCGTTGAGCGTTGGCCATACGGGTTGAGGCTGTCGAGCGGACGTGCAACAATCTTTGACCATGAGTGCACCGAAGTCACAAACCAAGTCGTCTGCTTCGAGCGGTCCAGCAGCAGAAGAGCCATCGGCAGCAGCGAACCGCTTGTCAACCTTGATGGCAAAGGCCTCCAAGGCAACCGGGAGTGATACTCACGTTGCAGTCGTATCTGCAGGGACTGGCAGTGGTGCACGGCCGCATACTGGAAGTCTCGTGGTGGCGGCTCCAACAGCCGCAGCGCTGTCGCTCGCGCCGCCGCAAACGAGCGATGCCAAGGCGACTCTGATGGCTGGCAATGATGCGGTTTGGCGCAGTTCGGCTGCAAAGCGCGCGGAGAGGGCTTGGGCGGTGCAGAGTGAAAGATGTGAGTTTTCCTGGTATAAAACAAGATGGAATGAGCAATACAAATGACTGACTTTGTCATTTTCAGCTCTCGCAAACGATCCCAAGTTCAAGAAATATCAGAGCACAATCGAACGGACTCTGGCCACATTCGACAGCGTGAGCGAATGGGCAGACTTTATATCATTTCTTACACGCCTGCAGAAGGTGTGTTTGGTGTGGCACTCAGCCATGCGGACCACTGCTCATGCTCTGATCCTTGCAATCCCTCAGGCTCTGCACGCGCAATCCTCATTCAATGTGATTCCTCGGAGGCTCATCGTCGCGAAGCGCCTCTCGCAATGCCTCAACCCTGCTCTCCCTTCTGGGGTACATCAAAAGGCCTTGGAAGTCTACGAGCAGATTCTGACATCGATTGGCCGAGATGGCCTGCGCCGTGATCTTCACATCTGGTCGCCAGGAATATTTCCTTTTTTCCAATTTGCGTCCACCAGCGTGCGTCCGAACCTGCTCAGCATCTTTGATCGCTTCTACCTACCGCTAGGTGAAGACTTGCGACCTGTCGCCAAAGCAATGCTGTTAGCTCTCCTTCCCGGGCTCGAGGAGGAGTCCGGTGAATTCTTTGATCGCGTCCTGCGCTTGCTCGACCATGTCTCAACCTCCATCACGGAGAGCTTCTTCCTGCAGAATATCTGGCTCATCATCATCACTGCACTCCCGGTTCGACTGGCGGCTCTCAACTACCTCCTCAGGCGTCTGCCCAAGCTTGACAAGCTGACGGGAGCAGATGCAACTAAGGTCGTCGGACAGGATCTTGGCTTGATGGTTCGCGCTTTCACTGCTGCGCTCAGAGACGATGCGCTGCTTGTGCGGCGCCTAACACTCGACTTGCTTGTGACACACTTGCCCGTCAGGTGCCACACTTTCTCGCACGTCATCAAGCCGGATGATGCGATAATGCTGATTGGCGCCGCAACCGCTGTCGTCTTGCGAAGAGACCTCAGTCTCAATCGACGCCTCTATAGCTGGCTGCTTGGGCCTGAGGACGAGGACCAAAACAAGTACCTCATGAAGTACTCGCTTGACTTTGTCAGACTGTCCTTGATTCAAGGCCTCAACCGCTCTTCGAACATGGACGTAGATGCGACCATGGAGGCGCAAGAACCATATCGTGTCTTCATCTCCCTTCTCGACAAATGGGAGATCGGCCAGCCGCTGAGCAACGTGATCATTCTTGATATTTTCAGCTCCCTTCAAAAGTTAAGAGAAGCAGGTACAACGGCAATGCCAGAGCAAGATGGTATGGGGACGACAGCCAAGATGCTTTTCGAAGTCGTCGATCCGTTTGCAATGTACAGACAGTTCTACTTTGCACTCAAGCATGAGCTCGATCCGGCCGTCAATGCAACGAATCAGACGACGGCCTCCACTCGCACTGTTGAAGAAGAGAAGGACTCTGCTGTCAAGCTGCTTGCATTCGTTCTCAAGTCATTTCCAGTGCACGACGACGAGACCCGGCAGATTCATCTGCCTGCTCTTTTTAGCGGCCTCCTTCACCTTATCCTGCAGCTCTTCCGACGCGAGACGATACCCGCTTCCACCGATGTGGCCGAAGCTCTCTTTCTCGCTCAGCAGATTCTGGCTCTGATCCCGCCCAAGGTGTTTGTCAGGGTCAGTCAGGAGGCACAGGTGGCAGAAAGCTCCAATCTTGCTGCCGAAGGTGATTTTGGCCAGCAAGTCGAGTTATTCTATGCGCCGCGTGATCCATTAGCCGGAGAAGCCAAAAGGCTTGTTCTCAGCTTCCAACGCGCTGAAGTCGTACTGGCCCTCCTACAGCTGGCTGCCAAGCTATCAGATGAGACCATGCTGCAAGACCGGTTGAAGGCACTCCGGCCGCTTGCGATTTCTGTGCTTCGCAATATCCTCCAAGCCGTTCAAGCTAGCGAAACAGCGCATGTCGCCTTGCCGATGGGAGTGGACGGAATGCAGCCTAGAGTGCAATGGGATGTGGACACGTGGTCGGTCAAAGCACTGCGAGCGCTGGGCACAGCTACCGAACCGGAGGACATCGACGCACTCGCAAGCTGTCTAATCGCATGCGCGACTTGCGACGCACTACAAAAGCCGCTGTCTCTACACGGGCGCGCCGCAGTCGAGCTCATCATCGACAAATTGTTCGCGCTCCTCACCCGGGACATGATCTCGCTTCATCAACAAGCCTCCGAGCTCATCACTGCCGTCCATGTACTTGCACCAGAGCGTCTCGTTGAGGCTTCTATCTGTCGCCGTCTGTCACAGCCTTCTCTGCAACCGCGTCTTGCGGCTTTCGAGGCGCTGGGCATTCTTTGGAAGGTTCTCGATGATCGGGATGAGAGCGCCCAATTTCTTGACTTGCCTCTTCGGCTTGTGCTGGACGGTCTTCGCTCCTCCCACGTAGCCGAACGCCAAGCGGCTGAAGCATGGCTCCGCAATTACGTCAAGTCCTTCGCGCGCATTGTGACTCCGTGCCTTCGACAAATGCTCGAGGTGCCGCTTACACTCCGGCCTTGTTCGCAGCAAATTTCTGGTATCCAGGTCACGGGGTTCGCCTACGAGCAACCCTTCGATTGCAAAATTCTGAGCTACTCGGTCATTTCGCTTTCCAGTATCGTCAAGGAGGGAGGACTTGCATGCCTTCGTACGCTGCGTAGCACATTAGTCCGCAGCTGTCGAGACCCAGCTTTGGTCCAGCTCTCAGTACAAGCTGGCTTTAGCGTGGAGCAAACCTTGCTGGAACTCATTCTTGATCTCGCAGCTCGCTTCCTTCGAACCAGTTGCCCCGAGGCATATCGCGCGTCCATTGGCCTTGCGGTGACGACACTACAAGCTGAAGCAGCGGACCTGATCCAATTCATCGCTTCTCGTCAGCATCTCGAATCCCCAAAGTCTGAGGAGCTAAAGCAGGTCGTCATCCAATGTACAGCAAAAGCGATAGCTGATGGCGACTTACTGGGCCAAAACAAGCTTCTTCATGCGCTGCACGCCCTGCTGCACGGCCGAAGCAATATCGAAGAGAGCGGTGGTGACACAGTGCGAAGTGCTAAAGCAGCGGCGTTGCCTGGAAAAGTAGGGAACGAACTGCTAAAGCTGCTTCGGGCTGGACTAGCAGTGCAGTGCAATAGGCCCGCTCTCCACCACTGGGCCGACTTTGCGTTCTCGATTCTGCCTATAGTCCGCCATGAGATTGCAGACTTCTTGGTCCCATTAGCGGATTGCGTTTGCCAGCTGCTCCGGGAGGAACTCGCCGAACTTGAGGTTGTCTGCCTCCATGGCACTCGCACAGACATTACGGACGCGGAGCTCACTACACTCATTAATCTTGCTGAGCGTATCATCAACCTCTGCATCGAGGAGACCGCCGGCGTGTCCAACAATGGCGATACCACCGAGCCTCTAACACCAAATCCTGTGGCTCAAAAGGATGTGTCAGCAGGACTACTGGGCTTTGTCACTGGCTCTCGCACTGTGACTTCCGGTAAAGACGCTGATGAGGGGGCTATTGCGAGCTTCTCTGCTGATGCTATTTTGCAGCGATTCGTCGGAGACCTTCTGGTGGCTTGGCGTATGTGCTCTCGCAAGTTCCCTGGTGACGCGCGGCGTGATCTCGGGGTCATAACAGCCATCTTCATCAAGACCAAAGCCCGATGCCGAAGAGCGCTAGAACGTCTTTACCGCATGCGCTCCGCCGATGTAGTGATGGCACTGATCTCAAGCGTGCAAGAGCCTGGCCCAGGAAAACTGCGAGATTTGGACACGCTCTTTGAGGTCCTGGACGCCCTCGTTCCGAGCGAGCAAATTGCTGTCACCTACATCTGCGACGCGCTCGTGAATCGCCTTGAATCCCCTTCAGACAAAGGAAAGCGAAAGCCGTCGTACCCACACGTGCTAGACGACAGTCTTTTCGCGCTTCTGGAGGCGTACAACAGCAGACTGGACGGTACAAGAGCAGCCCAAGTCTGGCCAGTCCTGCACGTCATGGCCAAAGATGTGACCGTCCAAAGTTCTGCTCTGGGAGCAGCGATATACGGCGTGTTGAGGATCTTGGGCGCCGTCGGTGCAAAGCTCAGCGAGGCCAAAGTTTTTGAGGACAAGAGGTTCCGCAAAGACGTGCAAGACATCTTTTTGAAAGTGCTGGACAGTTCTATCCTGATTGCAGGCCGTGCACCAGAAGCTTCGCTTTTTGGGCGACGTGCTGCTCGAGACGCAGACGAGGACGATCAAACTTCCAAGGGTGATGGTGCTGAAGAAGAAAAGATGGCAGCGTCACTTGCAGACTTATCTGAGCACGCGTTGGCAGACCAGATGATCATGCAAATGGCGGATCGATCATTTCCCACGCTTCGGCAAATGACTCTGGATGCTGACCGGCTCCAAGCAGTATATACAAATGCGATGTACTACGTCGTCGGCCCCGCTTTGAAGACAAAGTCGAGGTGAGTTTCTTTCTTCCTTGCAAGACCGAAGAGGCTCGTTGGCTGACCTTTGCACTTCTCAGAAACTTTGACGTCGACGTAGCGACATTGGAGCTCTTGCGGCAACTCTGCTCAATGCCGCACAGTGTCAAGACTTGGCGCTCGCAGGTTTACGAGGCCTTCCATGATGCACGTTTCTTTAGAGTTTCAAGCGTAGCTGTCGACAGATGGAAGCCAATCATCCTGCATCTTTACACTCTTGACAAAGAGCGCCTTAGCGAGGCAATTTGTGAGTTTCCTCTTCCCTTGGCAAATCCGAATATCGAATTGACGTGACGGATTTGCGCAGCGCGCATCGGAGCTGCGCAATCTGCGAATATCTTCACCAATAGAGAGGCCGAGGCTCGTCTCCGAGCTTCAAATATCAGACGGCTTTCTTTCATATTGTTCACCGCCAATGTGGACTTTTGGTTGCCGCACTTTCCAGCGATCCAGGAGCGCATTGTGGACATTCTCAAAGCATCCGTGTCCGAGGTTGTAGAGGCAGAGATCTGGCTATGCCTCCGCGTTGTGCTATGTCGATTCTCGCCGCAGCATCTCAGCTCAATGTGGCCGGTGATAATTTCTGAAATGGTGCGTCGCTTGGAAGCTGCGTTGGTTGCTGATCGTTGACGTCTGGCTGTGTCACAGATGGAGGCTTTCGAGGCCCTCATCGATGGCCTTGCGACCCTTGGCTCAGACCGCGTGCGTGTTCTGGGCGAGCTCTCCAAATTTTTGGATCTTCTGCTCACAATGCAGACGCCAGACTTCCAAGTGTGAGTTCCAGCCGTTGCGCAATGAAGATGGCACTTAGCTTATACGTGATACATCTGTCACAGTCATCAATGGCTTTTCGTCCCTGACACGACCGATGTGGTGTACCCACCGGACGATTGGGTTTCAGAAGCATTGGTGGACCGAGTGACGCAAGCGCTTATGGAGCAGCGCCCAGCAATCAAGTCTAACAAAGTGAAGGACGGTCAAACTACGGCGAGTTCAACTGAGGTGGCGACAGGTACATTGCCGCTTCGTCGCCCGATGCTGCGATCTGGACCGATCGAATCGGTGGACGAGCTTGCTACCTTCTTTCGGTATGTCAGCATCAGCGCTTACGAAGCCGTGTATGCCACGCAAGGGATCGATCAACGGTACATCGAACATTGTCTGCTTGAAGACATGTTCAACGAGCGCGAGACGTGACTGTAGACTACTGCGCCAACGCCGCGAGCAATGCCACAGATGCTCCGATGGCACCGGCGACCATCAATTCCCGCCTGTGTGCTTTGGTGTCCGATGATGTGACTGGCGGTGTCGCATCTTGGGTTAGGCGAAGTTGCTCTACTGCATTCTGCATGCCTTTCATCTGCTTCTCGATCGAGGCTATCGCTCCCGCTAGCCTCTCTGCATTCTGTGCCTCTCCTTCTACGAGCCGATGTTCCAACATGAGAGCAAGCTTTTTACGCTTGAATGGCTCTACAAGGAAAATCGCCATTGTGAATACGACAACTGTTGGGCGTGGTCTATCAGCAATGTCCTCAGCAAGGGGGATCAGCGTTTCTCACCGTTGAGGATGGCGATTCCGACGCTACCCCAAGTAGAAACATTTCGAATTCGATCACTCCAAATGTGTTCTTCGTGATAACGCTGAGCGATGGCGCTCATGAGCATGTCAAACGATTTCTGGACGATCTCTTCGGCTAGCTCATATTCGCGTTCTGCCTCCTTCTCCGCACGCGCTTGTGAATGCTCAGAGTGCAGCAACCGCGTGTAGGTTGCCAGCTCCTCTTCTGACCAGGTTGATTTTCGCGACAGCAGGTCCGATAGTTGACGCTGAGAGGACGATCGTTCTGATACTGCTGCAAGATATGCTTGCCGTTTCTGTTGCAATTCTTCGCGCAAGCCCTCCAGTCTTCGTTCTGTTAAGCAATCCAAAGTCATGTCTAAGCTCAAACACATATGTGTTCATCGTGAACGACGCACCTAGCTTAGACACCGTGTCCTTCAGTTTTTCAATTTCCTCATAACCAGAAAGAGTGTTCCAACGTGCGCCGAGCCGACTAAAATGCTGCTGGATATCGATTTGCGCGGTGCTGCTGTATCGATGAGACAACGTCCCCTGAAAGGCAGATAGTCTTGAAGACGAAAAGTGCCGTACAAAGAGTTCGAGGCGCACACGGGAGGTTGATGCCAGGGACGAGGGTGGAGGAGCGAACGGCCACAAAGGGTGCGCCATATTAAGCAGGACTTTGCTGAGGCTGCCTCGTATTGCCATGGTTTATGATGGCCGGACAACGAACACAGAACGAAACCGGATCCAACCCATAAACCTGGCTTCAATACACTTACAACCCGGCGCTATGCCTGCAACGATCTAGCATCAACAGCACGGTTTCCAAAAATGTTATGCGCTTCTCCGCTTGACCTAACAGCAGCAGTATTGTCAAAAGTGGCGAAGAACAGTATCCTAGGAGGAAGGTTGCGAACATCAACCTGTGCTTGCAAAAAAGGCGGTTGCAATTGCAACTAAAAAAAGATGCTGTAACTGGGAATCGAACCCAGGTCGTTTCGAGATCTTCGCATTGCTCAGTGAACAAGCTTGGATGGCAACGAAACAGTATGCCACTAACCCATTACAGCTGCTTGATGTTAGGTGCTCATGTATTATCATTATATAGCCTTTGAAATCAAGTTTTCTTCAACTTTGTCTTCACAATTTCAATAATTTGTCTTCTGCCGTCGTTCGCGCAATTGCCTCTGTAACGAGGACATGACCATCTTAGAGTACAGAGGATGCTCTTGGCACGGCATCGGTAGAGGCGAAAGCGATCAGGAGCCACTAGTCACGGTTCCTTAGGTCAAATAGAAGCTCCATGCAAGCGCTGATGCAGTTGAGGGGGGTACTGCTGTCGGCTGAGGCCAGGATCTGGAAGAGTCGCTAAGCCCCGTGGCTGTAAGGGGGCTCTATAATGGGGTGGGTCGCACGCACAAACGGAATTGATTAAATCCACCATCGCTCGCGCCTCGATTGCTTTCCTTTATCCACGGTCAAAGCACGATGACATCAAACCATTCGGCCGATTCAGCTTCGGTGACGGTGTGGACGATGTGACCAATGGCAATGGACCCGGGTGTGAGACCCAAAGACTACTCGCTCTCAAGTACCGTATGTATAGCGGAAGGATATCTGGATGTATTCGTTATTTCACTAAAGAGGCGGCGGTTCAAGACGCACCTATTGGCGTGTCAGTCGATAAATGCAAATCCTGGGCGGCCCTTCCAGGTGGCGTCGACGCTGGCGAGGTTGTCTGCACAGTGGTGGGGACGGCGACTAAGAGTTGATGAAGTAGGTAACGATGAGGGTGCGGGGCCGCTTGCCAGGATCTCTGTACTATTAGAGCATGCACGCTGACCGTGAGAATGGCAGTGCGGGTCGACCAGATCTTGACGACGCAGCGACCGCGCCAGACTGTGTAATCGTTGTCCTGTGTGAGGGTCGAGATATTCCTCCTGCCGAGATCGCCCTGCAACCCGACCATAGTACTTTGCTACCGATAGATCGCTGGAGAACCGCGAAGCCATTCGCAGGGGCAATGCAAGCAATGTAATCGACGATTCTCATCCAGGATAACGATGTTCTCGCTCTGGTGAAGGCGCTCAACGTCATCGTCCAGCAGTCGAGCGCTCGCGACCCATACGCTGAATGGTCAGATAGCTCTGCGCTCGTCGCAACCTCCGCTGCGAGACATGGGAAAGCATGGACGCCGATGGCGAAGAATGAATAGATGCAGGTCAGTGGGAGGACACTGCGCGGATACCGATTCAAGGCACACTCATTACAAATTGATTGGATCCAGAACAAATCATCAAGGCACGTTCACAGCGACTCACTATGTGAATTCAGCAGTACCTGGAAGACACACCAAGGGGATCCTGCATACCATGTTGCTCGTTCACTACGGGATCTTTCTGTTCCGTTGTCGGGTTGATAGCTAGTGAAATCACACTCAATTCCGACAGTCGCCAGAAGCTTGCATTTATGGAATCCGCCATAAGATTCTTGGAGGGGCTAGATGTGTGAAGCATGGGGCTTTATTACTTGCAGTGTGCTTCACGCGCAGTCACAGCATTCAACGAATGCGTGTATCCATCGAAGTTGGGGCAAAATGCGTCTTTGAAATGATCACATTGCAGCAGCTCTTTCATTGCGTGGGCTTTGGCGTTCTTCGTTGTGCCTGGGTTGTTCGGCAAAGCTTGACAATGTCAATGCCACCGTGGCTCGCTTTGGGCCAGGCAGGTCGGGACCCTCCCGAAAACAAAGTATCGGAAGCAAAGGGATCAGGTGCGAGTGACTTTCTGGACACTGCAGTGGATTCGTTGGGGACTAAATACATTGAGAGAATGCGATGAGATGCGGGTGACTACTACTTATGCGGTGCGAGAATGGTGTTGCACAATTAAAAGATGTGCTGCACATGTCAAATACGGATGCTGGTCGATGGAAGCTGAACCAGATCTGTGTTTGCTACACTTGCTACTGTAACCGACCGCTTCAACAGCCGCTTCCGGTGACGGCCGACCATCGGCCGGTGACAGAACAAAGGTGATGGATGGAAAGAAATGAGTGGGGCTCTAGGCTTGTGGATCTTTCGTTGGGTCTTGCAGCTCACCCACAAGTCGCCTCCCTATGTCCTTGATGTGCTCATGAGGCCTTTACCTACCCATGGCGTTAAATTGACTACAGTGTCCGGAAGATACGCGATTTGATGGCGACGGACTCACCTGAGCTCTAAGGACCGCGATTGGCTGGAAACTACGGAAATATCATTCGGGCAGGCGATGGTAAAAGCGCGGGGGATAGAATAGTCGGGCGATATCTCGAAAGTTGTATATCCTGTCCCTCCTTCAAGCCAGCCAGCAACACGCAGCACGGAATGAAGCTACAGCCACTGACGCGCCACAGCGAGCTGGGCTTTGGTCACGGTTTAACCATCCCAGCGCTCATGCGATAATGGGGTGTCGCCGTCATCTTCTCGCACCTCGATTCCGTGGCGAAAATGCTTCAATACCAGTCGCACGTGACTAGACACTCTCAACAGCAAGCGCGTTCGTTAGTTCCGACTTCCGCTCGGATTCTGGCTGGGGACAAGGGCGCCTCGTCGTTTTCCTGCACTTGCATCGCTGTTGCTCTTGTTTTTCTAAATAACGGGTTCCTCCTGCTGTGTACATGGAGATTGCAATTGCTCCACCTCCACTCACGTTCCCATGCTCAAGCGCCAGCCTTCGTAAAGGTCCACCAGCGCTCGCGATGCCTCCCAAAACCCCCAAGAGCCGGGCCACGAGCAGGACTCCCGGCGCTGCTCCTTCCAAGACGGTCGCGCAGGTCGCAGCTACCCTCTCGAGTGTCGATGAAGACACTACAAAAAAGGCAGTATTGAAGCGTGGCCGAGCAAGGTCAGCTTCAATTGCTTCTTCCTCCGGATCCAAGCGAGCAAAAGCGACAGTTCGCCTTTCTCTTCCTGCGCCCCTTCCGCCGGCGACGCTACCTGGGAATCCCTCTGGTGCTGCGCTGAAGCGGCAGCTCTTTGTCTGGGGTAATGGGGATATGGGCCAATTCGGCCTCGGTACCGAAACGCTAGATGAGATCAAGCGTCCTAGGCTGCACTCGTGGGTGGAAGAGAAGAACAAAGCGGGCCAGCTAGGAGAATATGGGTTTGAGATGGTCGCAGCGGGGGGCATGCACACCATCGCAGTCGATTCGAAAGGCTACGTGAGTTATGGGTGCGGCGCAACGCTGGAGGCTGTATACACCGCTCCTCGATGACTCAATCAATTCATTGGGGTTTTTTGCAGATCTACACTTGGGGGATCAACGACAATGCTGCACTCGGTCGCAGGACAACACGAGATCCGGAGGTTGACGCCGAGATCTTGGAGACGCAGCCGTTGCCTGTTGAAGGGCTGTCTCCGACAGGCCGAGGAGTAGTCGGTGGTGCGGGGCCCGAAGGTGGCAAGGAAGGGGACGTGGAGAATTTCCGTGCTACCAGAGTTGCTGCGTCGAGCAACTGCAGTGTTGCACTCAGCGACCAAGGAGAGCTTCGGATCTGGGGTAGCTTTCGAGTGAGCCGGCGGGGTGGGCTGCGAAAATTGCGGTTCTTTCCACCACTGATGCAACTCCACTCTTTTTCAGAGCAATGAAGGACTGCTGGGCTTCGATCCGACACCGAACAGCGAAAAGTTGCAATATCTGCCGCGCGCATTGAGGGGTCTTGAGAAGGTCCGATTTTCGGCCATTGCATGCGGAGAAGACCACGTTCTCGCGCTAAGCACCGACGGCATTGTCTACACTTGGGGTAATGGCCAGCAAGCGCAGCTTGGACGAAGAGTGATCGAGCGAAGGAAGATAAATGCGCTTTTCCCCTCAAAACTTGCGCTTCGCGAAATCGAAGTCATCGGATGCGGCTCGTACCACAGCTTCGCCGTCGATTCGGCCGGCACAGTTTATGCGTGGGGACTGAACACGTTTGGGCAATTGGGGCTGGAGCCCAAGGATGACCTGATCGTTGAGCCGGTCGTCGTCGACGCGCTCAGTCCAGAAAATCATGGAGGTGCAAAAGTCAAGCAGATTGCCGCTGGCGCACACTACAGCCTCTTCCTGTACGACAATGGCGAGGTCTGGGGTACCGGGCGCTGTGACGGGCACGAACTTGGCATCGACGAGTCGCATCCGGCCATGCAAGCTATCCTCAAAGCGCGCGATCTCTGGTCCAAGCAACGCGACATTGACCTTGCACGCGAGCTCGAGGCGTACAATAAGCACATGTCGGCAAAGAGGGAAGAGGCCCAGAAGAATGGCACCGCTGGCGGAATGATGGGCAACGTTCTGAGCTCAGAAGATATGCCCCCGGTCAAAGGCCCGCCGCCAGACGAGTACGTCCCGGAACCTGTGCACATCCCAATGCCCAACAATGTCAAGGTCGTCCACATCAGCTGCGGTACGCGTCACAGTCTTGCAGTCGCCGTTGACGGGACTGCGTATAGCTGGGGGCTGGGTCTCAACTCCGAGCTCGGTCAAGGAGATGAAGAAACGCTTCAAGTACCGACACCGCTCAAGAGCAAGACGCTTGTAACTCATGCGGCGCTCACCGCTTCTGCTGGAGGACAACACTCGGTCCTACTAGGTGTGCCCAAGCAAGCCTGAGGGATGTTCGGGCTCAAGCCTTGATCCTTAACGAGTTCCGCCCATCTCACATTGATGCATGGCGTGACTTTAAAGTGGCTAAATGATACACTGCTTCTGTATTCTGTAATATCTTTGCTCTCTGAACAAAATCGCTTGACGGGCAGTGTCACAGCGTTTCGGATATGACCCGCTCGCAATGCCAGATAGTCTAGTCGACATTCTCTGTCTGGGCTTCGGCTGGACGGGCCAATTCTTGCTTCAACGCTTCGACAACGCTCACGTCTCCTACGCGTTTACAGCGACCTCGCATGAGTCGTTGCTGGCCAAAAACCTGGCTCGAGACATCGTAGCTAGGCACGGGCTGTTCAACCTTGGGGCTGCAGGGTGGCAGGACAGTGTCCACGACCTTCCAATGGCGCGGATGGTGGTGGTCATCTTTCCGATCAAAGATATTTGCCTGCTTGAAGAACTTGTGCAGACGTATGAGACAGCGCATGGCGAAACAAACTGGCTGCTTCTAGGCAGCACAGGCATCTGGAAGGGTGAGTGAGGGTGCTAGACAAGACCCTGCCACGATCGTCTGCCATAACAATCATGATCAACTTGCAGATGGTTACCACACCTCTAGCTCACAGTTCGACCCAAGCAACGTCCGAGGACAGGTGGAGTCCAGATTGCTCCAGATCAGAGGCCTAAGAGCTGCAGTGCTCAATTTATCTGGACTTTACGGCATACAACGCCAACCGAAGAACTTCATTCTCAAAGGAGCACCAACACGTGACGCCCTAGAGCAGAAGAGCAGTCTGCACCTCGTCCATGGGGATGACGTGGCAAGTGCGATCCTGAGCATGTTCATCGCGCTCTCAGATGATCAAGCACGAGCACGGCTCTGGGCTAAGCGATGGATTGTTTCAGATTCGCACGTCTACGACTGGTGGCATCTGGCCGGAGTAGTGCCGGATTTGCCTGAACAATACAGCCAGTGGTCGCGGGAGCTCGCGACAAAGTACAATGTCAACTTACCCCGGTCGTACGACGCCCAAGGGGCAAGCGATATTCAACGCAGTTTGAAGCGGGTTTTGAATGGACGCGAATTCTGGGACGCTGCCCAAGTAGGCATCAGTTCCTTACATGGACGCTTTTACGAAGGAAGCTAATCGTAGGCTCTTCAGCTATGAATGCATGGAAGGGCTCCTTAGACGGCAGCTGGATTGCCCCTCCTCTTGTTCTTCAAAGGATCTGCGATATACCATGCCGTTGCCTCTCAGATTCGCCTTTTATGGGTTCCACTTGCAACGGCAGTGGCATTACTTATATGCTCTGCGCTGCGTCAATGTATCAGGTGCCTTGCGGCTCCTGTTTCAATCGTCATCGAGGTGCAGGTATGATTTTCCTTCGCCCTTGGGGTTGCACGCGACCGAAGAAGACGGCCGGGGTACGCTGTGGCAGTCGATGAAATTGCGATGCATGAGCTCAGAGTACATGCTGCAGCTCGGAAGAAGTAAGAGGAGGATGCGTCAAAGTTCGATAAGCGATGTTGGGACTGTAGGTCATCTTCGATCGTGGGCTGGCCGTGGCCGCCTCCCGACGATGGTTTTAGAGGCCCCAAATTCTATAGAAGAATTGCTCTTCCCGGCCAATGAGCACTGTTACGTCGTGTTCCACACGTGAGCAGCACCTGTCCGAAGACGAAGTGGCATCAAGCAGATACGATCTTGAGAAGGTGCATTTGGAGCCGGGTGATTGGTAAAAGAATATTTCCAGGAATGTGCGAGCTTCGAAGAAAGTTGAAGAAAAGAAGGAATTGAATGGCCAACACACTGACCGCGGATGGATGGGCGGAAAGATATTTTTGGCGCCATCCTTCTTGTCCATGCATTTATTCGTTCGACGTCTGTCTTGTGAACTTCGGCGTCCATGGTGGCGGCAGCAATATCGCCCAGCCTCTCTGTTTCCAAGTACAGCTTTGCTTTTCCGGCCAGCCGCCTTGGTGCCAAGGCGTCAAGGCAGTGCGAGGTGCGGTCCGAGATGGAGGGGGTTTCATCCAACCTGGGCCGTCTGCTCAAGCAGACCCGCCTGAGCGCGCATCATCCTTCGCAAGTATATGCTGCTGCTCCAGCCTTTGCATCTCGAGGCGACTTTGGTTGGAAGAAACCACTGCCAGTCGGGAATGATCCGTCTTCCAGCCGTCCGTCGGCTGCGCTTGGCCGCTTGCGCTACTTGCAAGTTTCTCAGCAAGAAACACATGATGGCCAAATGGAATGGCGGGAAAACGAGAGAGATCCCCTGTTCCGACAGCGATGGTCTGAGAAAGGCGCTCGGTTAGCTGGCTTTCTCGAAACCCAGGCGAAGGAGAGCAGCACAACAGGAAACCAAGCGAGCTATGCGGGGCGCCCTCGAGAATCGCTTGGCCCGCGCATCAGGACTGTGTTTGATTCAGCCACCTACAGACTCCTGCCTTCCGATATTCCCAAGACCGTTGGGCCTCCTGAAGAAGCGGCGCCAGAGGACAAAGCTCGGTATAATGCACAGGAAAGGCAGTACGATAATCTCAGGTCAAAGTCACGCATCGGCGCTTTCACTCCTCCGGGTCTCGATGATCCCTTTGGCTCAGCTTCAACTTCCTACAGTCGTCACCTTGATCTCTTCCCCAACTACCGACAAATGTCTGACAAGGAATTCAAGCGCTTCCTTGGTGATATCAGGCAGGCCAGGCATGGGCTCAAGCAAAAGCTTCAGAAACGAATGGAAGACGGTGTCCGCAATGCGATTCTGCTCGACGCAAAGAGGGTTCGCGAGAGGACAATTCAGCTTGCTGACGACGCTGCCTCAAGAGGTGCCACACCCCCTGAGATTCCAGATGTACTACGTCCAGAAGATGTCAAGCTTCCATCCGTCCGAGCAGATATGTGGGACGAAGCACGAACTCTCACAGGCATGGACATGACCAGGCATCTGAAAGAGCGGCATGTGCGCTTGGCCAGCACACCGTCAAATAGGACTTTACCTCAGCCCACGCAAGTTACCCGCGTCCATCCCTCTGGAGGCCTCCAATACTCCCAGCCGGATGAGCTATACACCCAGAGACTCTCAGAAGCCCTACCCGGTCGCGTCATTGTCCAGCCTCTACCGAGTGGGCACAATCAGCAATTCTCCAGCTTGATGAGGAAGAACACACACTTGGGTGTCGCCTCCGGTGGTCACGTGGAACAATTGCCCGCGGCTGTCAGGGACAATCTCGTGCTGTACGATCCAGCCCAGCCTAGCAAGATCCGTGCCGAATCAAAGTTCCGCGTCATCTCTGCTACGATGGAGTCGCGTCTGTGGAACAGGGGTCAATTGCCTGCCGAGTCACTGCAGAGCTCCTACCTTGGCTACATTCAAGCGAAAGTTCGTCCCTCAAACGAGACGGAGGAAGAGAGGCCACTACCGGGCTCTACCGCATTCATTGGGGCCAAGGAGCGTCCCAAAGAAATCGAGGTGAATCCATCGCTCTTTTCGTCTCACCGGACGAATTTTGGTCGGTCAGGCGCTCGAACATCGAAGCCATCCCCTTCCATGCCGGCCGATGGTATCGCCGAGAATCTCGGGCGTGTTGGTGTTGAGAGCATGCTGCGCGGAGTGAGCCGGACTCTGGCTCAGCACCGCTCCCAATAAATGTCAATGTAGGGTACATGCGTGCATCATCTCTAGCAGTCTATGTGTTCGTTGATTTCTATTAGTCGCCCAGTCTATCTCGGTTGTCATGGTCTCTTCGCTCCACAAGAACAGTATGTAAGGCCCGTTTTGGCACCCGCCTTTATCAGCTTCGCAGCCTTCAAGTCATGCTTGGCTTGGCCGAATTTGTAGTGGTGCCTGCCATCAGGTAGGGTGCCCTGCTCGTCATGCTCCATGTGCATCTGAATATCTTTGGCAAGCACAAACTTGGACCATTCTCAAATTTCAGATTTGCTCGCGAAGAACAAAAGAGATGGAGCCAAGGCGAGAGACACGAGGCCCAGCAGCGACGTCGCCCAGTGTGTGCCCAAGTCAGTTCACGTCTGTCGCGTGAAAAGCTGGCAAGTCCATGAGCCGCTTGGGGTCGAGATGTCCAGCAGAAGGGACCATGTAATTCAGCGCTGTTTCTGACGCAGCATCCGGAGCCTTGGGACTCTCTCTAATTGATATCGCATACTGTTAAAGCCCAACGTGATTAGGCGGCACTGCCAGAGCCCTCTTAATTGAATGCCGATGTTTACACTGTCGACGACCTGGGCAATGACGACAGCTCCGTCAAGTCTGCATCGATATCTCAGGGAGCACTGCACTCCCGCGTGCGCGTCGATGCGGTGGAAGAGGCCGATGACGACGGGTGTCTGGCCTTGTTTGCGGCACTTGCGCTCCACGGCAAAGGCCTGTTAGAAGTCCGAAACTCCTGTGTTAAGGACATATGTTCATGAGTGAATGCTTCTGGCATGGTGATATAGAGATTTAATAAAGTCAAGACTCTGCAGAAGCTGATGGGAGGGAATGTGGTTGTCCTAGAAGAGACGGATCTAGTAAATAGATGAAGGCATGTATGGTATAGAGGGAAGTATAATACCTTTTTTGAACGGAACGTTCAGGGTATGGGCTGTGCCCTCTGAAGGCACTAGCACAGTGTCCCAAGCTCACCTATCTGTGTGGGACCTTTTTATATCCTGAAGCTATATCTTTTAGTTCATATTTTAGTTTGCGTGGAACATTTTTAATGTGTCACCTTTTTGTTTTTCAACATAGTGAGTGGGGCGAGGACACGGGTGAGAGTCACAGCCGTTTGGCCAAGTGCTGATCCTCGATCGTATTTCAACGAGTTCTGGAAATCTTTCGCCAGCCGAGTCTGAGGGGGGTTGTGCGGCGGTGAGGCGTGGGTGGCGCGTGTTCGTGTGTGTTCGCGTGGAATGGCCTCACGCCATTCCGGGGATTCAAATTGGCTGGATTGTGCGGTGTCCCTTCCAGGCTGTGGTCTACCGCCGGGGAGCGGCTAATTGCTTGGCCAATCTTGCATCGTTGCCTACCTTACATCCAGTCAGGAGATGTATGTATCAAGGGAGTAGTGCATCCAAGCGCACGAACACAAACTGGCTTAAGCACAAGAAGGCTGTGTGGCACCTGGTTAATACAGTGGAAAGGCGTGATCGGAAGCTAGAGCTTTGAAGGCGTGAATTTGTATTGTGCACTTTGATCGTGCTAGCGCCAGCTGCAGCTACGTGCTCGATCAATGTGCACAGCAAGGCTGGAGAGGCGAGAGCAAAGCGAACTGCTATTCATAGACTGCCATGTATGCCTGTCGTCCGTCGGTGTCTGCTCTCTCAGCGACGCCTTGGCGGGGCCGATCTGGAGCCGGACAATGCGGTGTGGGCCGATGCTTACGTAGCGTTGAATGCTGCGCTTATCGTATTACTCTCACACGTCGCGTAATCGTTTCATCAGCCTGTGGTCATACATTGAAATAGAGGAGGATGGGATCTTTGGATCCAAAGCGCTTGTCGTATAGCTTGCCCCTTCACACCATCTCAACAGGCCCTGCCATCGACATGAACAGAAGCATTGCATTCCAGCTCATCTATTCGTGCATACTTTTGGCCTTGCAATGAGCTTCCAAAAAGAACAGACAGCCTTCCTCGCCAGGTCAAACAGCATTTTTAGCATCCAAGCATCAGCCCATTCCCATTCAAGTTTCCTTCCTACAAAGAACAGCATTCGACATGCAGGATGCATCTAAGCAGAGTGCTGAGCCCCAGAGGTGTAGCTTCTCGCGTCACTCAAGCGTCAGCAGCATGAGCAAGTCCAGCTCATCAGCCGCATCTTCTGGATTCGCGCGTCTGGCCCTGCTCGACGACCGAGATTCGCTTTATGGCGGTGCCTCTTCCAGCTGCGTCGCGTCCACGTCCTCCCTCGAGACTACTCCGCAAGACTCGCCTTTGCATTCACCTTCTTGCGCTTCGCCCGACGCTCTGCATCCAAGAAGCGCGACACTCTCGTTCGCGGCTGAAGTTCTCGCAGCCGAGGCAAGAGCTCTGCAAGCTGCTACCATGCGCCTCAAGACCGACCCGGATACCGCTGCTGGCTTTGACGCAGCGATCAATGTTGCCATCCAGACCATCTCTGATGAAGGCAAGCTCATCTGGTGTGGTGTGGGCAAGTCCGGTGGGTTCCCTTGTGATGATCGAACATCGACAACAAAAACCCGACTCACTGACTTCTGATATGCATATGCTACATTCGCTTGTGATGCTTTCATAGGCCTCATTGCACGTAAGCTCTGTGCATCTGCCTTGTCGCTCGGTCTCTCCTCTGTTTTTTTGCACCCGACCGAAGCGCTGCATGGCGACCTGGGCATCGTGCATTCTAAGGACGTCGTCATCTTGCTGTCCTACTCTGGCTGCTCGTCTGAAATCACCGCATTGCTCCCTCACATTTTTGCGCGCGGGACGCCGGTTGTCGCGTTTTGCGGCAAGCCGTCGAGCCAGCTCGTGCAGCAGTCTCGGGCATGGGTCGACTGCCGCATGCCGCTTTTGCATCACAACCCAACAGCGGCAGCAATAGCGACCGGTGGCATCATTGCGAATTCGACGCACACGGATAAAATGGAAGGAGAAGCATGGGCAGAAGTCCCTGCGCCGAGCAGCACGACGACGCTCACACTGGCGCTAGGCGATGCCTTGATCTTCACGATAGCAAGGGAGCTGGGCAAGGGCAAGAGAGACTTTGCTCTGAATCATCCCAATGGTGCGCTCGGTCAGGCGATGCGGGATCAAGGATTGCTCACATGTGCTGCAGCTGGATGAACGCGTCGATCTTTCAGTCGAGCTGCAGGGGGGCAAGTCCTTTTCCTCAAGACGCACACCAACCATAGAGTAATGACACGAGTCGGTCAGTCACCTCACGTCCCGCCAAACAATCACCACTACAGCAGGACACCTCATCTCGTTTTGTTTTGCTCGCACGATTGATCGAACAGTTTGGAATAGAATTCTTTGCTCTATAACCGGTCGCCGATTCGGTCATGGTCGCACTGGAGCCGAAACGAGCACAGAGCAGGACAGATCTGGGGGTTCTTGTCGGGACAATCTCCCATTGTGTATTCATTTTTCCTTCGAGCCTGTATGCACCCATAGAAGTGTGCATCGTGAAAAGAGCACGTTGAAGATGATAGCGGCCCCGAATGCTGTGCGACTTCGAGACTGTAACTATCTTGCCTGTCTATGTGAACGTGCGATGTCAAGGGCAGTCACGACCGAACTCAGGATTGTGTCTGTGTGTTGGCTCGTGCACAATTCTTACTCGTTCGGCCGAGAGATGAGGGCTCTGCCTGCGGCACCCGTGTCTGCCGTGTCTGGCTGGGGGGGGTGAGGAGCATGAATTCGTTGCGCTGAGTCAACCTGGCAGATGTCCTCCGTTAGTTGCAGGCAGGAGTGTTGGCACGCGTACAGACTGCCCATCTTCTTACGGCATTCGCATCGGTACGCAAGCATGTCTGCGCATACATCTTCCAGCCTGTGTGCTATGAAGAGCTCGGGTTGCCCGAGATCAATGAAAATGGCACCTTATCCGGTGCTCGGCACAGACGACCCTCGTCCCGTGCGTGCTGTCCATATCCGCTCCATTCGCGAAAGGCGGCTAGGCGAGTTCATCGGCGGTCAATATGGTCAGTTCAATTTGGCCAGCTTGCTGTTCGAGGCCAGGACCGACAAGTTGGACGTCATCAAGCTCGCTCGATGGGACCCGCCGAGCGGGTCCAAACCGAGCTTCGACCAGGCCGTCCAGCAGGATTACAAGCCATGTAAGAAAGGCGAGCTTTTTGGCCCTAGCTGGTAAGAATCACCACTCTGGCTAGGTGTTTCGCTTATTTTCGCTCATGGCCCCTTCCTTCCGATCTCAGGACTAATCACTGGGTCAAGGTAGATATCAAGGTCCCTGAGGAGTGGCGCGAAAAGGAGTGGCTACAGCTCGAATTTGATCCAGGATGCGAGGTTCGTGGATACTGTGCGAGTCTGACGAGAACGCAGGTTCTGAATTATTCTTATTCCAGGCTATGATTTTCGATGTCGACGGACTGCCGTTACAAGGCATCACCGGCGGCTACGAGGACAATCGTCGAGTCGACTTTCCTTTGTCGCCAGCCATGCGCCACGGTGTGCGATTCTACATTGAAGTATCGGCGAACGCAATGTTTGGCTTGCCGTCAGTCTCCGAGGGTGGCGACCCAGATCCGAACAGGTACTTCCAACTGGCTTCGGCAGACGTCGTCGTCAAGCGTCCCGGGGCGTGGAAGCTGATGTGGGATTTCAATACGCTTCGCGGCTGCGTCGACGAGATGCCCCGCGACGGCATTTTGCAAAACAAGGCGCTGTGGGTGGCCAATGAGATCCAGAACACGTTCAGAAAGGCAGATCTCAGCAGCATAGACAGATGCAGGAAAATTGCGGAGGAGGTACTTGGCCAGCACTGGGAGCGCTCGGGACACCAGATCTTCAAAAAGGAGAATGCCGCAGAGCCGACGGTGATCGCGATAGGCCACTGCCACATTGACAGCTGCTGGCTTTGGCCGAGAAGCGTGACGCAGCAAAAGGTGGCGAGATCTTGGTCGACGCAGCTTGCCCTGATGGAACGCTACCCTGAGCATCGCTTCATCGCCAGCCAGGCAGCTCAGTTCAAGTGGATGGAAGAACTCTACCCTAAGCTTTTTGCCAAGATTCAGGATGCAGTCAAAGCGGGCACTTTCCAGCCGATTGGAGGTTCGTGGGTAGAGTGTGACGCTAATGTGAGCAAGTTTGCCATCCCGCAAGCGGTTTTCACGCTGACCGACCAAACTATTGATCCGCAACACAGCTCCCCAGCGGAGAGGCATTTGTCCGCCAATTCTTGTACGGCCAACGCTATCTACTGACGCGATTCGGTCAGCGGTCAAACGTCTTTTGGCTGCCTGACTCTTTCGGCTACAATGCGCAAATTCCGCAGCTCGCAAGAAGCGCTGGTCTCGACTACTTCATGACACAAAAGCTCTCATGGTCCAACGTCAACACCTTCCCCCACAGCACCGTCATGTGGCAAGGCCTCGATGGCTCGCAGGTGATCACGCACTTCAGTCCCGTGGACAACTACGATTCGCAATGCGGCGTCAACGACATCACAAAGTGCATTCGGAACAACAAAAACTTGGACGTCCAGCCGACAGGACTGTTGCTATACGGGTTTGGCGATGGAGGTGGAGGCGCAACAGAAGTTATGGTTCAGAATCTGAGACGTGCCCGGGCGGTCCATGAAAATGGCCATTTTGAAATGCCGAAAGTCACCATCGCCAAGTCCATGCCAGACTTCTTTGACAATGTTACGAAGATCACAGAGGGGGGCCGACGCTTGCCCGTCTGGTCTGGAGACCTCTATCTTGAGTTCCACCGCGGTGTCTTTACAAGCCACGGGTCTATCAAGCGCTGGAACCGGAAGTTGGAGATCCTCTTGCACAACGTCGAATGGACATGCACCTTGGCCAGTGTGCAGGATGCGTCCTTCAAGTATCAAAAGGACGAGCTCGACGCATTGTGGGAGATGCTCCTCTTCAACCAGTTCCACGACATTCTTCCAGGCTCGAGCATTCACATGGTGTACGATGACGCCGAACACGACTATGCTGAGATCGAGCGCAGGGCTTACAGCTTGCTCAAGGCGGCACACGCCACGCTCTTCGCCCCGGCGCCTCTCGGCACGTTCGCGGCCTCCAATACTCTTGCGCTTCCCAGACGCGAGCTGGTAGTGGTACCCATTGGACACCCTTCGCAAGCTCCATTTGGCTTTGTCAACATGACTCCGGACCAATCCAAGGCAGTCTGCATTCTCGAAGATCCAACGGGCTGTGGACTTGCCGTTCATCGACCCTGCGCTCTTTCTGCACTACACGCTGCCGAAGCCTTCGAGAGTGAGTGCTTGTTTTGGTGGAGGAAGAGTGAGCATGCGCTGACCCGTGCCGATACCCTTCTTTAGCCCGTGAACAGGGTCGATCCCATAGTATTTACGTCCTTTGCAATGCCTTCCTCGCCGTCCGCGTAGAGCACGGTCGTATCACGTCCATCCATGACAACCTGTCTAAGCGCGAGCTTCTTGCCCGTGGTCGCACTGCAGGCTTGACGATCTACGAGGACTACCCTCCAAGCTTCGATGCCTGGGAAACAGAGATGTACTCGCTCGACACGGAGGAGGAGATCGCCTTCGACAGCATCCGCGTCGTCCAGAAGGGTCTACGGGATGCGGGTCTTGTGTTGGAAGCATCATTCGGCAAGAGCAAAGTGAAAATGGTGCTGAGTCTGGGTATGCTGCCCGCAACGGCCATCGCATCTGATGAGGACGCGCGTGCACCTCTTGTGATTCAAACGGAGATTGACTGGCAGGTAAGTTCCCGGAGACATGATGTGTTGCATTTCCGAATCATCGCTCACGTCCATGCTGTGCAGGAGAAACATCGGTTCCTGCGTTTCAGTGTCCCAACCGCATTGCAAGCTGCTGAAGCGTCGTATGAGACGCAATTTGGACTTACAAAGAGGCCGACGCATCGCAATACGTGGGCACCTAGTGCGGCGGGCTCTTTCGTTCGCTTGCAATGCTGACCATCTCTCTTCTTCACAATCAAGATCTTGGGACGCCGCGAAATTCGAGGCGTGCGGCCATCGTTTCGTCGACCTATCGGAGCCTGCCTATGGGTGCACTCTGGTGACCGACTGCAAGTACGGCTACTCCGTCGAGGGCGGGACGATGCGTGTATCTCTGCTCAAAGCGGGCACTTACCCTGATGCCCACCAAGACGAGGGCAAACATGTCGTAAACCTCGCCGTTTACCCGCACGTCCATGCCCTCGAGCAGAGCGACGCGATCTCGTACGCTCGCATCTTCAACAATCCCATGGATGCGATTATGCAGGCCGCGCCGTGCCCGCACGTGCCTTCCGTCAGCATGGTCTCCGCTTCAACCAACATCGTAATCGATACGTTGAAGCGAGGGGAGGCAGACTTTTCATACTCCTCCTTGAAAGCGAGTGGTCAAAAGTCGATCATTCTCAGGCTCTATCAGGTGATTCGAGCAGATTGCCTCCGCGTTCAAAAGGAATGCCTCACTTACATCCTTCGATTTCTCATGCTCCAGTCCGTGGGCACGCACGAGAAAGCGACCTTGCAAATGTAGGAGCTTCATCTTCTTGAAGTAGGTAGCAGGAGCTGACACTGGTGTTTTGCCCTTGACAGTGCCAACATTCCAATCAAAAGCATTACGACGACAAACATTCTGGAAGACGATGTCGAAGCTGCATGCTCCTTTGACACAGTTGAACCATTCGACAACCTTACCCACCGGATCCCGCTCGTCTTCCGACCCTTCGAGGTCAAGACGCTGCGAATGGTCTTGCACTGACCAACTACTTGGAGAAAGAGCTGCTGCTGCGTCTGCAACCGTGCCGCCATTCTTCCCTTAAGCCCGTAATGTACTTCCGGCTTTCTGATGTAAAATGATAAGAACAGCGAGTAATTAGAGCTCTGCTTGCGCATCTGTGATTCATGAGGAAAGGGTTGGATGCAAGCAGCGAGGAAGGATATGCGCGCTCCTTCGGCGGTCTCCCTTATTCTACCTCTTCATAACGTCCGCGTCAGACCCGCTTCTTCTTCTTTCCATAGCTACGCCAACTTCTTGCACTGCTCAACGCATCTCCGAGGGTCGCCATTATTCCCCATTCGTCAAGACTTGTCTTTATCGGGGGTCCTCTTGGACCTTGTTTGGACGGCCTCGAGCGCTGCTGTGTGGCAACTTGTTAGTCGCCATTGGCTCATCGGCCATCCCATTAGGATGAGGAAGACGCTTAATAAGAAAGAACAGAAGGGCACATGCAGGTGGCGCAAGGGGCAAGCTGCTTGCACAGACGACTCCCAAAGCAAATTACCCGGGTAATTTATCAGACAAATACATTCCTTGAGGCTCTTAAATTGAATCTATTGGGCGGGTATTATACTAAAGGTATCTAGTTGCAACATCAAGGAGCTGTAATGGGTTAGTGGCATACTGTTTCGTTGCCATCTAAGCTTGTTCACTGAGCAATGTGAAGATCTCGAAACGACCTGGGTTCGATTCCCAGTTACAGCATTCCTCCCCAGCTGTAATGGGTTAGTGGTATACTGTTTCGTTGCCATGGATTTCGAAACGACCTGGGTTCGATTCCCAGTTACAGCACACTCTTATCGCTGTAATGGGTTAGTGGCATACTGTTTCGTTGCCATCTAAGCTTGTTCATTGAACAATGTGAAGATCTCGAAACGACCTGGGTTCGATTCCCAGTTACAGCATTCGTTGCCCGCTGTAATGGGTTAGTGGCAT